TTCAATATTTACGATCTATCTCTGTTATTTAATGCTAAATTTAAAAGATTAACCAAAGTGTTTCTCGTCGCTGGCTCAGACTCTCTTAAGCGTTGAACAGGCACTACGCATCCAGACGCTTTGACCTATCCAGTATCCTACTGTGATGGTAATAATGGCGAATTTTTTTTTATATATGTTGTTTGCCTCCCATGTGATGCGTTGAAATGATTGTAACTGTGCAGAGAATTCGTAGGTTGATCACTGTTGATAGTCACTAAGATATTTGTGCACCTGCCTTTCAAGGGAGATGGAGGTTTAGAGACCAAAATAAAGCTCGACGTATGTGGAGTGTTTCGAAATAGAATTATGTAAAAATGATTCGAAAGCACATTTAAATTCTACAAGAAGTGCGAAACCTGGAGAAAAAATACGAGAAATCGTTTGTTCTAAGCACCGCCTCCCGTACTCAACTCGGATATTGATTCAACTTTGTTTATTTAAATCTAAAGCGTGAAGTTAAAATTCTGCTTGCCTTAACAAAATATTCCCCTAATTCGGTTAAAAGGTATTTTTTTTAACACTTGATGTTAAATATTGTTTTTTCTACTGTTTTAAATCAAGGAAGCAAAATTCTGATAACGTGCAGGGAAACTAAACATGTGGGAGTAATTCCTTTATGCTCAGCTGAGATAACTGGAAATCAAAGCTGAAGAAAAGCCCTTGTCTCAAAACTAACCAAAACATACACCGCAGATTTATTTTTCGATTCATGTAATAGTAAATGTACTGGTGTAAGCCGGCGAAGAGTTGTAAAATCGTCTACAAAAGTGATGAATTGCGAATATTGCCCTCGGCTAAACATACAATCTGTTTCATTAGCGGGAATAAAACAACAGACGCAATATTTCAATCACATCGATCATTGCGCACGGCTTCGAAAGTCAAATTGTTTTGAGAAGTACAGGCGATAAATCTGCCCTTATCAGCAATATATACGCAGAAAAATTGCTACGTGAAGAAAACAATAATCGTTAATTATTTAACACTGGCGAATTTCAATTTCAACTGCAATTCAAATTGAATCCTCCGAGATTCGTGGAAAAAAAATTCTAATTTTGAACTCACCTTTTGGCGCGTTTGGAAACTTCGCTTCACATTTTCACTTGGAGTCAACGCAAAATAAAGGTTTCACTCTAGTTAGAGGTAGTCCGCGTATCAATGGCTTCGTTCTGAACAACACAGTAATGTCACCAGCCCGAGTGAAATTTCCAATGAACACTGTTTTGAATAAAATTAAGAAATGGCCAATACCCATCGCGAAGTCATGGGGAATTTGAGTGAGCACAAAAAAATTGCAAGACGCCCTCAATTTCCAATTCGGTGAAGTGATTGTACCTTCAATGGTACTCTCACGATTTCCTAAGTGGATCCAGAACTCATTAAAAAAGACAAACAAGAATTTCTCAATGGACAAAAATTAATTTTAAGATTGCTCGATAAAATTATTTGAAATATTTGTGAAAATCTTACCTCAATTAGCTTTTTGACGATTTCCTCTGTAATGCGATTTATTGTCAGCTAAGGAACATATTACTGCGGTGTTTTGACGATAAACTAGCAAATTTTTTTCTTCATGCGATAAACAATACTTTAACAGATTAAAAACAAAAAATACAATTTTACGAAACGCTTGCGCCATGAATGCCTTGCGAAGGATTTCCAGTTGTCTGAAAATTAAATGTGAATTATTTCAAAAAGACTTTTCAAAACAATAGCCTAATGCTATCATCGTAGCTTTTGTTTACACAGCAAGGGACTCCAAGGCCAAGCGAAAACAAAGGAAGTTTATGAATAGTTTTATCAGGTGTTTTTGTCGCAAAGGACAATTGAGGAGGAATAGTGTTTCACCTTATGTACATCGTCTTTTGTGAATCCTCCGCGCGTAAACTTAACTGTACATAGAGCCAAAAAAGAGACTTAATATACTGAAGAACACAAAAGAGAAAGCGAAGGTCGAATCATGTCAATTTTACTTGCTCTTTTGAGAGAAAAAAAAATACTTTGCGCCCTAGTTATCACGTTTTAAACCAGGAATTTCTGAAAAGAAAGAGAACTTTTTCAGAGTCAGAGTGTCTGTTAGAGCAAATTGAAAAAATGTGAAGTGTTTCCCTTAAAAATTAGTTAACTTGACTATTTCACGATTTATCTAAATAAATATTTCATGATGTTTTAAGTCCCCTCCATATTTTTTCCTTCCCACGTATTAGACTAAGAACGATCGCTAACTCTACTGTCTGTATATATTATTTACAGTTTCGCCACATTTGCCCTAATTCTGCCTTCTTTGCATACGAGTACAACATCCTGCAAACTATAAACATCTTAAAGAATAGGTCAAGTCGTATAGCTAGTATAAACTTTGTGCTCTCTGAAGCTTCTAAGAACCGTCGAATAGGGTCTGTTTGGTGTATTCAACTGAGGACATACCATTCGAACATATCAGGTTGACCACAGAAATCCATCCTGAACAATATTACCGTCCATGAAATTTGTAATTCGACTAAATTAGTCGGTTTTCTAAATGACATTTTCCTTTCTTAGAGGAACTGATATCAGAGTTAAGAAAAAGAGGCCTACTTTTTAACTTACTGGTCTAGCCCGTTATTACAGACTAATGGTAATGCCTTTAGGATATGTATAGGAACTTCAAGTTTGCTTTGACAGCTTTTATGGGCCATATATTACAGAGATGAGCCGCACTTGGGGACGATGTTCTGAATTTGTATAGTTTTCTAACAGCATGGAATAAAATCAGTTCCGACTAAAAATGAACTTAATTTACCCCTAAATATTCGAAGACTTCCTATACAAACTTGTTGTCAAGATATTCTAAGCCACATCACACACTACAGCTTATCCCTGGATTTAGAATTGATTGCTATCTGAAACAAAATCGTTAACCGCAAATCCTTAAAGACCACTGAGAAGGGCGGAAAATTCCCATTAACAGGTGAGGTATACAGCAATTGCATGTTAATGATACATTTATGCGGTGTGCTTTACACCTACATAGCATCATAACACATCGCTATAATGTCTTTATCACAAGTGGAATTGCACGAGGAAACTCAAATCTCTTGAAAGGAATTCTTCGGAAATAAAGTTCTTTATCCTCAAATTTTCTGTTATTTTAAGGTTCCTATAAAAACACTCGAGTTTCAATTAGTTCACACTTTGATTCGAGAAAGCTCCTTGCTGTGAAATAGAATGTTGTCATGTTTTGTTTTTTTGTCATGTTTTCTTTAAACTTTAAGCTAAACTTCCTCATGATTTGCAATCTGCCTATCTGCTATTTCAAAAGGAGCCGTTAGTATGCATTACAGACTAATAAATAAAAAGTAATCACCAATATAGCGCTACACTGAAAACACTGCCGCTTTGTCAAAGTTACACTTCAATTTGAATCACAATCAAACGAGTCCCTGAGAGACCGAGGTACCAAACAAGTTGTCTTGTTAATCCCTGTGATAAATCTTTTAAATGTAGAATTGTTATTTTTGAAAAGCTTCTGAAGCCGAAAACAACTAACCTAGTTATTAACTTCGTCATTTATGCACATAAATTTAGAAGAGGAACGAATTAGTATAAGAATCTTTGTCATTAACGACTCCATTTAGGAGTTTCGGTAAAAAAAAGGGTTTCATCTGGTTGCCGTTGTTACTCGGGGGCTTTTCTATGATTGTTTTTAGTCGTCAAGCGTAGACAAGAGCAGAACCAAGTATTTATGCCGTTCGATATGCTATGATTTAGTAGCAAACAGTTCGTAAACCTCATTGCGAAGACGGGAGCGGAAAGAATTTTCTGATGTAAACATTGTTTGTCAGTTAAACCTTTCCTTTTTAGTTTGCTTCGATTGAGAATTAATAGTTAAGACAGTTCGACCGAACTAACAAGCTTAATAACTTTTAATGCACAGTACAAGTTTTGGGTTACTTATCATTGTAGTCTAATTGACAAAAATGTTAGGCCTGTCCAAAATGAGCCGGAATTCGTAAATATGTCGCTGGAAATAGTGCACCTTTTTTAGCAATAAACAACTTAATCAACATATATGACACCGCGTGATTCTAGACAGAGAAAAATAATACTATATTCTGAACTCGTACAGAATAGCCGGAGGATTGATAACTTATCAACGGTATACTGCAAAGAAAAATGATCAGCGAAGGGAAATGTCCGCAGCAGTTTAAGCAATTAGCTTGAAAGATTCGAAACCTCAAAATAACAAATCTTTCCTCTAACACTAGTTTTCCCTACTTGGACTAACTACATGATCGATGGAATTGGCATTCATGGGTGTCAACGTGTTTTTTCCTTAAGCGGCTGTCGATGATGTAAAAACCAGCTATGCCCTGAGAAGGGGCTGTAAGACAAACCAAACTGAAGAGCTCGGTTGCAGGATAATCAGACGTTAGTAAAAGGTTTTATAGGCGCATGGCAGTAGGCTGCCGGCAACCAGTAGTTATTGAAACCGCTGTTAGTTATTTGTATCGTTTGACGCCATAAGCTGAAATTGTTTATAAGTTGTGATAGTTGTGACAGTCTTAAAGGAACACTTTGATTATGTCCTGTTAACTTTCTTTTGGCTGGTTTTTTTTTCTGTTTTTTAAGTAACAGGACTGTAACGTTGTCATTCAACGTTACGTGAAACGTTCTTACCTGATAGTTTGACGACGGGGGAGGAATCGTTTTCTTCGCAATAGACTACTTGTGATCTGATTGTCCTGCTGCAGCCCTACAAATGTGAGAGGAGAGGAAATTGAAAATTGACATGTGAATGGGATGGGACTGGGTCGAGACCACGCACACCAAGCAACTTGTCTCGTCCCAGTCTCTCGTCATCTCAGGATACTCCTCTCAAACTCTCTCTTCTCGGTACTTAGTACATTCATTTTTCATTTTAGCTCCGTTTGAGAGATTACCACTTGGTAAATATCATGATAAAGCATAAAACATAGTTAATAGAAGAGTCATTTACAAGAACCCAAAGTATCTTTGTATTTCTATTTAACGGCGAGTGCATCAGTCAAACCCGCTCAATTCGTCGTGGTCTATTTCATTACTACAAAAGTGAGTCATAAAAAAAAATTTAGCTGCTTTGTCCGAAAAATTTTTCTTCTCGAAAAGCGTGTCTTAGGCAATGTTCATTACACTGTAATATGCAATAACGTGGGTGCAATAGCTTTCTTCCCCATACATCCAAAGATATTGCCACTATCTGATGCCTCCAGGTAAGGGAAAATCAACTGCAGCTCCTGCACGCAAATCAAAGGTATTAAGTACTATTATTACTATATCTCTTAGTTAGTACGTGCGCTATCGTGATTGGTCTCTTTGGCAGGCCGTTTTATCACTGACGGCTCGCTTACTCCAAAAGCATGGTTTGATCGCCAAAATGTCTCTTGAAGAAAAACTTGAAACATATTTAAAGGAAAAGTACACAAACGATGAAAAAACAACAAAAAACTCAGATGCAGATATCCCAGACTTTCGAGCTGGTTTCTTAGAGATTCCGGAGGAAGACAGGCGACGAATGGAGAAAGACAAGCTCGATGAAGACAACTCGAGTCGAGAACTAGATGATTTCATCGCCGCCGACAAATCGTCGAACACTGTGAAAAACACGAAATACAAGCAGGTCGATGGAAATTTTAATGTAATGAACATACCTTGTGCTCTTGACGAGCTCTTTGGCAAGTTCTTTAAAGATGTCCACGAGCAAAATGCGGTGAGTGCGAACCAGACAGTATTTCAAGTTTTTCCTAAAAAGCAAACTCGAGTTATCTTCGTCTTGCTCGTCATTCACTGTTTTCCGTTTGTCCTCCACTAAAATCTCTTCAATGTAGGTTAGCTGCAAAACGATGCCTCATCCTTCTTTCTCTACGTCAAGAAACTTCGGCTCAGTTTTCAACCGTGTCTTTAATCTTATTCAATCTGCACTGAGTGATCTACCTGGAAGCTTCCATGGAAACGCCGCAAAACACCAAAAATTTGATACTAATCGTTGAAAGACCCCTGTTTTGTTTTCGATTGCATCGATAAAGTTCATTCATTCATTCATTCATTTAACGTTGACCTTGAACAAAGTTAGCCGTCCTCACTGTCACGTACTTTCTACGAAGAAACACGTTGTGCCCTGCAAATTTCGGGTATTTAAAAAAAACTCTCGACAAAAGCCAATTACCTGCAGAACGTTGTATCACAGTTCCTTACAGAAAACTTTATATACTTGAACTGTTCTTTCATGTAAGTTCGCATTATCTGAAACTATTTATATTAAACAAATATTTTGAGTTTTTGACGAATCAAAGACCACTTATGGCCCAAGTGATTCGCCCTTGAGCCATAAATCCGAATGGAAACAACGAAGTTCGTAACTTACAGTAAGGCCTTCGAACTCAGTTAGTAAGAGGTATATATGCAATCAACCGTTTCAGAAATATTGCCTGATTTTAAAAGCATAGCTCCACATACGTTTGATAAGACCCAAAACCGCCACCGACAAATGCTTCAGATACGCTCGAATTTATGCTTTTTACCCCTTATCTCCAAACAGCAACCGGCATCTGATTTTTCCATACATCATCACAGTACTGAATTAAGCATTAAGGTTTGCGTGAGAATTCAGGAAATGACTACTTCTTAGAGCGATTTTGATTTTTAAATAATTCATGTTCTCCTTGTCTCCTCAAACTAAAATATTTCATTCTACATATGCATTTACGGCATGAACTTGCTTCATCTGCATTTCCTGTGTCAAAATGTGGATATGGATAAATTAACTTTAAAACACAAGTCTGTAGCGCTAACGCACTTATCTTCGAGTGGAGAGACAGTTAAGTGAGACAAACAACAATGAGGCGTGGGCAGCCAGACGTCATACAAGACAAATATGGTAAGAACGTTCCAGGCTAAAAAAAAAAATAACTAACGAAAACTTTTCTGAGTGACGCCGACTTCCGTCGTTTGTCTCAACCGCAAACTTAAACTTAATTAAAATATGGAGAGTAATGATTTCAGTCTTAAGCAGTGATGTATCGTCTACTTTAGTCGTGTCATTTCACTTTCTGTAAGCAATTTATCAAAACAATAATTGGCATGTTAAGTCAGAATATCGATAATAACAATTCCACAGCTGAGAGAAAAACAAGTTTGGGTGCTATGTTGCTTTTAATCTCCGCAGGTGTCCACGACACAAAGGTAAGACACAATAAACGTGACTTCCAATCGTTTATTCTCTTCATCAAGATAATTAAATACTGTTTGTTTCATCGTTCCAGACCTGGAAAACATGTTAGAGAATGCAGTTTCGCCCAATTTTCCGTTTCAAAACTAGTCTCAAGGGTGTTGGTCCATTAAATGTTGAATGCATGTACTGTGGCTGAGAACTTGACAATTTTAAAAACATCAGATGTACAGTAATTTGGAATCACGCAGTGAAATGAAAAGTCTGTCGAGAAATGTCTGCCAAACCTCTTCAGGAACGGCAGATTTTAGGCCTGTTTATTTAAGGCTTATTGACCAGCGATGTGCTTTAATAAGACTTATCAAATCGAGTAGTTTTTCATCTTTTGCTGATCGTATCGGAACGTTTTGTTCCAGCTGGGAGACACAGCGAAAACCGTCGGGTAATCTGCCTTATTTTACGTCCAATTCGTGCTTTTCCGAGCTCTTGAACAGCAAGTTATTATTTCTACTGAGCCAGTAACTTATATTTATTACCCAGTGATTTAAAACAGATCGATCCCCTCCACAAATTTTCATTCTTCTAAGTAAATACCAATATTTTCAACCCATTCCTCAAGGATGCGAAATTTTACAAGCTGGAATGTTTCAATGCTTGCGTTCTAACTGCATAATTTGCAGATGTGGAAGAATTTGCGCTTCGCTAAATTTCGAAATCACGCTTGGGTCTGGACAAAGCTGTCATCTTACCATAAACAGCCATTTTACTGGTTGCGAAGACGGTGGAATTCGCTCAGTTAAAACGGTAAGACCAATGGATAGTGGTGCGTGCTCAATCCATACCGGGATCAAATTCCGCACTAACCTGTAAATCTGTTCTCCAGTGATACAACCGAGACTGCCTATCCAACACCTTTGGACACTTGATACTTCGCCTCTTCGTGCTCTTTTAGTTAAATCCACCAAGAAAGGTTGTAAATGTGGACCGACGTTGTTGATTCGATGGCGTCTAAAGATTAACTTTCGTTCCGCTTAATTGGCGGCATTTAGATCACAGCAGGAATAATATTATTTCCTGCGGCCAATGGTTGAGTGGGTAGCTCTCAACCAGCGCATGCTCAATTTTTTGGTGGGTCACGTTTTCTCTTTGGTTTTTCAAGCGGCTTAAAGAGACTTTCTTACTGAACAAATACAAGCGATTTGTACCATATTGGGCAGCTTAAATCTTACAGCATTTGTCGAGCCGAGTAGCTTGGCTGTGTGGTCCATTTTCATGCATGGTCGTTCTTGCGTGATACCCTAATCTATCGCTAATGCTACCCCTCGGGGTGGATTCGTAATAGTTCCACTAACTAACTCCTCGCCTGCTAAACTAAATGAACCAATCAAAATTTGTAGTCATATGTCTGTTTGCGAAGTGGTCCTTGTAGTTAATGGGTTTCACACTGATAGATTTTCCATGGATGATTAGACCATGACCTTGCCTTCGCAAAATATGAATCAACTCATCATTAATAACGCCTGCAGCAAATCCATAGCTGAATAACACTCAATAACTCTAACAATATTTTGACAGAAGCTTTGTTAAAACTTCAGATCTGAGATTGAAATATCTTAAATTATTTACTTGTAACTTGGAAGGTTTCCTGATATATTCTCACTGCATCGACAATCCTGATAAGAATACCTTTGTTGAGTTTCATGTCAGAGAGGCACTTTCACCATTTTAGAATAAAGTACGTCTAAATGCCCGAAAGATATTATATTAGAAATTTAATTATACATAGCAAGTTAACATTCCTAATTAGCTTTGTGGCATCATTATCTCAGCGATAAAGCCGCTGCATTTTACACATAACGTCCAGACAATCAGAAGTGACAAAGTTTGGACAAAGTGCTTTTGGATGGCTTTTGTGGGTTATTATCTAAAAGTAAAAGGACATTTTTTTCCTTAAATGTTGGGCCACAGCTTTTAGTATATTCTAGCGCCTCTGGTAACATTAAGCTAAGTTTAGCCGGATAAAAAAGATGCCTCAGGGAAGGCCATCTTCGTTTTCGGTGAGTGAATAACTTTTTTCCTATCCCGTTACGAAGCTGAAAAAGAACATAAAAAAATTGACGGATGTTTTGTTGCACAAAGTTCAGGTTATATTTTGCGAATGAGCAAATGAATATATATCTACCATCAGTGTAAGAAATATTTATTCACAATCTTTCTGTTGTAAAGGCAGCTGGATTCTTACGACGCAAATTGAAACCAGCAAAATCCAATTGAATTGAATTCAAGAGGTGGGAACGACCAATTTAATTCAATTACATTCGTTAATTGCAGTGAAATATTTAAGAATAACGTGTGCGTCTGAATACCTAAACTACTTTAACAAAAAAGGGAATTTGCGACAGAGATTTAGAAACTTGATGAAAATTACTCAATTTTTTATTCAAGGCGCGAATGATATCTTTTTTCCACACGGAAAAAAATGACCAGACGCGGGAGCAAAAGCTAGCAAACTGGGTCTATCACGCCGATCTGATCACAAACATCTTAGGCTTTTCTGATGTTTTCCAGCCTGTTCCTTTTAGGGAGGGGGGCGAATAGGGGTACACCCATTCGTTGATTAGCACCAAGTGTCACCCAAACATTACTTTTTTTAAAATATGGATAACTTTTTAAAAAAAAAAAATTTCCGTGGATAATCTTTTTCCTATGAAAAAAATTTTATTCAAATTTTCCTGGCTTAACTTGGCATTGAGAGAGTACCTAATCTTTTCTCCTATTCAGAAAGGGTTTCATAAAGTGAATCTGTTGGGCCGCGTCGGTGGGAGGGTACAACAGAGTGAATGACGAGGGGCTTACGCACGAAACGCCAGCTTTGAAACTCTTTACGGTGGCTAATTTACGTTATGAACTCAGCTGATATTACTAAATTTTCCAGGGTTTTATAATTTTCTTTAAATGCCGAAGACTTAAAATGTTCACCATAGCTGTCAAGGCTGACATCGAGGACTGTTACTAAATCAATAGAATCAGTTAATACCGAATGAGGAAAAAACTAAATTTGAGTACATGAATTACATAAGCTTCGAAAGGGAGCACTGGCCGATGAATCGTGATGAATATGGACAAAAAGCTCGTTATAAATTCCAATATCTAGCTTTTATTTTTCCGAAAACTGACTACAAATGAATCGAAAGTTTCGCGCGAAAAATTGTGAGAAACGGCAAAACATCAAGGATACAGAGGCAGCGGATCAATATCAGTATCTGGGTAACTGCCCACCTACCCCTCCCCTAACCCGACATTAACCTTGACTTGTTGTCAATTGACTGTTGTTCAGTGAGGGGAGGGGTAGGTGGGAAGTTGCCCAAGTACTGATCGTGACCGAGGCAGCAATAGCTCATTGTATATCAGCGGTTACCAGTAGAATTTTGTGCTCGCCGCGGCCGTTTGCCAACATTGTGGGAATCAAACTTGAAGACACTTAAAATACGAAAAAAAAAAATCATCAGTTCCCAAATGTTACCTCTCGTTATTTATCGAAATTTACCGAAGTGCAAAGTCATCAACAATCGCTAATCATGCAGTCAGAACACAAGCATTGAAATATTCCAGCCTGTAAAACTTCGCATTCTAGAGGAAAAGCTAGATCACTGGGTAACAACGTACGTTATTAAACCAAAATCAAATAGAAACGCCGCAAGAGCGATGGCTTGAAAAACAGAAATCTAGTTGTTTTACCAAAACAGAAGCGACGCAAACGGATCATTCGGTGAAAGTTAAAAATTTCCAACCGCCTGAGGTCTACCGAGACTCCTTGTCGAGTTTATAAGACATTGTTCCGTTCATTCAAAACATGCCTGACCTAATGAGAGGGTTGCCCATCTGTTTCTGTTGACGACGAATTGTTAGCATCTGAAAAAATAATTACCAATCAAATTCTCGATCGCAACTTTCTTAGCCGGGACTACAAGGAGACTGAAAGTTCTGGGTGCAAAGCTTTGTGAACCAGCTCCTATTTCTTGGTGCCCGCTTCTATGTCTCAAACTTGCGAACAATACTGTAGCAGTAAAGGATTAGGAATGACGAAAAAACTGAAGTCAATGTGTTGTTAAGGCTTTTGACTTTGTCTGGCCATAAATGCTACGTAAAATCCACTAGTGCCTCAGGTTTGCGGTTTTTTTGGTAACGAAAAAGTATAGCCATGCAAAATAGAAAGACATGAAGTCACTTACCGTAAAATTCCAGAATTAATGGGAATTTTTCTTTTAAATTTCTTCGCCTTGCGTGAACCTTAAGAACAACATCCCATTTATGAAACTCATTCGCGCAGCTTTTTATGTCGTTTCCTTCGTTCACCACCACACAGCAAACGTTTACGAATGTATACAACGCTTCTGCGATGATAACCTTGAAGTTTTATAAATTGAACTGACTACTTGTCGGTTAGTTTGTACCTGTCGTAACTCAGGGCAAAAAAGGATAGTTAAACGCAAGGTGTGCTGGCTGAGATAATTTCCTTCCCAAGGTCATGTTCCACAAAACAAACCCGTTCACACTGTGTACAGCTCAAACACAGTTCGCAAGATTTTTTGAATGTAGTTAACCTCGTAACCTTGAACGTCTCTAGGATCTTAAATTTACTGTATTTCGCTTAAATATCCAGGTTACACTTCGTAAACTCTCCGGTCGTAAAGCGATGCAAATGTCATGTGATTATTTTGCCGTTTTGGCGGTCGGAAAAATCGGTGACTTCCGGTCGTTTTTTATTTAGAAAAGTTTGTGTGTGAGAACAAATTTAGTAAGCTCGCACCAAAATATCGAAAAGAGGAGAGTTTGATGGAGAAAATTTTATTCCATTTGCACTTGTTGAATTTCTGTTTAGTTGTGGATATCAGTGGAATAATTGTTTAAAAGACGAGAAACAAAGTGCAAAGGATTGCGTGGTTGCTTAAAATTTTAATAAAATTTGACAAGTGCCAGCGAAGGTAAAAAATTATAGCTCATCCAGATGGATTCCTCTTCTGAAACCTGCAGTTGTGTAATTCTTACCTGGAGGAAAGATCCGGAAACAACCCTCCCTTACTTTCCTCAGAACAACTTACCACGGAAAGATGGCCGCCGCGCACTAGGAAATTTACAATTCTGATTTAACGACCCAAGATAAAGTTGTCAGTTGTGTTATCAGTTACCTCTACTTGAATTTTTCGTGTAAAGCTGCCCCTGGAATTGAATATCGTTGAAGAAATACGGCCGAATGGAGCACAAAGAGGGACAAAAAATCAAGTATTTTGTCTCTACTAGCTGCGTGACTAAGTTTAAAGGCCATCTTAACTTCATTTTCACGTAAATTTGAAGTCGACGGGCCAGCCAGAGTAGTTCATCTCAGGGAATCAAAATAAAGAAAATTCAAAGCACAGCAACGTAGGACAAAAACAATTCATCCAATTTGTTCTCTATTTTATGCCCTAGCCATTGCGTTACACTAAGCTAGCTAGGATGTAAATTTTGTACGTGATCCGCTGACCAGATATGTCATCAGAACATTTCAGTTTCCAATGAGTTGTTGTATCGAGACTCGTACACTGTAACTGTGACCACGAAAATGTGTTGGGGAAACTTATCTTCGTACAAGCAAGATAGTATCTGGTCGTGGTTTATTTGTTTCTGTACGACGATATGCATGATCTTTTCAGTTGGATTCACGTTCGCTCTTGGCGTTCTCTTTCCAGTTTTGATGAATTATTTTGACGAAAACCGCGAGAAAACGGGTGAGTGTGTTTTGTATCGCATCGGTTTAGCATGGAATTTTGATGTTACCGAAGATATCCTGCCTTAAAAGTTTATTTCAGTCGATAGCGCTTGTTTTACTCGTATAGAAGGAAATAATGATGCAATACATAGTTACACCTGTAATTAACGACGTAATTTCTTTCAGTCGGTAGCGTGTATATGTAAGATTTTACGCTAGTAACTAACAGCGTAATTTCTTCCAGTCGGTATATTATACTGTTACTCACATATTACGCCGTTATCAAACAACCGGAATTATATATAACGAGTTGTTGATTTCTGTTCAGCTGAGGCAGGATGTGTAAAGACGAGAATTGACTACTAAGGGGAAATTATACTGCGTTTTGTGGCTCAAATATTAAAAAGCGTTAAAGAGCGATCTAGTCTCACGGGAGAAGGCCCTGAATACCTTATTCACGATCTCTCTTATTGTGACGCAAAACGTGAGTCAGCTTTAGAGAGATGTCCCTTTAGAGGTTTAATATCATCGTTCTGAAGTCCATTGTATGAAAAACAGAACAACGAAAACTCGACTGAAATCATGCAGTAAAAACAATTCTAAATGTTTTGAACTGTGCTTTCCCTTTGTTTACTATGTCACGAAAAACTGTCATAACCGTCACGCAACGATTCTCACCTCTCGTCACTATTCCTAACACATTGACACAGACTGCCAGCCATTGTTAGTTTGACTAATAACTCATAGGCTGAGTTAATGCAGATGGCAGGCCTTACGCAAGACCTAGACCAGAAATTCAGAACCAGCCAACGGAATAGGCTAACATTCTGTAGCTAGGTGCAAAACATTTCTAGTGACCTCCATGTGAGGTGCACGAGATTAACACTATCCTTTTCATACCCAAACCTTTGCACTTACTCTTGTTCTACTACAGAAACATTGAATATCTTGGAAATGGTTTCTTTTCATCCCAATATTTAGGAATCAAGTTTTCGATGTGAAAGTGTCTTTAAACAACCGCTTTAATGCGTAAATCCCATATGTTCTAGAGTAATTAATTCTTTGGACTTAAATTTGGAAAATCAAAACTCCATTACGACAAGTAATAATTTAACGGCCAGTATAACTTCTGTCTTTTCCGCAGCATGGGTTTCGTCTATAATAATAGGCGTATTTTGCTTTCTTGGTCCTGTTTCGAGTGCAATCCTAAACAGATTTGATGTTCGTGTCACAACCATTTTGGGTTGTTTGTCGTGTGCCGTTGGCCTTGCATTGGGTTCATTTGCTCCAAACATCATCACCCTCTACGTTGCCTTCAGTTTGCCATTTTCTATTGGGGTATCGGCTATTTACGTGGTTTCGCCAATTATTGTGTTTCAATACTTCACCAAGAAACGGTCCTTTGCTCTTGGAATTGTGACCGCTGGGCAAGGAATTGGAACGATGATTCTTGGACCAGCTCTTCAAGCGTTAGTTGATTTGTTTGGTTGGAAGAACTCTTTCCGTTTTTTCGCTGGTATTTTAGGTATTGCATCAGTTACTGGAGTCATCCTTCATAGAAAAAGTACATCTGTAAGGACTGATGAAAAACAGGAAGCTCGTAGAAAGAAACGTCCGCAAAACCTTTCGTTACTAAGGGATCCTATCATCTGCATGATAGTGCTGAGAAATGGACTTGCCACATTTGCTCGTCTGGTGCCATACGTACACATAGTAAGTGTCTAATCTCTAGGCCCACATTACAGTTTGTGATTTAGTGTACCAAGCCAATCCTGCAATCGGCAAACTCTGAATCCCCACGGTATCGACGAACGCTTTTCATCCAACTTATTTATTCTTGTGTTTTTCTCGTTACCATGCTCCTAACAAAAGCGTAGCTCCATCTCTGTATATAAATCACATAAAAACCTTAATTCTTTTATTCGCACTGACGATGGGCTAACACTCAGAAAGCTTATAAACTCCCTATGGTGGCTACTTCCCGATGTCAACTCAGTTTATAAAAAAAGTAAAAAAGGCTAAGAGACCAGCATCTTAAGAGTCACACTAGTATGATCAAGCGACTCACTTTGGTGGCGTACGCTCAAACCTCACAATGTCCAATTCTTTTTTCAGATAAAGTATTGTGATGATCTCGGTATTCCAGCTAACAAAAGCTCCTTTCTATATCTATTTATGGGTATTTTCGCCACCATCGGACGTCTTGGGGCAGGATTTTTGTGCAGTTTGAGATTCATAAAAGCCCGATGTCTCCAACAAGTTGGGACATTTATTGTCGCGGTGTCTACAATGCTACTTACCTTGACAACTACTTATGCTGGACTGATTGCTTTCGTCATTATATTCAGTGTTGCAGATGGTATTTTGATAACAGCTCTCATAATCGAATGTATGGAATCCGTTGAAGATTCGTTAAGGGCATCCGCGTTTGGGCTTGTATTAATGGTTGCGGGTGGATTTGCTTTAGGTAGCCCACCCTTATCAGGTATGGAATGATACTTATTGTCCGTAGATTAGGCGCTTTCGTGTGAAAACCTCTCCCCACTCCCCTCCCCCTTCTCCCCCCTCCCCTTTCCCCTGTCTCTTCCCTCTCTTCCCTCTCTTCCCTCTCTTCCCTCTCTTCCCTCTCTTCCCTCTCTTCCCTCTCTTCCCTCTCTTCCCTCTCCCCCTTCCCCTCTCTCCCCTCTCTTCCCTCTCTTCCCTCTCTTCCCTCTCTTCTCTCTCTTACCTCTCTTCCCTCTTTCCCCTCTCTCCCCTCTTTCCCCTCTCTCCCCTCTCTTCCCTCTTTTCCCTCTCTTCCCTCTCTTCCCCCTCTTCCCCCTCTTCCCTCTCTTCCCTCCCTTCCCTCTCTCCCCTCTCTCCCCTCTCCCCCCCTCTTCCCCTCTCTTCCCTCTCTTCCCTCTCTTCCCCCTCTTCCCCCTCTTCCCCCTCTTTCCTCTCTTCCTCTCTTCCCTCTCTTCCCCTCTTCCCCCTCTTCCCTCTCTTTCCTCTCTTCCTCTCTTCCCTCTCTTCCCTCTCTCCCCCCTCTTCCCCCTCTTCCCCCCTCTTCCTTCTTCCCCTCTCTTCCCCCTTCCCCTCTTCCCCCTCTTCCCCTCTTCCCCCTCTTCCTCTCTTCCTCTCTCCCCCCTCTCCCCTCTCCCCCCCTTCCCCCCCTCTTCCCCCCTCTTCCCCCTCTTCCCCCCTCCCCCTCTTCCCCTCTTCCCCTCTCTCCCCCCTCTTCCCTCTCGTTTTAAAACGAATCAGATCAGTACATCCTCTCTTCAGATATGCACTGAACCGTCGCCTATTGTTACTGTCTAAATTTGTTTTATCAATATTCCAGGGTTTATGGCAGATGAGTTTGGTAACTACTTTGCTGCGTTTCTTATGGCTGGTGGAGTGGCGATTGTTGCCAGTCTCATCCCATTTCTTCTCATTTGTGTGAAACAAGAACAAAAGAAAAACTTTGATGATGACGTTGAAGAGACAGTGCACCCAGGCCAATTAGAGGGTGTGGATGACACCGGATTGGAGTCCAAAGGTGGTTCTCAGGACTCAATATCTACGATTGGTAGAGATCGTCTGATAAGGTCTTCCTCATTCGCTATAGCCTTGGATAGTCCGATCTTTTGATGAAGAATATTTTGCTTCAAGTTTTTTCATAAAAAGTCTGTTATAAATTTGTTTTATGTTTTCAAATTACATTTAGTATAAAGAGTTAAGTAATGGTAGTACTGAAACGAAAACAAAACTAAACTGTTTGCAAAGTCTAGGATTCACTCGTGTTGCAACGCTCACACGACTGCCACACAACGAAAATGACTTAGATGGCATGATGATTACAAAGTACTGAACTAGAGATAAGTTGAGATAAGAGAGATCAAAAGATTGTCTCTGTTGTAAGGCGATGTGTGCAGCGCTGACCACTAGCACAAGAGTAATCCATACATACGTATACCTACATACATTTAATTAATACTTTTGATACAAATTTACATATTTCATACTCTGACAGGTAGCTTTACTACAAACAACGTTTAATTTCAATAGATTAAAATTCCGGAAAGAATGCTCTGCTACCGTCGAACCTGTATTAAGCGGTCACCCATGGGGAATGGTGACCGCTTTATACAGATTGAACGCTTAATACAGTTTCACAGATTTATTTTAAAAAACAATTCAAAACGCCACTTTATGCCAAAATTGACCACTTAATCTACAGAATCTCGCTCAGAAATACCACTTTCTTTGATTTTGGGAAAGGAACATGGATTCAACATTACGTGAAAGATTATTCTTAGTTATATTTGAGTAGTTCCACAGATGGAAAACAATAAGAACAGGCCGTTGGGAGGGACCAAATAATAAAGGTAACCCCTAGAAATGAAAATTATTGTGGTTAAGGGGAAAAAAATTCGGGACTTTGACAACTGACCGCTTATTACAGGGTGACCGCTAAATACAGAGCCGCGTAATGCACGTTCGACTGTCTATTGGTCCTTCCCTCGAATGACTCACAGGGCCAGCTTTGAAGGTTACAGCTTTGCTGACGTGGTACTTCTACCTTTGTGTCTCTTGATATCAACTTCTTCCGCTGAATGTGTTTGAACTTTTGAATCGCTGTACTCTAAACTAAACAAAGCATATGAATGAATTGAAAAAACTTATGGAAAAAGAAAACGGGGAGAATAATAGAACAAATATTTCTTTCAGAAACAGTAATCGAGAGAAAATGTGAAGCAATTGTATTTTATACTTGAGAAATATTTACCGACTCTAAAACTATGTATTATGAGTTAAATAAAAGTTTTCTAAAATATGTAAATGTGTGATTATTTGGGTAACCGGACTAAAGTATGCTTTGGCTCCACTAAAAAAACTCAACAGATGACCTTCAGGCCAACTTAAGAGAAAGTAAGTCTTAGCTCGCAAGTTGTAAAAATCGCATGTTCCTTATGCGATAAGATGCCAGATTCTCACCATCCTTACAAGCTAAGTTTGTAGGCGATGTTTGACGCCATTGGTAAATAATTAGACAGGTGTGACGGGCCCTATCCGATGATTGCACAATTAAATAACATTCAGTCACCCAGAACACAAATTTAAAAATTGTTTTGTTTATATAGCCGTTATGCCCTTGATTCAATTGCATCTTCAGGCTGGTGTGTAACAAAAATGTCGTAAAATTTCCAAAAAGCAGCTTATTAAGTGCATCGGGCAACAGCAGTGCCGGCAGATTTCATGTTTGCATTTTTCATTGTAAAATTGAAAAAGATGATATAACCGAGATAATAAGGTATTTCATCCCCTCTGGTTCAGTAAGAGGTTTGCGTTTTGGAAGTGAATACATCGTTATTTCAGTTCTTGTCGTGCAAGATGAGGCAATATCTAATCTTCTCCCTGCGCTGAGCATTCGCGCGTTTCTTTCTTTTGTAAAAAAAAATATCTAAACGCAGATAGAAGATTGAACACGAGTCAGGAAATGCCGGGTGAAAAAATTACTACTAGGACTTACGCAATTTCTCAAAACAGAGCCCAACTCAAGCCGGGATATCGCGCAGAGTTCTTATTGTTCTCGCAACATTTATTTACAATGGCGAAAAAATTAGAGACCTGTAATATCAGCAGCGAAACGTTATCTGGAGAACTTTGATTGGTCAAAGGGAATATTGCTTGAGCTCATCAACTGTTCAAGCGAGCTAAGAAACGATAGCCTAGAGAGTTATTGTTTACGCTATTGTTAGAAAAAAATCACACATTATATATATATGCGTGTGTTATAGGCTGGATGAGCGTTCGATTTTGAAACCGGCCTGATTACACATTCATCTCTTTCTACGTCTTGCTCAACAAACACTTTGGTTCTATCATTACCCGTTGTTTCTTCCATTCTCACTTGCTTCTACTTGCATTGTTTGCGTACACCTGCCCTTGGGACTGAATATAGTTGTAGAAGGTCAACTGAATCGAGCGCAAAGAGGGTGAAAAAATTGCAACCAGGAATTACGCAAGTTTTTGAAACAGAGCTCACCGCAAGCTTTCTTCCATTCGCACTTGCTTCTATTTGCATTGTTTGCGTAACCTGCCCTTGAGACTGAATATCATTGAAGAAAGTCAGCTGAATCGAACTCAAAGAGAAACGAAAAAAATTAATTTAGTTTGTCCTTTTGGTTTATTTCTAAACTGCATAATTACTTAAACATCTGAGCCAGAGACTGCGTGACAACGATGCATGAAGGGCATCTCGGCTCCATTTCCAAGTAAATTTGAAGGTGACATAACAACCGGACTCTAAAAATAAAATAATAATTGATTAAAATCGAAAGTAAAAAAAAAGGGAAATAAAGACCGAAAGCACAACAACGAAGTATCACAAACAACCACATTTTCTTTAAAATGCACTAGCCATTGCGTTACACTGTTTGATATGCAGTTATCCGCTGACCAGATATCTGATGAAATACACTTATCCCGAAACATATCGAAACTGTTATCATGGAACTGTGCTGGGAAAAGTTATCTTCGTACAAGCAGGATAGTATCTGGTCGTGGTTTATTTGTTTCTTTACGGCGATATGCATGATCCTTTCAGTTGGATTCAGCTTTGCTCTTGGCGTTCTCTTTCCAGTTTTCATGAATTACTTCGACGAAAACCGTGAGAAAACGGGTGAGTTTGTTATCATCTATTGAACCAGTCATTAATTTTACAACCCAACTGGTATTGTATCAGCTGGGAATTTTGATGTGCCTCAGGATATCTTGGTATATACGTTTAGTTATGATTATTATCTCAGTCGATAGCGCTTGTGTCACGAATTAGAAAGCAGTGATGCAATACATTCGAAATTGTCAATCGTGAGTTGTTGATTCATGTTCAGATAGAGGCAGGATGCCAGTACCAATGACGAGAATTAACTACTATGCGTATAGGGATTTTACACAGTGCCTTGCTGCTCAAGAAACAAATTAAGGGCGTCAAAGATCAATCTGAAGCTGTAGGAATAATCATAATAAGGAATAATAGCAAAATAATCCATGCGTCGTGACGATGCATCGATTATTATGCAAAGCATGCAAAAGTCAAATTTAAAACCGGAAATGTCCGCTCACTGGTATTAAAATATTCAGTATTCTCGTACTAAAGTCCATTTGATTTAACACTAAACTCGTCGATGATAAATCATAACAATTCTAAGTGTTTTGAATTGAGCTTGTCTCAGTTGTACTATTTTCAGTTCATAGGCTTCAAGTCGTTTGATATTCGTCACGCAACGATTCTCTTCCGGCGTCACGGTCTTTATCACGATAACACAGAGTAGTCGGGCTTCCCTTTCCTTCTCTAGGATGATTTGGCTTTACATACTGGATTGACTATGTATTGGCCACCGTAAAGAGTTTTTAGAGCTGACTATGCTTTTCCAAAAGGGAAAAATTTTTAGGATTTATGTATCTAGATTAAGTTTAATATATCAATGCCAAGATTTATATTTTTATCTCAATTGGCAGTAATGTCGCAATCTGATTGGCAAATTTGCCGTTGTCGATAAGAGTACAGACAACGCTACTCGTGTCAAAGTGTTGTGTGATGGTGACGCACTGAAAGGATCGTTTTATTTGGCGTCGACATTGTGTAACAAATATATATATATATACGAATGCAAATTTTAGCATGTAGAAACTAATCTTGATGGTAATATCTTGACGTAGATATATAAATCTTGACATTGATATATTTACGGTGGCCCACAACTGTCACGGCAAAATAAATAACCTCGCGACAAAAAAAATAACCTCGCGGCAAAAGAAACAGACTCACGGCAAAAAGGAAAAGACTCATGGCAAAAGAAAAAACCTCTCAGCAAAAGAAAAAAACCTCACGGCAAAAGAAAAAACCTCACAGCAGAAAGAAAAGACTCACGGCAAAAGAAAAAATCTCACTGCAAAAGAAATAACCTCACCGCAAAAGAAATAACAATGTCCTCACGGCCTAAAAGAGAGCGTGGGGCTTTAGGTTATTTATTTTGCCGCGACAGTTGTGGGCCACCTTATATATTAAATTTGATCTAGATATATAAACTTTGATCTTGGACAAGCATAGGCTGGCGTTTCGAACGTTAACCCTTCGTCACTCGCTCTGACGAATGACTGACCCTCGAAAAGTCAGCTTTAGAAACTGTTTACGCTGGCCAATTTGCAATGTCAACTCAGCTGAAAAAACCAACTCATCTTCTAGTACCCCCACTCACAAAGCACCACATTTTGTTTAACAACTTCCCCCGTGCTCTTTTTTTTTTTTTTTTTTCTGTGCCAGGCCTTACACGAGGGCGTGTCATGGTTCTAGAGCCTACGAGTGGAATAGGCCATTTTTGACTTTTCAAAGAGGCCGAGTGCAAAACCCTTCACTTGGAAAAACAGTCTAATTCCCGTAAAGTTGAAAAGTCACTTTCACATCAAAGCTTTCGCACTTACCACCGTTTTTTAAACGGAGGCGTTGGATATCTTGGAAATGGCTTGTTTGCATCCACATTTTTGGGAATCAAGTTTTCACTGAATTTGAACGTGTCTTAACCCTCAATGTGAAAATTGTATCCCATTATGTCCAGTAATAACTTGACGACTAATTTAACTTTATTTCTTTCTGCAGCATGGGTTTCATCTATAATAATAGGCGCCATTTGTTTCCTTGGTCCTGTTTCGAGTACAATCCTGAACAGATTTGGTATTCGTGTCACAACCATTTTGGGTTGCTTGTCGTGTGCCGTAGGCCTTGCACTGGGTTCATTTGCTCCAAACATCACCATTCTCTACATTACCTTTAGTTTGCCTTTTGGTGCAGGGGTATCGGCTATCTACGTTGTTTCGCCAATCATTGTGTATCAGTACTTCCTTAAAAAACGGTCGTTTGCTCTTGGAATTGTCTCCGCTGGGCAAGGAATGGGGACAATGATTCTTGGACCTACTCTACAAGCCTTAGGTGATATTTTTGGTTGGAAGAACTCTTTCCGTTTGTTTGCTGGGATTTTAGCTGTTGCGTCACTTACTGGAGTCATTCTTCATCGCAAAAGTACATCTTCAGTGTTGGGAGAAGAAGACGAGGCTCGTGGAAAGAAATTTGGATTTAACCTTTGGTTGTTAAGGGATCCTGTTATCATCACAATTGTGCTAAGAAATGGACTTACCGTATACACTCGTCTGGTGCCATACGTACACATAGTAAGTATCAGGTGAAAATTTTCTCAATTGAAATTTGGTGTGCCAGGCCAATCCTGCGGAATATGAAATATTTTGTTTGTATTTTATCAGCTTTTCTTCATCTTTATCTGTAAGACAGTGCGAAACCTTGGGAAAATTGCCAGAGCTGTCGTTAGAGTGAAGGATATTCAAGGTTGCATCGAGTCAGCCTTTGTTCTTGAGCATCTCGTACTCTATAGGGTTTTAACATGCCATAACGAACGCCATATTGGTTAAGGAAGGAAATGGTGGCTATTTTGGTGTATTAAGCGTTGTCTATTCATTCTACTCGTTCAGTGCACGAGGCCATTAAATTGATACTTCCAACTGTTTACCGTTGTGCGGCCACAAGGGGTTTCCCGCCCTGAAAAAGCAAGAGCACTTTTTCGTCCGCCATAATGTGTTGTATTTTATTGAAAACTTTCTTAGCAGTAGTTCCATTGCAAACTCTCCGCTTCTTAAGAAGATCTCTGCCCAAGTGAATTTCTGCGGAATCCTTCCTCAAAAGATACTCTGACGTCATACTAAGTTTGAAGAATACAGTTAACTAAGTAAAACATAGTAAGAAAAAAAAAACAGCCGCACCACTAAGCAACACTTTTGCAGAGTACATTCAAACCTAACAAATGTAAATTCTTTTTTTCAGATAAAGTATTGTGATGATCTCGGTATTCCAGCTGACAAAAGCTCCCTTCTGTATCTATTTATGGGCATTTTCGCCACCATCGGACGTCTTGGGGGAGGATTTTTGTGCAATCTGAGATTCATAAAGGCCCGATTTCTCCATCAAGCCGTGTCATTTGTGATCGGGGTGTCTACAATGCTACTGCCCTTGGCAACTACGTATGCTGGACTGGTTGCTTTCGTCATTATATTCAGTGTCGCAGATGGAATTATGATAACAACCATCACAATCGAATGTATGGAATCCGTTGACGAATCGAAAAGGGTCTCAACGTTTGGGTTTTTATTAATGGCTGCGGGTGTATTTGCTTTGGGTAGTCCACCCCTATCAGGTATACAAGGATATCTTAAGGCAGATTAGAGACAGCTTAAAGTGCTTCGATGTGATAACTTTGGCTTATTCATTTGGAGAATTTAGGACCGTTACAGTTTTACTTGAGTTATACTTTATTGAAAGAGCTTTCCATCAATTTTTCCATCCCTTAATTTTTTCATAATTGCGTTTATTCATTCACTAGTGATACAAAAAACAGTTAGATCACATCATCTCGAACCTACGAAATGATATCTGTAATTTCTTGTCTGCTTTTTTACGTCGACTTTTGTCGTGGTATCACTGTAATATCAACGAAATTCCTCCTCGAAATAAGCTTCTCTCCCCCTCTCACCCCCCCTCTTCCCCCTCCTGTCCCCACTGCCACTCCGATTCCCGATTCTCGAAGCCCCGAAGGTGGTTTTCCTGAATACATGTGGTGCGGCTCCTGTTAGATGTAGTTTTCGGAAATTCAAACAGATTAGCCTATCTATGTTCAGTTATGCACGTACTGTCGCCAAATTTAAGTGTCTTTGTTTTATTATCAATATTCCAGGGTTTATGGCAGATAAGTTTGGTAACTACTTTGCTGCGTTTCTTATGGCTGGTGGAGTGGCGATTGTTGCCAGTCTCATCCCATTTCTTCTCATTTGTGTTAAACAAGAACAAAAGAAAAACTTTGTTGATGACGTTGAAGAGACAGTGCACCCAGGCCAATTAGAGGGTGTGGACGACACCGAACTGAAGTCTAAGAGTTGGTCTCAGGATTCAATATCTACGATTGGTAGAGATCGTCTAAGGTCTTCCTCCTTTGCTACAGCCATGAATAGTCCGATGTTTTAGGGAGGAATCTTATTTGCACTCTTTTGTTGTGTTCATGTGTTTCACAAAGTGAATTAGAATTTACACATCGTGCACTGATTCGTATGAAGAGTGGAATACCTAACAGCACCGCTCGAACGGAAATCGATATTTATTACATGAGGCTGAAAACGTTAAAAGGGGCGAAAGGCCCAACAAACGGCGTTTTTTACATCTCTCCCATTGATATACGCGATTTTAATAGGTGCCATTTAAATGATCAAAGGTAAAGAGCTGGCGATTAGGTCAGATTAGAGTTGACAAAAGATGAACTCTGCGGTTTTGTGTGCCGCGCCGACCACAAGCTAAAGAGTAATCCATCGGTAAACAAACGTTTAATTTGAATAGGTTCGAATCCCGTAAAGAATGCTCCACTTTAAGTTTAACATCACGTAGTACTCTGTCCCTCTAATGACTGACAAAGCTATAACTGCTTTGTTCACGAGCAAAGAGATTAATCCGTCCTCTTTTTAAGTCTCTTTGAGATCAGCCTTTTCCGCTGAAAGTGGTTTTGAATTGCTCTTCTCCAAAGTAAACAAACTCATAAATGGTTGGAAGATTTGTTTTATGGGCAAAAAAATACTTTAAGCAGACTAACATGCCGAACAATAATTTCTTTGAGAAGTAGCAATCGAGAGAAATTGTGAAGAAAGTTTGATTTATACTTGGGAATTATTTGTGGACTCTCAAATTACTTATTTTGAGTTAAATGAAAGGTCTCTTAAATATGTAATAACGCCTGATTATTTTTGATAATCCGACTTAAGTATGCTTTAGCCCCACTCAGAAGAGTCCTTCTGCTCAACCGAAAGGACATTATGTTTTAGTTTATAAGTTATACGATGGCACGTTCTGCAATTGGGAATCTTTATTTAAAACAAGGCTAGATTGTCGCCATTGTTTCATACTTGCAAGACCTCAGTTGCGATGTTTGCCAGGCGTGTTAGGCAAATAATTTTGGTGGGCCGTTTCCGATTGGAATAAAAGGGGCCAGACAAAACACAAATTTTAACATCGTTTTGTTTATTTAGACGCGACGCACTTAAATTAATTGCACCTTGGTATGTAACAAAAATGTCCTAGAATTTCTGAAAAACTCTTTGCTATATAGACAAGTCAAATAACAGTGCAAATTTCGTTTTTGCCTCTTACGTTGTATAACTTCTGTTTCTTGTACCATTGAATTCTGGAAAGAAATGAATATGATTCTCTTCCGGCTGTTTCGGTATCCCTTGATGATACACCGTCTCAAGATAATCACAAGCGAGTTTATTTGCCCATGAAGTAGGCAGACCATTCTCTAGGAATCCACAATGGCCTCCTTTCTCAGTAGTCACCAGAAATAAATTAGAAGAAGTCTTGAAAAGGCTAAACGGAATTGTATCTTTTGTACAAATTGGATCATCGAGAGCACTAATGCAGAGTACTGGTATGTGAATGTTGGTGATACTACGCATAGGATCGTTATATTTCCAATACTCGGCCAAGGAATTGTACTGGTTTAATTTGACATACACCCGCTCATCCAGCTCTTTTATGCTTGAACTCTGAAGTGCAAGGTTATAGTTTATCACATTTCCTAAGCAAGGATGTTGGCGAAGAACACATTTGAGTTTGAACGTCCAAAGCCAGTTATACGGCTCGGGAACATTGTTAGATTTAAACAGCCCTTCGGCATCGTAACAAGGTGAAATACAAACTGCAGCATTCAATTGCGATGCATTGCCCACCTCTCCGAGGTATGACATAAGCAGTCCTGAACCTGTAGAAAAACCAATTGCAAAGATTTCCGAATAAGGATACATATGATGTATAAATTGAATAGCTTCTTCCAAATCACGTGCGTCCCCAAAGCTTTGCAAGCGATATGTCGATAATGCGGTACTACAGTGACCCCGTCTGTTGAAGACCACCGGGCGAAAGTTTCGCGCCAGAACCTCGGTGCAGACCGCAGCCATATTGGCGGCAGCACCGGTCAGGTCAGGAATAAGAAGCATCACCGGACTCACTTTTTTCATTGCTGTCTCATCTACTTCCATCCAGTCCAACGCGATGACTCCTTTGTCAGCCATTTGTAAATATTCACGCCTAAACTCAAGTTCCTCCTGCCAACAAGGCCAAACCCAGGGGAGTAAAGTCTGAAGGTGACCATTTCTGGCCCAGAATGTCGGCTTATAGTCTTCATTCAACCGTTTGCATCCTTTCTTAATGACCACACTTATTCGCGACTTCTTGTAATATAGACAAGGTTTAAATTCGTGCTTGTTTTGGTAATATCGAATGCATATTATAGTTATCACGACGACGAAGACCAGTAAAACGGCAGATAAGCACATATTTAAGCATGTGAATGCTGCCAACGAGATCGTTGTCTTGTACGTCTGCAGTTTGCAGAAATGTTGAGGGTTGCTCGATGCCTTGTTATCCAGAATTCACGACAAGCCTAATATTGTGTGTAGTAGTATACAGATACTTCTAAACATCTGGGATTGTGTACATTTCTAGCGGGTGTAATCTGTCAATACAAAATAATCAAACTGATGTTAGCCCAAGTCAACGTTGTGTCTAAGTTGTCTATTGATCATAAGAGGCTAAAAAAACGGCTTGCATGTAAACATAAATCTTTATATCTTGCACAATCTTGTTCGAATACAGTTTGTTATCGCATTTATCTCGCAATACGACCGGCCCAAGAGACATTCTTCCTTCCGATCTTAGCGCGAACCATTGTGGGCGACCCTATCATCTTCTTTCGAATTTAAATTGAAACCAAAAATTGAGATTAAATCGAGTCGGAAAATCTCCATAAAAGTTTGTCGCGTTTTTCAAAGAATATGCTAATAACTGATTTCTACCGCCTGCCCTTGCATGTATGATGAAACTAGGATGGCCGGGTTTTTTTCAGACCAGTTTTGTTTATAGCCTTCAATACATAGATGCATTACTTAATTGACAAGACGGCACAGCTTCAGGGATTACTTCTTTAAATTTCCTGTCCATAAAACCAAAGGAAAATTAAATTTGAAATGAAAGTTCTGCTTCGACGAGGAAGACACAGAAAGCCGTCGCCGAAGCCTGGAGTGAATTATCGACAGAAGTTTTGTGCTATAGCGTCCGCTTGTCAAACTGCATCAGTTGTTGTGTTTTGAAAGAAAATTGGTATCATCAAGCATAAGCGGCCAGGAGATAACACCCCTATATATAAATACCTCAGCTTGAACGTGCCGTGAGTAGAGCAAAATTTTGATTAAAACTAGGAGCGGATTTCAGTCACGCACTGCGGTCTGTCTTCAGTTCAAATGAATTCGGCGCTTCGTTCGTGTTGCCGATATTATTATGTTTAATATGCAAAAACAAAGGTATGTACTCAATAAAGACAAAAGTGACGTAATTATACGAAGGATCCCGCAAGACGTGTTTGCTTTAGAAGACAGAATGCACTCGTATTTTCCATCTTGTTTATTTGCCACTGTTCTGTAAGACAGAACATTTCAGAACGTTTAACGCTCTACCCAATCACATTTTCCCAGTAAAAGAAAAATCATTTCAAAAGGCAAAGACCGGATATTCGTTGACGCAATTAATATGGCTGTCAAGGAAATTATGCGAGTGATCTTGAGCTGCGTGAAGAACTACAATTTTGTAAGAAATTTCGCCTGGTTTAACGTTCAGATTTGAATTCTTTGTCACAAAGACTGAATTTCACTTTTGTTGTAATTTCCAAAACAACTGCGTGAGTTCTTCAATATATTTTCTACTATAACAATTCGTTTGTTGTTATTCTTGCTCCGATGCCGAAATTGATATAAATAACCTTTGTCATTTCCAATTAAGAAGGCTATTTTGATTACGAAAGCAAAGAACTTCCATCATAGACCAAGATTAAATATCACTTAGTTCAACGCTGCCCTTTTCTCCTGTTTATGTTCAACGAAAGGTTAAAAGTCTTCAAAAAATCTGCAAACAGCAATGGCAACAGAAAATCTGACTGGAATAGTATAAGTGAACGCCAACAGGAATTCGTATGGGAAAAAAATTTTCCCATTGCGCAGTTAATGTACCAAAATGCTCGGTGTTTGTTTTTCCTTAAATAAAAATACTCGTTTGAGTTAAAGAGAATGCTTTGAAAGAAATGTCAAAACTAATTGCTTTTTCCTATACTTTTCAAAATGTGGCAATTTGGAACTAAGGAAATCTGTATAATTGTCTCTGTTTTTAAAGATAAAAGCACCGCTTTTTCCCATCAACTTTTGCTGTAAAATGACTCCCCTAATTCTTTGCTTGTCTTGTTCTTGTAATTCATTCGACGGCCGAAATGTGTTAGCGACGTGTGAGAGCAAAATTTTCACAGAAACTGGCATGTATTTCGCTGATTGACCGCTGGTCAGTTTCTGCGGGGCCTAATCGATGATTTTCAAAATCTATGTTTATTTAGGGGAAACGCGTCCAAATTTCTTTAAAGTGTAGCCTTTCAAAAAATTGTAAAATCTGTCAAAGCCATCCTATACGCAACTCGTTAATGTTTCCTTTCAGTCCCAAATGTTGTTTTCCAGCGAAAAACCTTTCGAGATACAAAGCGATTGTATAATTAAACATTTAATCATGAAACGCATTTTTTTTGTATACGTAAGTCTTGAAAGCAGATGTATTCGTTCGCCGGCTAGACTGATAAAATAATTTTAACTTTTACAGTTGCATGATTAATTGATAAAACGATTTGAAAATATCACTATCAGGTCGAAAGAGGAAGTGTCTTTTTTAGTATACAATCGATCAATCACGTAATTCATTAAATTCCAGCCGAGGAAAAAAAAGGTGAGAGTAACTTTATAACTCGCTTATCTTATCTTATCGGCAACAGCCGACGAAAGTTGCATGTTAACTCGAAATAATACCACGCATCTTAATAGGGGTGGCGGACGGTCTGAGCGAGACGTCTCGACTGAACCTTTTTTTTTTTTCTTTTTTTCTTTGAGAACAGGAATCCTGCCGCTGTAATTGCGCCAAAGAAACACGCAACCGAGACTTCAACGCTTTTTAATTCAAATCTGTCATAGTGCCTGCGTCACTCTGGCAATTCGTAAAAGCTTTGGAAACTTAGATTTTAATAAGGTTTCAGTAACTTTGCTTCTCAGGACTTGACTTTTTTTCTACCCAACCATATTTTGGTTTTTCGATTTTTGCGGTTTTTCGATTTTTCGGGTTTTCGTGATAGAATATCGTAAGACAGTTTTACCAAGAGAATACCAATATTCTCTTAGTTTTACTCAAAGTGAAGAATAGGCAAAAAAGAATTAAAATGATCAAGAATCCAAACCAAACAAAAGAGAACAAAACAGAAACAAATTTTGAAACTTTTCGTAAAATTCGACGAAAAACTTGGGGTTTTTTTTCGTAAAGAACTTTGGTCATCTTAATCGTTTGTGGTTCAAACATTTTTCCTCAAAACTTTGGACCACTCACCCAAATTTATATCAAATCATGTAAAACGAACTGGTTCATAATAAAATTGAGAACATCGGCATGCAATAATGCGATTTGTTGCAGCTGATATCCTAAGACAATGAACTGCTTTGACTAACATGTTCGTCAAACTTTTCGAGGAAAGAGGGGAGGGGGGCGGAGGGGAGTGGGAACGTACGATTACCTGTGCCAGGATCTATTTGGAACAGAAAATTTGCGTGAATATTTCTCAATTCAGTAAAAGAGGAAAGTAAAATGTTTTGTTGTTGTTAGATGTAGGCTTCTAAAATATTCGAAAGAAAATTGTTTTCATGTCGGCAAGGGCTTAATAAGTCACTTTGAATAATGATCTGCTGAACACAATATGCTGAAATAAAAACAAACATTAATAAAATTCATCTCTACCCCAGCCGTCTCCAATGTTACAGATTATAATAATTGCATAAGAACAGCAGAAATCAATTTTGATTCATGGATTACTGACACAAAAAGAAAACCGTGAAACGCCACGCATTTCCCAATCCTTCTTTTTCAAACCTTCCTTCATCGCCCTTTGTGACACAGTAACTTAAAACAGAAGATTGAGAATGTCAAAACCCAAAAGGAACATCAGTTTTCAAATGTAAATTTTTTTCCTTTTGCATAAACACCGAGGTTGCAAAAAGATAGATAACCTCTGAAGTAGTAAATTTTCAAACAACAATTTTCCTTTGTGTTTGGTGTTTCTTTGTCATAAATAGCCCTTTGTTAGAAATGAAGATAAACTCCATCTAATAGTTTTTTTAACGATGGGGTCGGTGTGTATACGAACAGATAAATCACCTGCCTGATAGTTTCTGTATATAGAGATATTTTTTTCGGAATCGCGCTGCGAGTGTGAGACGGATTTAGCAAAAACACTCGCACAGACTATCTCGTAATTCGAAATGTCGTGAATGCTTCTCTCTGCTTACACGCAGGTTATTTGACAAACGCCCTCTTGGATTTTAGTTTTTTTGAGTCGAAAAAAGCGTCTTATTTTGAAGGTAATTTTAATGTATGTACACCTGTCAACGAGAAATTATCCCACACGGCTCAATAGCCCAACAAACCAGGGAAAGGAAAATTGGAATATTCAATTTGAGTTTCATGGTGCATTGGATGATCAACTTGAGCCGAAAAATCTCGCTAAATAGAGTGTTTATCGCTTGGAAAACAAGCACTATTTCAAAGCTGTGTTTGATCGAAGACCTTCTTTATGATAATAATCATTGTTACCTCGTAAAGCCCACAGATTTAAAATGCAAAATAGTTTATTAGTTTTAGTAGGAATATTGTAATTTTTCTCAATTTTCTTTCCCGCCGAGGGAGCTCCAGTACTTTTCGCTGTTGTTATACTAACCGCTCGTTTCGGACGCCAATAGAGGTCGAGGATTCATCATTTTAGAGTCTCCTCACGGGAGATATTTTATATTATCTGGACTAAGTTTTAGCACGGTGTTCCATACTCAAGCAATTAAGGAATTATTCTGTATATTAGCCAAGTTGTACGTAATCGCATGAAGTAAAGTTTTAACTGAAAACACGGCCGTCATTTGTCGGTCAAACGAGCGATTGAGCTGTGAAGTCCACGCGAAAACATACAAATTTACACTGTGACCATTTTATGCCAGAAGTGGAATGAAAAAAATAGTAACAATGAAGTCAGCCGTCGACTTCACTTGCAGAAATAAAAATTATGTTTCAAATCGTTTGTGTTTATGTGACGAATCTGCGTGTGTTACTTTCAAGAAACACCTTAATTGTTTCCCCGTTTCGACCCTACCTCACTCCTGCATTTTTCTTAAAAAATTATTCCTTGTAGGAAATTATTTTGGATTTGTTGTTGCCATAAAACAGCAGACGTTATTTTCATATCGAAGTTTTTTGTACACTTGGGAATTCAAGAAGAGAACAAATAAATTTTTGTTTTCGTTGGCTGATGTAAAGCAAATGAATTTTGCTTACCTTCTTTAGGGTCTACAAGAAAAACGATTTTTTTCTTCTTTCGGCGAAATTTGATCTTCGTCTTGTAAAATCAGCAGAATCTGGTAGCAGATGTAGACAATCGCGGCGCTGAAATCTCTTAATGGGTTTTGGGAAGGTTTGTTTGGCCTTCAAGCAATGCACAGGTTCTCCAAGTTACTTGAAAGCTTTCACTAACAACATAATACAAATATGCAAATAGCTGACAACAGGACGGCATCAGTTGATAGGAGTAACGGAAAAAGAGCCCCTATTTGTCAACAAAGCCGCCTTCAGCCAATGACACGGCAGTAATGTCTATTTTTATGGACTTTTTCGTGTTTTCGCGTCTCGCGGTCTGCGCATCTTTGGTGATCGCCATTTGAAAATAAATGGATGTATTATGCACAAGTACCTTAAGCTTTCTTGGCTGGCGATTAATTAGGCGTGAGCAATTTTTAAACAAACCGGTAACTCTTCAGACAACATTCATTATTGACATGGTCCTCTCTTTATAATATTTTATCTTTTTCAGGACTAGCAAACATCTTTTCACTTTGCATGCAGATCAGGTGCTTTTCAATGTTTCACTGTTACAGAAGGAAAAAATTTTCTCATAAAAGCAAGTCTTCTGTGGAGCGGATAGTCTCATATCGAGGTCTTTTTAAATATAATTTCCGCTCTTTTTTGTATATAATTTTCTAACCATCTGTAAACTGAATTAGCAGAATCAGCCTAAGCGCCAATTTTTAGCCTGTAACTATCTCGGAATACTCGTTCTACACTTTCAACGACCCCGTCGCTAATTGGTCGAGGCAAAGCCTCAACCAAACGATAGCAATTGTGTTGCTTTTCTCCATCTCTGAGTATCAATTCGCTTGAGAAAATCTTTCCGTTCACGTATGTCACTTATCGCGAGGCAATCGAGCAGCTTTTCATCAGAGACAAGCTAAAACGGTCAAAATGTGTTATGGTAGCATAAGTGATATTCCTAATTATGAATTATAAAGGTTTGTACCAGAGTTAAACAAATGTACTGGTTTTAATCTGAAATTAGTTGAAAACAAGCCATGTTCCTATTTGCAAAGGATGGGCTTTTTACAACAATTTTATGGACCTGATATTATTTTTTTTTTGTTTGTTTCTCGCGGATCACATTCGAGCTTTGTCTTACTTTTGAATGAGTTTTAACTAATTCAGCTCTAAGGCTGAATTTTTGAATGCCTCTATAAACTTTCTATCATTTATTCATCATAAGCATTGCTTATCTCAGTGATCGATAGAAAAAAAATATCGAAGTACAGTATTTCAATTGAAGTGTGCTGTGATAAAAAACACTACTTAAGCAGTAGTGAAAATAAGGCCTGAAAAAAATTCAGGCCTGTACGGAATTTAAGCCATAACCTCTGCGTTACCGATGCAGTGTTCTATGCTACCAACTGAGCTAACAAGCCAACTGAGAGCCAGTCATTGTGTTGGTCCCAAGTAAACCCGTGAAGCGATGTACTGTAAAGTTTGAATAGTCGATTAATTTTTTTCCCACGCATGCAATGGGGCCAAAATCAAAGTCAACGGCTACGATTCGAACATGTCATCCTCTGAATCATTTTACCACAAAGAAATCGTAAAGGCGATACGATCGCGTAACAACCAAACCATTCAGTTGTGACTCCATCACCTGCGTCCAGGTGGAAACTAGATTGTTGAAGTCAGGAGCCCGAGAAATGGCATTGTGATTGATTGTTTCATGCGCTTCTTCTGGCATCTCAAACAATCTAGCTTTCACTAGCTTTCAAGTTTTAAGCATCGAAGTCATAAGCGGAATCGGAAGGATTTGCAACCTTTCAATTTTTCCGACTCCGATTCTGTCGAGCTCAAGGCTCGACTTACGACTTTGATTTTCGATTTTCATTCCGTCGGAAGGGCCCCTACGACTTCGACTCCGTCGCTGGGCGGAAAAACAGTCTTAACACTTCAATTTCTAAGAGTGACTAAATTCTCCTTAAAATATCAGTGTAATATCAAGGAGACAAGTGATGAGAATAAACAAAAACATCTTTATGGGGATTATAAGTTGATCCAATACCAAATTCTCCAAACTAATATCATAAGAATTGTATGACAGACAGTAAGGAGAATTATTTATAAAACATGATCTTGGAAGAGAAAGGAATAAGAATTTCGTGATCGGCTAGTTGTGTTTACCTTCTCTACCAGCACCAGACCTCAACTGTAGCCCAACATTGGTAGGCTAAGTGTTGAGTTCCCAATAAAAACGTAAAAATAACTCGCCATAGGGGTTCGACCACTTACTCAGAACACGGACGTTTGTGATATATCGCGCTGTTGCATGTCACGGACGGCTAAGAAGTGTACTGCTAATTAAATCTTTTATTTCGCCACGTTCTCGCTACCGTCGCTGGGGCTGCTTAAGGTCCTTGGCCAGCAGATGGAGCAATCCGAATTTGGGAATCGTTCGGGGTTTAGCGTTGTGAAATTAGACAAAGAACTCCACGATATAATCATGCGTCTATCCACTCAGATGATACCAGTTGACCTTGAAAGCGTGAATAAATCAAGGTGATTCCGAAGGCTAAATTGGTATTGGAATGCAAATTCGAGGAGAAGGCAATGCACTATTCGTAAACAATGTAAAATAGATTCCATGTTCCATGCCGTGCATCTGTTCACTAACGGATCATGGAAGGCGTCAAAATATGGTAACTGAGAACATCAGTGACACACTTGGCGGCCCCTCTTGCGCCACTTTTTTGTTTTTTATCACATTTTCACGTCATTTGTGATCCATTACTGCACACGGTGAAATGGAATCTATTTTAAGAGAGAAAATCCATTTTGAGTTTCCTGAAAGCTTTCTCTCACCAAAACAACGGTAAAACGACGGGCATTCGCAAGTGGTCGGGTTTTGCGAAGCGTGCGCGAATTTCACACGCAAAATATTGAAGGAAAATATAGAAGAAACACGCAGTGTCATATAAAATTTTCTAAAATAAAAAAATTTACCTATAGATAGAAATCTGAACAAAGACATAAAATTAGACGACAGAAATCTAAAGAAATTTCGAGCACGAGGCTCATTTCAAACCCAAACGAAAACGGATATTGAGCTTTCCCAAAGTAGTTATCCGTTTTCAAAACACCATGACTTACTGGCTTGTGTGGTTGTTTGTAATTTCTTACAGCTCCTGAACTAAGAAAGATGTCTGACTGCCTCAACGTTCATAAAAGCTGAAACGCTGGACAACGGTATGTTCCTGACCCTGTTCACATCAGCGTGGGGTCTTGTCTCAGAGAGGGAGCTACTCGCAAGCTAATTGCGGAGTTAAAAGGCAACACTCGTCAAAATATACTTGTACTTAAGGGTTGATTTACTACAAAGTTTTTTAAGATAGAAAGAGCTATTTTTCATTTCCCACAGTCAAAGTGTCACTCTGCGGAATGCCTGTCATAGTCTTAAAGTCATCCAATTCCATGGCAACTTATTTGAACGGTTATTCAGAAAGACTAATACAGCCGTTGAGCCGAAAAACGGCATTTTTTGTCTTCTTCGAAGTTGATATACATCCAAATGAAAAACATTTAAATTGAAATCCATTAGCGACCCAAACCTTGATATCGACTGACGTGAATGTGTGACTAATGACAATATCGACATCCTGGCCCGACCGCAGAAAACAACAGAATCTTAATGACTCGAAAAACATCCACCTACAAGTCTCAGAACTCCACCTGTTTAAGGTGGCTCGACAGGTCGTATTCACTATTTTCAAACACCAATTTTCCCTCCTCACAGTCGAACGAATTTCCCTCAAGTATTGAATTCAATAATTACATCATATCTTTTCTTTTTTGTTCAATTTTCACGTGGTTTTTTACAGGCGCTATTTTAAGTAGAGAAGCAAAATGGAAGGCAACAGCTGTCAACTTTATACCCTTGAGCTCAATAGAATAAAAACTCAAGGAGAGGAGTAGTCTGGCACTTTTTACCAGACTTAAATCGTCTGAATGTCAAAAACGTCATCTACAATATAACTTAGATGTTATATTTCAGGTAAAGAAAATTTGAAAAAATTCTGTGGGATCATTTTGGACTTAACTTTGAAGAAGCGTGTGATGAAAAGAAACAATCCTGATTGTCAGAGTGGTGGAAACTCATCGATAAAATTGAGCACGAAATCTTGAAAAATTTTGGAAATTTGTTTACCATAAACAGAAATGAGGACTATTAATCGAATTTGTTATTCCACAGTTACGTCACTTTACCGTATTAGGGCAATGGAACACGCAAAATATGCCATGGTAACAAACTGTAGAACAGGCCAGGGTAATTGCTCATTGCAGGGCCCATTGGTCGTAACATTAGCATGTTGATCGAAGACAGCTTTGCGAGGTCCACTGAGTCAAACTCCAATCATTTGGTCAACAAAAATGTGAACTTCTTTCGGCTGCAAAGAGGGGCATTGGTTTGTGAGCGCTCTGAATATACCATGTTGTGGTTAAGGAAACCTATACTCGGCCATAAAACTTGTATGAATTGATTCATGATTGTGTGCAAACCAGAATCGTTTTAATTACCACACATATTTGATAGCATTAATTATTAACGTTATCCTAAAATTCTAAAGGAGAAAATAAAATAAAACAATTCTTTATCTGTTTTGAAATTTTTTTAGCTGGGTAAATTGCTTTCCTGTTTCGAGATGTTCGTTGGCTGACGGAATTTTCTTCCTTTTTCCGTACGTAACATGTCTACACTTGTCAAATGCAAAGATTAATTTGAATCATTTTCCGAGACTTCCCCTACGTTAATCACCAAACGTACCCTCTCACGCTGCCAGAATTCCCAGAAGAATTTAAGGGAGGCGTGAAATATCGAAAAACATTCAGTTTTACTGGTTTAAAAGGATCCCAGAAATATTTGATTGTCAACGTATAATTTTTCATGCGTGGGCTGAGTGCGAATAACTCTATGACCATTAAGTTATCAAAAAAGTAGACTACTTGGTTTGGAAGACTGCTCGCATCAAAGCAATTTCACCGAAACGTGGGCGTCAGCGATAAGGCTAGATATCTTGTTTGGCAGGTATTTGCGTAGCCAGTTTGGATTTTATACTAGATCTGAGAGATTTTAACGGATCCGAAAAGTTCACTTCTAGAGTAATTTGAGATGAGAGGAGTAAGATATAGGAACAAAGGCAGTCTTTAAAATTTGAACAAGTCCGAAAGTTACTATAAATCTTAAATTAAGAGGAAAATAATCAGTTAACTGGTATGAGACGAAAATTCCCAAATTAAGCCCTTAGGCGGTCAAGGATGTTTATGCGTTCCCCTTTCTGCTGATTTTTTTTCCCTTATTCACCATACATCCACTCTTTTCTGGCTAAATTCTGGCTAGAATACCTCTTCGTCTCTCAGTTTTCTATTTGTAATCTCCATATTTAAGCGAATTTCTTCCTGAGAATTTAAAATTAGAGAAAAACTGGAAAAGTAATTTGACACATATTCCATTCTACAAACTTCATTTCTCAATCTGTTATGTTTTCTCCTTTGAGTTCTTTTCTATAAGGTTCATAGGAATATGCTGCCTTTTTGGTCTGGAAACGGTTACATCTTTTTGATATTACTATCCTAATTTACGAATGGTGTAATGACCTCCTAGTAAGGAAGATCCCAGCAGAGAGCGCATTTCGATTGAGTGTCGTAAAACCGAAGCTACAGCCAATCAGGGCAAAAGAATATACCACAACGAGCCAATGAGAATGCAAATTAAGTAAGAAAAAGCAAACTGTCTAAAGCGCAGGAAAACGCGAGTGAACAAGTCGCAATTTGTTTAAGTTTTGCGTTTGATTGGTTGAGAGCAACCGGCGTGAATGTTCTAGACCAATCACAAAGCGTGGTGTCGCAAAACCAATGCGATCTTCGATTACTTTCGACCCATGATTGAAAAATGCTCAAGTATCTATCTATTTGAAGGTATGTTTTGGAGGTGGACCAAAACTTGAACTCTGCCGAGCAAACATTTCATTTCTAATTGGAAATCCAGAATTTTTTTATGTTTTAGTTGCATGATTAAATAATACATCATCCAATTACTGAAGCTGCGATTTCGAAGAGTTGTACAAGTTATTCTTTATGAGTGAAAAACGCAAAGGATTTGCGATAATCCTCGTCATCGCGACATAGTCCTGTCATTGACCCTCTAATTATCAAATGGTAATCTTTTACAGTCTTCCTAACGTGTGCTATGACTGGCTGCTAGTCAAGACGTTTCTACAGCTGATTGGTCAGAATACTAACCTTTTGAACTTCAAATAATTGACAAAAAGACTCGCAATATTTTGGCCGCTATTATGTTGAAAAAGAATAGAACTCTCTGACCAATATAGGGTTAGACGACTATTTGCTAATTGCTTACAAAATCCTTTAAAATTGCCCAATATTGGCTTTGCTTGTTTTAATGCTTCACAGCTAGCGCACGAAAGATGGCACATAATTTGATCGCAGTTGTATCGCACTTAAATACAGCTTTTTCTCCTTCCACAAATAAACACCGTACAATTGCATTCAAATATTATAGAAATATCTGCTCGGGGGGTTCATTATTGATAACTATTTTCATTTTGCCTCAGGGTGCTCAGAGTCGATTTAAGATTAGAATTGAAATTATAGTTTACATCGAGGACGACAACAGCTATATACAGCTTTTAGTATTTCGTAACTAATGGGAAATTATTGTTTTGATAAAAGAAGCACGAAATCGAACGAAAACTTTATTTTTTGCAGCTACGTGGCCAGAATATCATTCGCTCATGAGGAGTTGATGTTTCATATTTAAGCTGCTGACAAACGGATTTAAAGAATAGAGTACTTACATATAGTCAAAACGGCGATCGATTCAATGGCAATGCCATCAGCTGAATTTCCAATTTTTACGGGGAAAATTACTTCCACGCAATCAGCATATTTTTTTTCCGTTTGGCATGGATATCGCCCCGTATACTCTTACTTTATGCCAAACATTTACTGACACATTGTGTTTAAAAACATGACGTCTGCGGTGGTCTTAAAAAATGAGTCCCAATTTGAATATTTAAGTGGATTAAAACATTCTGGATTTGGCATAATCGCCATTTCTTGCATGTGGCGATAAATCAACCAAGTTTATGACCAATACTTTGCGTCATAGTGGGTAAATTGACAGCGAAGATAACGAGAAATTCCGAACTGATTTGAATGCCTGACGTGGGGATTTGTCGGAACTTGTAGTAAAAATAAGATGGGCAAATATTGGCCTAACAAGATAACCATTTTTTAACGCAAAACTTCAGACGTTTCCCCAAAAAAGCAAGGTCTCGTCAAAGTATGGTTTTCTGAACAATCAGAACACTAAAACTCAAAGCCTCGAGCACATAAAGTCCCAAAACATTTCTTTAATATTGCATCCATGTTTTTAGGATATTACTGATAGCGCAGTTGAAAAATTATTCGCTGATAATCGTATTTTTGCCGCTGATGAATTTGTGCAGGTGTCTACTGATGATTGATTGTGATGAACGTAAGTTTTTCTCGTCAATATCCAGTCTAATTGGCTTCATACAAAAGACATTTCATAAGATTATGCCTTATTACGTAGATTCTATTCAGATTAAGATATCTTGGTTTTTAATCAAGAAGCGATCTGTCCTTCTATTCATCAACAAGTCGAGACAAGAACACAATTTTTAAAAGATATCTGTTTCTTTTTCTCATCATTTCATTCAATTACTCATTCCCCCACTAAATAATATACTTTGCAAAGGTGTTATAAAACTTTAGCCATCTCCAAAGTTTAATCGTTAATCACATGTCTGGAACGAGAAATTATATTTATCGAAAAAACTTTAGTGTTTCAAACACGCCTCTATTATCCTGCGCGAAAAGACAACTTCTTTATTGACCACGACTTCACATGTGCTTTTATTTATTTATTTATTTTTCAACACAACGAAACCAATTTTAGCGTGAGAACAGCCAGTCAGAGCGAAGAACTATCAACACAAATGAATCATGGGAATTAAAAGTAAGTATGTTAGCAAGTAACGGCTACCATCGCAAAACGCGGGGATTTTAAAACGAGGGTGGCCAATTCGTGAAAAAGGTTGGTTCTGTGTGCCAGTGATTGGTTAAATACTTGGTGCACGATTCCGAATTGAAAATTATTACTTTTTGTGCAGGGGAGCGTAAACATTACCGCCTGCATTATTCGAATCTTGAGAGGAGATGAATGGGAATACCGAAAAGTTTTGTACTATAGTAATACGGTGCGATGAATATATCATATATTCATCACACCGTATTACTATAGTACAAAACTTTGTACATGAGATGTTGTGTACCACTGTTCCTTAAGATGAAAAAGGCGAATTTTAACGCTTTTAGGGCTTTGGCTTTGATGTTTACTTGAGTGTAGGTAGAGTGAAAAGCTTATGCGCCAAAGTGAATATATACTTTGGAGCACTTTCCATGAAGAAAAACCCGATAATTTCTGATGTAAAAAAAGGAAAAAGCTTTCAAGTGGAAACCTGAAACAACAACAACAACAAAAGAAAAAAAGAAAGAAAAAAAAAGGATGCATAGGTGTTTCTCTTTTCTTTTTCCACTGAAACTAACGATCTAAAAACTAACGTGCCAATTTATTAATTCCTCTCGCACTATGCATCATGATGAATAAACTTCCTCAATGCGGTGTGTCAACAATGCCACTCAAGTTTCTAGGACTCAGACTACTGCAGAAAACGGTCAACTCTGAGCCAGAGGGGCCTGTATCAGTCCCTCTCCATCTTAATCGAGGAAATAATATCATTACTTCTTTTGATAAAGAATTCCTATCGGTTTTTCTATACAAACTGAATAGTAACCATCTAACCTTGAGGAGAGATGGCAAGGATTTTTGCCAAACCTCGCACCAAGCTCCCCTTGCCCATGAAAGGCGCGGTAACTAAGCCCTCCAAGCGGATAATCCCTCCAAACAAACGAATTGAAATTGAAAAAAGTTACCAAAATCTGTGAAGTTATTCGCCTGATCTGATTTTACAAGATGGTGAGTATTATGATAGAGTATTTTGATTTAAAAGACAGGATGCGTCCATTTTGTGAAGATTATATGACGATATAAGATAATATAATGAGGAATTTATCAAAGCTTAGCCGTCACTAGAAACCATATGTAATGATTCAGCTGAATGATTGTGTTTCCGTCTCTAGTTTGGGTTTGAAATGTTTGGTGGTGTGCCTAGGACATTCAATACACACTTTCGTTGCTATTCAGTCGTTATGTTTCCGGGAAATGAGAGAGAAGACGTGGAACGTGGCGGTAAAAGTAAGTTAGTTTTTTACATACAATATCTAGGGATTTAATCTGTTATTGTTGCGTTTACGACATTGTACCTCGTGTGAGCTTAATAGATCAAAAAATTAACCCTTTAACCCCTCGATGTTTGGGTGTAAATGGTTAATTTAAGGGGCCCCTTCACCCTGCGACATATTCCATTTGACTGCTAAGAGAACCCAGACTGTTGTAACGAGAAGATTCTAAATTTGCCATGTCAATCATATCAGTTATTTTATAGGTAATAACATGATTTCGAGTACAATTTGGTGTAAATAAGTACAAGTTAAGTTTTTAAAGAAAACAGAATTGCTCGAGCCAGTGCAACTTTTGAATTTGAAAAATTTATAAGTGCCTATTACACCAAATTATAAGATAAATCACACGATGTCATTACTTGTTAATAATGTAAATGAGAAAACATTGCAGTAAGTCAAGACAGACGAAATTTTGAAAGTATGCACATTTTATTTGTAATATGCACTGGTCTTACAACTTTGCATTTGTATTACATGAGAAAGCACTTGTTTTCAGCCAATCAGAAGCACATAATTTTTTATTATGAACATTATTTTTTGTAAGTTTTTTCTTTTTATTTACATAATTATTTACTTATTCTTATTTTTCAGTTATAATGCCTCCCTCAGCCTTGGATCAACTAAGTAAGTCTGTTCTAGAGATAGATAATCTGTTTATGGTTTTCTAAGTGTGGCAGTAAGTCAAATGTTTATGAGGTAATAACGTATCTTTTTTAAGTTTCATTCAGCATGCATGCTTTGATCCCATCTGCCTGTCTTAAACCCTTTCACCCCTAAGATCTCAAAAGTATCTCTCCTTACCGTCCACGATTCAGTTCTGAAAATTTAGTCTCAAAACAATTAGCAACCCTTGATGTTTTTTTCCTTATTCTCATTACATGTCTGCTGAACAAATTATTGATTAGGTAAGGAGAAACTGCTTATGGGTCACTCCTGGGAGTGAAAGGGTTCATAGTATATTTAAACAGTTATTGTCGTTGAAGATTAAACTGGGTTTCTGCATACGCAATATTTACTAATATGAATTTTGCCTGATTGTGATTTACAGCAAGACTTCACATTGTTTACCCAATGCTCTTCAAATTGTCCAGTACAAAATCAGGTAGAAATACTCATTGTGGAGTACTGGAGTTTGTTGCTGATGAAGGCAAGATTTATCTTCCTTACTGGGTTAGTAATTATATGGTCATTCTTGTTAATTGTGTCAAACTAATAAAAGTGGTTTTAACCTTGAATGCAGAACATCAGAAAAAAGGAATACATCCTCCTCTTAGCCACCCGCAATTTTGTGCAAAAGTGAAAAAACTTGCATGGAAAACATGCCATCATTCCTCTGTTATTTTTATTTACGCATCGATTCTTTCTTTTTAATCTCTCACATTGTTTTGAAAAGTTATCTAATATATCTCTCAGTTAGTAGGTGTGCTATTATTGGTCAATTTATTAGGCTGTATTTTACTGTATGGACTGTTGAATTCAAAAGTTTGTTCGAAGTGAAGTCTTCTCCCTCTATTTGTAATAAGAGATATGATAAACATCTTACTAACCTCGTTTACTTGGTCTGTACTGTAAGTTACAGATTGTATAAAGTATAATTTTATCAAGGGGCTACTTAAGATATTTCCCTTTTTTTCTGAACTGATGTTTTGTCAAACCTATTGCTGGTGTACAATGTTGAAAATTTTATATCAGTCCAATACAAAAAATATATATATATAGCATATATTTTAACCTCCTGCATTGTTAAAAAAAAAACATGATAAATGATGGAAATGTCATCAATCCTTAACACCAATTTGTTGCATAGTTGTTGAGGCTATTTTTTTCTATTTTTTTTTTTTTTTAAAGATGATGCGCAATTTATTATGTGAAGAAGGTGGTTTGCTACAGGTGGAGAGTGCATCACTGCCTGTTGCATCATATGCCAAGTTTCAACCACAATCAGTTGACTTTTTGGATATCACCAACCCAAAGGCTGTGTATCCTTTGTTGTATATGGAACTTATGAATGCTTTCATTTATAATCCAAATTGCAGTTCATGATAAGTGTGAAAATACAGTTACATTGAACTTATAAACCTGTTAACACAAGAAATAAACAGTCCCAAATTTTTTCACGCAGTTGCTAACAGTTCGTTGAGTTAAAAAATGTTTTAGTAAATTGAAGAGATTGATAATTGAGATGCTACCAGCACCCTGGTTATTCAAAAACCTATAGTTTATTGCACAGGTTAACTCACTAAAAAATAAAACATTTGAAGTTTATTGTATTAAAACAATTTTCTATCTGTTTCCCAGCATCATAATCCATTTGAGATGTGGGAGAACACTCCAACAGTTTATAAATTTTTCCCCTTGTGGCTTGTGACTTACAAACAGTCTATAGAATGTAAAATACCTTCCCTTACAAATAACATAGCTTAGAAAATGCACTCAGGTCATTTGCCTGTCTCACTAAAGGTGATGTAATTGCAATCAAGTACAATGAAAAGGTCAGTAAACAATTAGGGTTCTTGAAGTGAATTTTTTTTGTAATCATTCCTAATTTCCTTTCCCTTTTTTTTTATTCAGAAAATGGCTTGTATTTTGCTAAGAGATGGTTCTTTTAATTTGCCAGTCATTACTAACACTCAGATTGTTATTCAACCCTTTACACACTAACATCAGTATGCATTTTCTCCCTAAGTATTCTCTATACATTTCTTAAGTTTCTGACATGGAGAATTTGTTTAACAATCAAGAACTTCTTTGGTTGGTGATCATTTCCTTTACTCTCATGACCTTAATGTTTGATTCAGGGGTGATACTGTGACGGGAAAGTAGATGCTAGTCACTCTAAAGGGTTTAAGGGCTATTTGGGATGCATTCTTGAAAATATTTGTGTGTTCTGAAAGCATATTGATTAAAGTGACAATCTATTGATATTTCCTTTGTTGGTTTTCAGATTTATGAGTTTTTGGTTCTTGAAACAAAACCTGGAAATGCAGTGTCAATTATCGAGTGTGATATGCAGGTACAAACATAATGTCACAAAGTCCATTAGACAAAGTGTGATTTATATAATGCATACTACACTGGCCACAAAGCAATATAATTGTTAGTGAGTACATGATCTTAATCCTTCAGGTTGAGTTTGCCTCGCCTGTTGGATATGTTGAACCAGAAAGGCAAGAGAAAAAGGCTGAGAAAAAAGAAGAAGAGGTAAGCAATGAATCAATTCATCAGTCAGTCAGTCAGTCAGACAGTGTCAGAAGGTCAGTCAATCCTGTCAATTAGAGGGTTAATCAGTCAGTCCATTAGTCAGTCGGACAATCACTCAATCACTCATTCGGTGAGTCCGTCAAACAGTAAGTCAGCCTGTCAGCTAGTCAGTTAGTCCGTTAGTACGTCATTCAGTCAGTCCATCAGTCACTTAGTATGTTAGCCCGCCAGTCAGGCAATCAGTTAGTCAATCAGTTTGTCAGTCGTTAAGTCAGCCAGTCTTTTGGTCAGTCAGTCAAACGATCTGGCTGTCAGACAATCAGTCAGTCAAATAATCAGTCAATCAGTCATAGAATCAGTCGATCAGTCAGTCAGTCAGTCCATCAATCAGTCACTCACTCACTCACTCACTCAGTCAACCAATCCGTCAAACAGTCGGTAAATCAGCCGGCTAGGTTATTACTCCATCAGTCAGTCATTCAGTCTATAAGTTATGTAAGAGAGTCAGTCAGCGAGTCAATCAGTCCATCATCTTTTCCTTAACAATGCGTGAATCTGTTCACCTACCACTGGACAAATTTTTGGCGAATCACAGAATGACTGACCCATGAAAAACATTGTAGTTGGACGAATGGAGTTTAGGAACTCGCAAACAAAATAACGAACGAAACAACAACCTGCTGACTTTGCAAGAAATTTAGTGTGAACAACTGAGTTGAAAACGTAAATTGGCCACCGTAAATAGTTAAAAAGGCTGACGTTTCGAGCGTAAGCCCTTCGTCAGAGCGATGCAAGAGGCAGCTTAAGAGAGAAATTGAATGGTAATCTAGAAAAGAAATGGTATGATAACTGCATGGTGATCTATAAAAGAGAATGTTGCCAATAGGACAACAGAGCCTTACTTCTAGAGACGGTAAGTCAAGTCGAAATAAGCAGCAGTAAGTCTTATTGAACTTTACTAGCCAGCGAGAGAACGAACAAATGCGCGAAACCTCAAACGGATCAATTCCGCTCATCACTCGCTTTTTTCGTCCCTAATTTTTTCTAGCAAGCTGATGTACCGCATGTGGAACATGGTTTCCAGGTAACATACGTTGTACATTTGGATTCTATTGATGACATCATGGTTTGTAGAATGTACTAATTACCATTAGGAATCTTATTTTCTGTTAAAAGTAGCATTGGCAAAACCTGCAGAAATTTCGATCAACCTACTTAGTAAAAAGAAGCCTCCAGCCCTTTTTGAAGTTGAGTTTGTTTGGTCTTCCCCAACTTTGTTGTGAATACATAAGCTGCAGAACAGGCGTATCTTTTATCTATTTATTAATTAATTTATCTATTGTTCCTTTTTTTGCGTTGAGCAGGCGAGCCCGGAAGTGTTCACGGGGCTCGCCGTTCACGCTTTCCTCGTGCCTGCCTGGCGCATGTATCTGCACGCCTAAAAAACGCCAATTAACCTTCCCTTCTTTTTTTTAAACTGGAAGGCTTTTACTGGTTCAGGATTTCGCTTGGACGGGAAGAAAAAGAAGTCAAATGTTCCGTCTAATCCGGTACCAATTGGTCCTCCTGTTATTAAGAGGTATGATTGGCGTTTCTGTTTAGAGGCTGATTCGACTTTCCTCTTTCTTTACCTTGTTTATGTTATTTCTATTTCAGGGGAATTCCTAATTACGACTTCGAAAAAGGGAAGATTACTTTTAAAAGGAACTTAAACAAATCGAACAACTCACAGGTACATGTAGATCAACCAATTTGTAATTCATCAAAAAAAAATTTCTGTCCCAATCGGTGTGTATTTGGGCACTGCGGCTATGCACGGCCGTTTTTTTTTTTTTTTTTTTTTTCGTTTTTTGATGTCGTTCTTTTTTCGGTAAAGGCGGTTGACTTTCAAGTATTTTAACCCTTTGACCCCTAAGAGTGATTAGCATCTAATTTCTCCTTACAATGTCACCCCTGAATCACACATTAAGGTCTCAAGAATCAAGGAAATGATCACCAACAAAAAAGGCTTTTGAATGTTCAATAAATTCTCCTTGTCGGTAACTTAGGAAATGTAAAGAGAACAGTATGGAGAATATGCATGCTGATGTTGGGGTGTAAAGTGGTTAAGTCAAGGAAACTTCTCCCTCTTTACTTTGTTTTGTTTGTTGTTGTTCTGGTTGTTAACGTTGTTTTTCCTTATCATGTCACTCTCTCTTTTTTACAGTCGAACAACAAGGGAGAATCTAGTAAGCCAGAATTTGAAGCTTTTACAGGGTCAGGAAAAACGTTACGACAAAAGAGGAAAAATTAGCTGTTAAAAAAATGGAGTATTTAGTTAAACCATACATAAATGTACAGTATGAACGAGAAGAGAGAGTTTTGGAATCATGCAAAGCTCACTTATTTCCCACTAAAACTATTTACAGAATTGAAGTTAAGCTCAGGCTGGTGGAAGTCTGTACGACACGAAATAAACATCGAAGAGAAACGAGCTATTTATGTAGCGTGAGCAAATTAGTTTTCAGTGAAAGAGCTCATTTTTGGAACGTAATTGTGGTATACTGGTCTGTTAAATTGATCTTTCTTCATATTCAAGTACAACGAAGCAACAAATAAACTCCGATCAGATAGATTTCAATTCTTGTGTAATCAGAACACAGGCGTTCTGCTTTTTCAATATATCTCTAATATCAGTGTACTTGAATGCTTGACCAATCATATTTATGCAAGTTATTCTATTATGTTTTAAATGTTTATTAAATATTAAAGTTTTCCACAACTGACATTTAACGAGAAAATAGAAAGGCTTACAAAGGATACCTTAATACCTGGTCTAAAATCCACGTCAAATCCGAGAGGCATCCGGTTGAGGACCGATGCTAATCTTTCCCTCAGATGTATTTTCATATTTCTCCGAAGTAAAAAAGATAGATGGCTTAGCGAGTGGTTAAAAGCATTCTACGCCGGTTAAACCTCTGTTGTTACTCGCTCTTCGTTCCTCTCACAGTCGCTAACCGAGGAAACGGAATTACCCCCTTCACTTTTTTACAACGCACTCGTCCCAAGTCGTCTCTCTACTTTACAGGGATGCAAAGGGGTAAAGACGAGAGGGGCATTTTCTTTGTCATCTTCCTTCCCATTGTTCCCTTCGTCATAGTATGTGGTAGTGCTAGTCTCCTACGACCGTGAGAGAATGACAGAAGACTAGGGATGATTCATTTAGTCAAGCTTGAGGCTCGCGGGCTCATGGTACCCAGCTGCCTCCTACTTTCGCTAATAACTGGACTCACCACAGCCCTTTGCATGAGCAAGGAAAGAAGGAAATTACTTAAAAAGGGAATAGCACCACCCTAATCAACAAGTACTTAATAAGAGGTTGATTAATTTAATAGTAATTAATTTGACCACAGACTGCAGAATGCAACAAAACTTTCATATCATAAATAGCATTTCATGCGTTACATCTTTCTTTACTGAAAAAAAAAGCTACTCCTACATAGCAATTCTCCCCCTCGCGAGAGCTAACCATCCCTTAAAGGTGGGAACGTTTCTCAGTACAAATATTCTTAAAATACAGTTATTTACAGGATAGCTAATGGCAAAAAAAATTGTTCAACGCTTCAGAAACTTGCTGCCGAACTCTTTCAGGAAAACGTTACTTCACTAAAAGTTTCAGGAGTAAGTTTCAGGAGTAGGCGTCAGGAGACGTCACTAATAGGAATTTCTGCCTTTCGTCAGAAAACTATGCAATCAGTTCAACGAATAAGTCATACTGGGCCATTTTCAATTGAGTGTCGAAAGTAACCCGTAGTTGTTTTGTGTCGTGATTGGTTCATAAAACTCGCGACCAATTAGATTCAAAAATTAAAAACAATCACGACTTAGTCGCCCGCGTTTTCCCGCGTTTCAAACAGTTTGCTTGTCTTAACTCCCTTATCATTGGCTCCTTGTGGCGTTTTCCTTCTTGTGATTGGCTGTTGTGATTGCTTTGGTTTGGGTTTTTACAACACTCAATCGAGAAGCGCTCCATTCGCGTTGATCCTGGTGACTAAAACCTGTAACGCCGTTTGCTCGTCATTTACTTGATAAACAAAGATCAACTACCTATGGCTGCAAAAACCCTTAGTGGTGTCTTCAGATTGCAAATCAAAAAAAAGTTTCCTTAAAAAAATATTTACAGTGGTCTACTGAAAATGTCAGTTTTTCTCTACTATACAACAAAACTTCGCATTAAACAAAACTCAAGTCAAATGTTTTCTTCAACAAAACGCTGCATTAGTTTACGATTTCAGCTTGTTCCCCTCCCAAGGAGATAAAATCTGAAGCGTTGACCACCTCCAAACTCTTACATATTCCAACGATGACAAGTCGAGGAGAATTGCTCACTTTACGTTATAGCGCCTGAATTCTTGTTCCGTGAGGATTGAAAGACGCTGATTTAAATAAATAATTGGTAGCGACGGTGCTTTGAGTTTTCTTTAGTTCCTCCTGGTTTAAAAGCCCTAAATCCCCCCATTCCTTGCCAACCAGTGTAGTCGCATAACGTGTTTAGGTTTTCAAGGAATTTGCAAGAGAAGAAAGCTTTTATAGATTACTGTACTTGATAAGTCATCCACTATTTCTTTGGGGCCGTTGTTCAGTGGGGGAACCAGGGCCCTCATCTGAGGCCTCCTCTTTGGGAGAACGAATAAAGTGCCCTTGCAGATTCTGCTCAAGGCATTGGCCAAAGGATTAACCGTGATTCTCGCTGAAAAAACCTTCCAACAGACAGGATGCACTGCTATCCTTCCTCGAGCTCTGCTTCACGTGCTGCACCTCTATAATTGGGTTTGTTGCTTCGCCAAATCCAACCCTAACAGCTACTCCTTTAACAAAACAAACAGATTTTTCATTCAGAACTGGTCACTTCCGTCCAACGGTCCCGCACGACTTCCGGCGCTCCAGTGTATTTTAACTATACAAATAATCCTAAGCGACTGAAAGCAGTCGTCAACCTATGCTATACGTCTGTGGCCTCTCTGGAATCTATTTCGTACGGAGGAGGCGGTTCATTTGGTGTAAAGGGAGGGGAGGCATAGTGTGGTTTTCTGATACTGTATCTCCCTCGACCGGGGGTGTAAGGGGGAGGTGGTTCGATTCCATCACCATTTTCTTCTGCAATTACAGCAAGTCTGTTGTTCAGCGGTCCTATAAACAAAAATGAGATAAGAGTCAATTTCGTCAATTCTTCTCTATGTTTTTAATACTCAAGGACTGGTGTCAAATAGCCCTTTTCCCCTAACATCAAAATGTATATTCTCCATACTGTTCTCTACATATTTCGTAAGGTTCTGACAAGGAGTATTAGCCTAACAATCAAGAGCTTCTTTGGTTGCTGCTCACTCCTTTATTCTCCTGACCTTAATGTTTGATTCACGGGTGATATTGTAAGGAAAAATGCTAATCACTCTTAGGGGCCATAGGGTTAGTTACACGGAGATACCTCACTTACTTGGTCTTAAATTTTGCGATTGCTCCAGGACTTCACTTCTCGTTCGATTTCTCCGATTTTTCTTTCGATTTCTGTCGATGACGAACACCAGGAGTATAAGCAGCAGTACTAGTCCCACTGACAAACTGATGATTATTGCCAACTCCGCAGCCTCTGAATTGACACCTGAAGTAAAAACAGAAAGAGCGATTTAAGAAATATATTTTAAAGGCACACCTCCATCTCTCACAAAAATTTTGTTAAATATGGGGTGAGTTTCTTAAGATAGAATGGTGCTGCGTTGGTGGGCATATTACAGGGTAATTTGATGTTATCAACTGAATTGATTATGTGAACTGGCCACTGTAGAAAGCTTTTATAGATGACCTTCATCCTGACAAAGTGCTAGTGCTCGAAATATCAGCTTTGGAAACTCTTTACAGTGGTCACTTCACATCAACTCAGTTGATAAAAACCAAATTATCATGTTATACTTAATCCTCTTGCTGACAAGATCCTAATAACAGCTGTCTTCACTGTCTACATCACTTTTCTTGTAATTTTTAACTCCAAGGATTGGGTGTAATATCCAGTTTGCTGGATAATGTATTGATATTATAGAGAGAAATTACATGGGAGTTAAACTGTCATATCAAACAATATTCTCTTTTTGATACTTTTCTATCATCTCAGCGCCATTCTGTTTGTGAATGTATTGTTGCTGTAAGGAGAAATGCCTTTTCATCAAAATTGTTGAAACTGTTCCTTCTAAGGCAAAATAACTCCGACTAATAATGAACAAACAAACCAATATTTGAATAAGATTATTGAATCCCTAGGAGTCAACAAATGCTCATAATGGAACTTATCCCATTTTTCATGGTTTAAGGTGATTATAGCTGTAAGTGTGCTGCAAAGCCCCTCAAGCCTTTGACCCCAGAAGTGATTAACTTATAACTTCTCCTAGTCATTCCAAAATTTCAATCTAGCAAACAGGTAAGGAGAATAAACATGCTTATCAGCAAGAAGATAATAAGTTACTATAACACCAAATTCCCCTGTCATATCTACAAGGAACTGTATAGCAGTCAGTTAGGAGAAACACCTAAGGAATCTAGGGATTTAAGAGGTTAAGGAGATTATCCATATAATCCCCTAGAGCTTATATTTCCACATTTCATCAGGTCACTCAGACAAGTTGCCAACATACATTTCTAGTCTTGTGAATCTCATCCAAGAACACAACACAATGACCCAGTCCTTGAGATGATCGTAATGCTCTCAATTTTTCAGACCTACTGGCTATGCAATATTTTTTCTCGCATATTTATTCCTCAAAAAGTATTCATGAGGCCACAGTATCAGTGAAAGAATAATGAAAGTAGGTTGTTTACTGACTGATTCCATAAGACTATAGTAACCTCAATTCCATTACTCAGGAAAGAGAGAAAACAAGAGAGGGAGAGAATTCCATTACTAACATTAATACCCTTGATTCCAGCAAATACAGTTGATGCTCAGACATACATGTACACTAGTCCATGTTTTATCACAACATAGTGCAACTTTCATGTGATGGTATATAAGGATATTCAGGGAAAATATATTGCTTTGAGAGAATCAGCCACACAGTCTAATCACAGCTCACACCAACAAAACATGTTAAGTTACACCAGATTTAACGGAATAAAATTCAGCAATAGAAAACTGAAAAACTAAATTTTATGAGGGTTCATATACTCAATCACTATTGCTTTCACTGAGCTAAATTTGAAGTCACAAACATCAGTTTAACCAACTTTAATGTAAAAAAACAACGTCAAACAGAAATTCACAAAACAACTTTAAAATGTGTTTTAGCTTTGGTGTGAATGGGGTATAAGTTTCAAATGAGAGAAGTTTGAGATACGCACACTAAACAATGTGAATAAAAATGTTAAAAACTACAGCAATAGCCTGAACCTGCAATATATAAGAGACAATTGAAAGTCTTTCACAGGCCCTGTGCATGTCATCAAGTAAACTAACCTGAAGGACAGGTATACGCGCAACATTTGCCAGGTATAGCTTTGTAGTCCTCACATGTTGGCACTGCACATTCTGTGGTAAAACATTGTGCTGCTTGTCCACTCAGGCATTTGCAGTGGTAACAAAAATCATTTCCCTCAGGCACAAATGGTTCTCCGTGTTTAACCTTGTTGCCATTGATGTCATAACAAAATGCTTCTGTTGAATTGAAATTAGGAAAAAGAAATCACTTCAGGAAAAAAGCCCTTACTTGTTCTAACAATTATTCAATGAATTAAATATAAAATATTTCAAAACAAAATGTTCAAATGTTATACACATAAAAGAGGAACTCCTATTTGAAAATGCACTCAAACTTAGGGAAATACAGCTTCAAAAACATGTACTTATACCAAAAAGTTTGTCTTTGATCGAGTAGATTTTTACAAACATAGGAAACCAAGGATGAGTGGAAAATAAAACTGAACGTTCTATTATGGTAATCTGCCATTTATTCATTTTCAGTTTTAATTTGCATGTCAGCCAAATGCAAGTTGAGAGCATCTTTTAAGTAAACTTCCACATGACAAGAAAAGAACCTTGAAATTCAAAGAACATTTGAAATTAAAATCTACACCATAATTACACACATTCCTTACAATATAAAGAGGAAACATAACTATTTCTAAAGGTAAGTAGAATCTCATGTCTTTCCTCAAAACACATCAAATTTGAACACACCATACGCAAAGAAGGGGTTAAGAAATTGCATTTCTGATTATTGACGACGCCATTGATAGCATTTTGAGAAAGTTGAAAATTTGTCAAAATGGGAAGTAAGACGTAGTCTCCATAGCAAGTGCATCAGTTGAATTTACAACAAATACAAATTTCATTTACAAAACCAAAACAGGTTTGTTGCGTTGCAAACTATAGCTTTTGAAACACAACTCTTTTACCATGCAATTGGTATGACTACTGGTACATGCACCGGGTATACTAAATCAAACAAACAAGGTATAAGGTGGTGGAATTCTTTAAGCATTCCTTTCTCGCTTAACCTATGTCTTAACATAAATCAAAGCAATCTAAAATGCATGAATCCAAAATATCCACGACAAAGTCACGAGATGCCAGCAGAGCTGTATAGCACTGTTCAGTGATGAGATATCTATTGAACTACACAAGTGCAGTGAAGCACAAATAACTCAAAACTACACTGTCTATTTAAGGATTTGAACACAAATATTTCTTAAGAGAAGATTATTTCTAAATACCAGTGATGTTACCATTACTCATTGCTCTTCCACAGTGTTTCCAAATTTCAAACAAACATACTCAAATCCTCAAAGCGTGAAAACTGCCCATTGAAAATGAAACTACAGTGGATGACGGGAAAATAACATTCCCACATTAATGCCTGCCTGATAAAGTCAGTGCTATTTCCGAACACTAGGATGTCTTTGACCTTTCAAAGTCTTTGAAAATCTAAGGGCATGAATTTCAAACATCTGTCCCTGATTATATTGGCAGTTACAAAATGTGCTTGAGGCAGCTTAGATTGACAGTGAAATTTCTAGTTCTTCTGTTGGAAAGGCCCCAAAATAATTTACAAGGCAGTATTGCACTTTTGAGCCAATATAACAGGATTCGCCCTCACTTGCCCACACAACAGTAAATGATGATAGGTCTCTACATCCTTTTGTTGTTTTTAATGTGTTATTGTGTTACAACAATCACCCCCAGTGAAACAAATGGAATGTTTACAGAGCCACATATCTGATATGAAAATATGCCACACAAGATTACAGTTTTGTCTACAAATCATGGTTTCTGTCATGCTCCAAAGATGCTTGTGACTAGAGTTATCCAGGTAAATATGTCACCCTAAATTTCATTTATTTCTATATTGACAAAGAGCTGTGTAACCCAAATTAGTAGCCCTACCCCCACTTGAGGCAGCTTAACTTGTTTCACAGCTCAATGCACAGGTATTTTCCCACGGTGGTATGCAAATCGAGAAGCTTAAAAATTATCATGTCATGTCATTTTTTGTGGTATTTATTGCTGAGCATGCACATTCCTGAATTTTTATCTGCTCCTGGTTAGAAAGATAAAATGAGGCTGTTAAGCAGGAAGTGGCCTTAAGTAGTGTTAGAGGTCAAGGAATTTTCTATAAATTGAATGATTTGAACCTTGACTGGCAAATTCATGTGACTATTAAAATTTATCCACACCAATTGGCCTTATCATTGACATAGCAATTCTCCTCAACTGTCTACATTTTCTTACAGCAGTAATGGTGTGTGTTTGTTAAACAACAAGCCATTTGGGTATCAGTTCCTTAATACATTCATATCTTTTAACCTTTACTTGCCATTTTATGCTTACTGTAATAAGTGGAGAAATTTAGTTCTGATCACTTCAAGAAATCAAAAAGTTGAAAAACTGAAAGAAGTGCAACACTTCAAAAACAAAAACAAAAAAAAATGCAGTTCAACCTAATAACCATCTTTAAGGTTTTGTTTGAATCATCTGCCTACACATGCTTTTTCTACACTGCTGTGACTCGGTAAAATAAATAGGATTTGTCCAGGTCTGAATTTTATTAGAATTACTGATCATATCTGGGCGATGGGAAGTAGGAAAGATCCATTCAAATGTAAACTGAAGAAGTATATAATTTTTTTGGTTTGCTTCTTCTGTTTCCTATTTGTTGTGTTATACAAGGACCTGAAAAGTTAATTTGATCACTTCTATAATTTTTGTTCAACACTAGCAAGAGGAAGACAAAGTATCAGTCATGAAATAATATAGAAGAAAACAATGAAAAGAATACTATTTCTGATAAGTTGTACACTGAAAAGCTTTCAATCCAGGCAAGCCAACCACTTCACAGTAAAACAAGTTTGAAACATTCAAAAGACAAGTATTATGAACACATGGATGTAAGTCTACTGAATCATTAAGTGAAATAATGCACCTCAAAAACCAAGCAAATGATAATATGATTCACTTTGACCAATGAAATGATTAAATAGGTTTTAACCAAGCCATAAAGAATGATTATAAATGATTTTTAACAAAATGCATGGAAAACACACCTCGTATCATTCTTCGTAATTTTTGGCTACCAGATTTCTGGATAAGAAAAGAAAAAAAAATTACATGTCAACTTGTCACTTTAGGTGTCTATACATAACCAATGTAACAAAAAAATAAAATACAGAATCAGTTCATCTACAAGGTGTGTCGATTAAACTAATGTTTTTGCATGCACCTTAGGATGTTTAGAAATAAATATTAAGAAATACACACCTTCATAATTGAAGAGAAATATTCTTGTCCTTTTCCTAAGGAAAGAGAGGAGAGAAAGTTGTTGACATACATTGTCAAAAACTAAATAACTGCATAATATTTTCTACTGTACATATTGAGTGATCTTAGATGCATGAATAAAAAATTATGGCTATTTGAATGCTGAATTCTGAAGAAAAACATACAGGTGACTTCATTGAAACCTAGAATTTGTTATTTTTTTCTCCTCCAGGTGCATCTCTGGTATTACATCATGTGTACATCGACAAACAAGACAAAATAATCAGCATAAAATTATCTCATTTGGGAAGTAAGCCGTACCTTGTGTGTCTCAACGATATAGACATAGGTACCGAATATGAGACTGATCATGCTTTCTTCAACACTTTGTTTTAATACAGCACAAAGTTCCCCTTACTTCTTCTGAAATTCCAGATTTTAAGGCCAATTGCAAAATGGTCTTCATCAAATGAAAAGAACTAGTCTCAGACAATATTCCATACAACTGTTATTTAGTTTATATCAAGATGTCATCCATTTGAAGAACATGATAGCCAAGAAACTGTAATTATGGCTACAGGAAGTTAGAATGTCTTTAGCCCATTAACAAGTGATTAACATCTAACTTCTCCCTATAATTTCCATACATTATACAACAAACAGCAAATAAGAATACTCAAAAAGATAAGGCAGTAGTTGTAATCTTGATCTAACACCAAATTCTTGTAACTAATTTACATGGAAAGTGTAACAGCTAGAGGGGAGAATTGCTAATTAGATCTTGGGAATTAAAGGGTAAAGGGCACATACCAGTTAAGATTTCTAATGTACATAATTATGGAAATCATTTTGTTCTTTTCAGTCATCATTCAATTTACATTAAAATATCCTTGACTGATTGAGATTTAAAAAACATTACTTCCACCACGAAATAGTACAGTAGAAATAGTCCTCTTAGGTCATAACATGGTGTTAAATTTGGTGCTTTATCATAGAACCACCTTATAAAACTCTAGGACACCATATTCAAAGCAGGATTAAGCTAACTAAGGATTAGCCAAAAATTTTAAATTCAGTTTTGTAGCTCTGCAGAATGTTTAATTGTATAGGTTTTCTCCTTCAGTTTTGTCTTGCATTAAGGTAAAACTCCTTAAAAAGTAAGTGCTAATGCATGCTTTACATTTCAAGAGATATCAAGTAAAGAAATCAAGACATTGTCTTCTTGCAATTGTCTTCTTAATTCTTGTCAAATGTGCCTTTAAGTATATATTAATCAGACATATAGCATCTGTGAATTGGTCTTTCAGATTAGAAGAGTGACCAGCTAAATGCCAACAAGATGTCAGGTTGTTTTTCTCAAAATCAATCTAAGATTCCTATTTTTTTTAGTCAAGCACCGCTTGTAAACAGTGAATCACACTCGTCCACATGTCTTAAGACAATAGCTTGATTGAACTGAATTGTATTGGCCACTTGCCTCATTGCATTCTATTGAAAAGAATGAAATAAACACTGCACTTTTGTTCTGAAGTAATTTAAAAATCTCAAGAGAGCCAGCTGTAAGATTTGACTAATAAAATTTATTTTATCAAACTATCTACAAATGCTGTGAATGATAATACATATACAAAAATTTTCCCAAAGTTTAGATCTTTCTTCCAAGGTTGAAAACGGAAAACTCGACAAATTTTGCTAAGGTTTGTAAAGTCAATGAACTTAACGGGTAGTAAATTCACACGCACCCTTTATCACGTGTGGTTATGAAAAAATAGTGAAAATAATTAGTTCTTCAAAGTTGTGCCGCGAGACTTTTTGAGCTAATGTAAAAGAATGTCAGCCTAAAATATGACAGATGTAACCTTTCTTAAGTTACTCAAATACCCCTTTGCGATTAAGGAAATCGCAGTTTAAAATTTTTTCGTAAACAAGCCATTTTGCCGTCAAGACAAAGAATGGGTTACCCCTAACGGAATATGTTTTTTATTAGTTAAAACTTTCGTGAGAATCAACATCAAACCTTGCGTCTCCAAGCAAAGAAGTAAATACCTGAGGTGCTTCCTTCAGTAAGAAATCGTAGATTGACTGATAGGAGGGCGAAATCTAGCTAAAACCGGTGACCTGATAAACTCGACTAAGTTGACAAGAGTTGATCGCTCCATCACAAAAATTGTTGACATTTTCAGTTCTCGAATTTCACATCGTGTCACGAACCACCTTTAATCGCTACTTAAAATCAAATTGCCTATTAGAGGAATGTTTCAAAACGCCCATAATATCATCGGTAAAATTACCAGAAGCATTCCATTGGCATGAGGTTGAAAATCCTTGACAACGTGAGTGGAATTCTGTGAGCGAAGCGTGTTATTCAATCATATGCAGAAAAATAATTTTCGGAAAGAACACATTCAGAGCTACTTGGCAACACGTTACAGTCACTCTACACTCAGAAAATAGTTTGTTCACCTCTAGACTACATGTTCATATTATCGTGAGATGAAACAAAAGAAATCAAAGAAAGTAAAACGTCTGACGCTCACGTTACAATACATCAGAATACAATCACGGTTAAGTGTAATGCTCTTTGGTTGGAAGCGGATTATGGGCTCACGAAGTTATAGCGTCCGGAGCGATATCTTAAGCTTTATCGTCCTTTTAACAGATCCTAATTGCTAGTTTTTCCTTAATACAGAATCAAGTATCTTTTGAAATCCAATTGAAGTAAAATAGCGACCATTTGTGACATATCTCACTGTTCATTTTCACATTTTGCGGGGAAAACACGGTGTGAGACAAATTTCCCCTTATCTCTCATTCTTCACACGTAGCTACACGTTGTTAAAAAGACACTTCGAAACTGTAAAAGGTTCGTAGTATTTAAACAATATTAGGCTGGCCCCATAGAAGAACGACTCTAATGAGCAAACAGATTTTAAATTGGAAGGTAATGACCGAAGAAGCACGTACACACGAGCCAGAATCTCTTCGCCCCACGCTAAGAGTAGAAATTTGCAAGCAAACCGCATCGCCTTACCTTGGCTTCAACATAAGGTCGTCCAGTACAAAAATTTCCAAAAGCTCAAGAGCATTCCACGATTAAATTTCGTTGAAATTCCTTTCCACGACCATTGTAAACTGGAAGAGTGTCGCAAGAGACTTACTAAGCTGCGTAGCTAATTTTAAATAATTCATTCTAAGTATGCTAATATATTTGCCTTTTTAATTTATGCCAAAAGTAGCCAACTCGAAAACGAGGCGGGTAATAGAGGTTTTGTTCGAGTTTAATCAGGTGTCAAATGGTATGAAATGTAAAAAAAAAAAAAAAAAAAAAAAAAAAAAGAGCTCAAATATCGCAAGAAAGCCAACAATTTATCAGGGAAGGCGATTTTAAAGACAGTTACAATAAAGCATCCACCTTTCATATTATATTGATTCAGTCAATATGAAGGCTAGCTTTCTTGAATGATGTGTTACCGGTATATTGAAGAATGTATTTACTATGTGTCACTAAAACCATATACCGTTTAAACGTTTCTGTCAACTGCAACCCGTTTGATAAATTATATAAAGAATAAGCCTACAGTCAGCGAGAAGGTTTCGACAATAGCGACTTGAATAGCATCTAAACGACTAAAAATATGTCCTTACGCAAGAACAAGCTGAATAAGGAATGGATAACATTACATGATCACAGAAAAGTAACAATACTCTCCGACGAGCATGGATCTAAGAGCTTTCTCGGTTTGAAAAATATAGCAATTGTTTTTAAAAAGCAGAAAGTGACTTGAAGCAGTCTGTAAATGCAACATTGTCTTTTTTTTTCTAATTCATCGTACGAATTTTTTTACAACAAAATCCCAATTAACAATATCTTGATAACAACAGAATTTGAACACAAATATACTAAAAAATTGGCAAAAACGAAGAAAAAAATTTCCAACATCATTCATGATAGAAGTAAATCACTTTATGACCTTTATGCGATGATTCTTGGATAAGTCGACCGTTTGTACCGGTTACTTACAAGAACACCACTACGAGATCACTGTAGAATGGTACATGATCAATGCATATACACAGAGCGAAAGTTGTAATTTTTTTTTCATCTCTTTCGCGATTGAGAATGCAATCGTCTCGTTTTGTTTGTAGTTGTCTCATTATAAATATTTACGACTCGCACGTCTCCTGCGCGTGTTTTGGAATAGAGCCAGTTTACCGGGTAACATATTTCTTAAGTGTTGAAGATAAACCAGTTACTAAAAGAGAGAAATTATAAAAGGCTTTAAGACCGACATGCGTTTAGGATCCAGCGTAAGGTCCTGATAATTTCCGCTACATTATTTATCAATAGAATTGATCAAGACTGTGAAACTTTTATTCAGAACATTTATTTTTTATGTCATGTGATAGTTGTGACTAAAATGAAAGCACTCAGACGAAATAAATGAACATTGCTTAATATTTAACACAATTGAATTGTCTTTGTTTATGGCGAGTCTCAGTTCATCAATAAATCAGCGAGTAAATTTTTGCCATCCCGTACACTTTGTTTTTCTCGCTGTGACCGAAAATACACAACAAACCCACTCGATCTGCTCTATGAAGGAAAAACAAAGTAAGCGTTTAATTTGAGTTAAAATCTAGATTTCAGTTAGCCACAATTTTCGTAAAAATGTGCGTCAGATTTGTCATTATGGGAAGTTTTGTCACCTTAAAAGTTTTTTTTCTCTCGTTATTTTTGTACAAATGTTAGGATATAGGAATAGGAGGAAAAAATGTTGCAGATGTTAAGTTAAACAAAACATTTTTAATTAAAAAAGACTCAAAGATATTTTTTGTAACAGAAAACAGCGTGTTAGTTTTACAGGTACTGGTCTAACATATATGATAAAACAAGGCAATGAGAGTCCTATAATTAAAATCGAAACGTTCCCTTCTTACCTTCACCTGAAGTGGAAGAATGTGTTAAAATCCACACAGCGTTAAAAAGAGAGACCTTCTTTCGTGCAAATCTTCCAGAATTTTTGCCACTTTAGACACGGCCAGCTAATGGGGTGTAAATTCCATTTTTTCGGTCAAGAACAATAGTTGCCTCGGTCACAAAGAAAGTGGCTAATAACTGCAACGATCTTAGTGGAGGGCGCAATGTTCCAACTAAATGTTACGCAGCTTAAGAGTTGCCATAGATATTATGTTAAGTACTTTTCTGTAAAATTCGAGAGATCACCTCACGCAACGCGCCAAATTGAAGCGACTTGAAGTGTGTTCAACGTTTGAAGGCACTGATCAAAGAAGTGTACTTGTCACATGTCAAAAGAATACCTGGACTCTTGGGCTTAAGAAAATGGACAAAGAATTTGACACTAGTGAAGATCCCACCCGCTTTTGTAAGGAAATTTCGCATATTTTTGACTGAAATTGAAAAAAGATTTCTCATAATGGACAATCAATAATTTATTAGCGGTACTAAAGACATTTAAGTTGTTGTTGTTCACCAACCTTTCCCTAAATATTTTCAACACCAAGTAAGGCCGATACTTCTTTTTTTTTTTGCTCGCGTCTTTGCAGAGCTCTGGAATTTTATGTTGAAAATTACGTGAAGCAAACGAATACTTTTTAGTTTAGAGGCCCGTTCTACTAAGTGATTCAAATTTTGAAAGATCTCTTGTTGGCTTTTGATAGACTTTAAATTCACGACAATCTCACTTCTTCGTTACCTTTTACAAAGCTTGAAACGAACAAAGATAGGACCATTTAATAGAGACACTAATTCGAACATTTTGTGCGATTCAGTCACAATGTTCATTACAAAGGTGGCAATTAGTTTTTACCCTTAGTTGTTATATTTCCAACAATTTTCATGGGAAAATGCCCAGTTTATTCTCAATAATTTCGTGTCTTTCACAAGATACCCTCAGTAACCCCTTCCCTAGCATAGGATATTGGTTTACTGCAGTTATTTCTACCTCCATTCCACCCCGTCCCGCTGACATCACACCATTTTGACACGTAATGTGGGAGAATTAGATAACCGGGCATATCGTTCCCAGTCCACCCTCGGTTTTGTCCTCTCCAGCTACCTCTCTTTTTAGATCTCAGGCGTTTAAAACTAATGAAACTTTGAATATGTAAAAAAACAGGCAAACAAGAAAACATCCCAAATTGTTGATAAACAGAGAGATAATTTGCATTTCTTGATTTAAAGAAATATTATGTCTCATTTCCTTTCCTGTTTACCAATTTAAGCGCTTCCTAATCAATCTCGCCAAGTAGCTGCGTCACCACTCACGCAAATACAAAATAATATTTTCATAATTACTCCGTTGCGTATTTAAGTTAATCCTGTGCCCAATTCGCCACAGGATACTCAAATAAGGATCGTGCAGAGAACCAAGGGGCATAGCGATATCAAAACATAACTAGGAAACGTCAATATTTGCCTCCAATGTAGGCAATTTCTGTTTTCAATTAAAAGAACTGACAATTCGATTGTTATAGAAAAATCAGTTTTGTCAGCTGGCATCACATTTTGTCGCTGTTCGTTTGAAAAACTTTTATTTGAATCGGAGTTCTTACATACACTATGCAATTTTTCATCGAGTTGTTTCGATAAATTGACACTTTTAACCACCAATTCTAAATTAGGTTTAATGATGTATCTGCGCTCGTTTTTCAAATTGAGCCTAAAAAAACTTTTTACAACTAGTTTGGTCCTCCAGTTTATTTTTACAAACAGAAACTTGGATTATCCTTACAGCATTTTTCTATTCAACCGTTCTCCCAGTATCACAACCAGACACAGGCTGTTTTACAACTTGAAGTATTTTTCCACAAAAATAGTGTACACGAAAATGAGGCAATTAAAACAAACGACTTTAATGTCTCGCTAGCGTGCCCTTTTCAACATACAGATGGACAATATGATTGCAGGCGCAGTCATTATGTAAGTTATGCACTCCTTGGCACTTCTTGACTTCAGTCTGAATCTGAGCCGTCACTCATATCTACGTCTTCAGATTCTTCTTCTTCTTCGGATTCTTCCTCCTCTGATTCCTTTTTGCTTTTGCCCTTAGATTTTCCTGGTTTAGGTTTTGCTTTTGCTTTAGGTTTGGGTTTGGGTTTGGTTTTCTGTAAAAGCAAATAAAATAGGAGATCGTCAAATAAAATGGGACACCTCAAATGATAGTGCAAATTGAACTTGCTCTACAATTTAAAACGAAAGCATTGGGCTTGTAGCCAATCGTCTCTCGTTTTTTCTGAAAGTGTGGGAGATGTGAACGAGTCATAGTGCAAGTCGGTCTCCCATCTCTAGCTGCGTGGTTCTTCCATAAATAAAAAAATACAAGACAAGTTTAACAAGTAAGGGAAACGATTATCAAAACTCTAAAATACTTCAACCGATGTTATCGTGAAGTTTTGTGGACGTCATAAGATATAAGAGAACAAACTTACCTTATCTTCATCCTCTGAGGAACTATCGTCAGTTTCTACAAATTCTGCGCTCTTAAATTTCTGTGACTCGCCGCTGCCAGCTTTTCGAGGAGAAGCAGTTTTCTTTTTATCTCCCTTCTTATTAAAGAACTCCTTTACGGAACCCTTCTTGCTTGGTTTCTCATCTGGACTATCATTTGGTTCGTTAGCTTTCTTCTCTTTGTACACCTTCATTGCCTCGTCGTATTTCTTCTTCGCCTCTTTGGCCATTTCCTGCCATTTCTAAACACGAATTAAATTACCTTGTTAGAGGTGACTTAAAAGTAATTTCTACTAGCATTATCATTACATTTTCCAGCAGAAAGATGATGGATAGAAAGAAAAATAGAGTTTGCCATAACACTAAATTACAGGAATTAAAATTAAAGGGAATGTATTACAGAAAATGCGGAGAATTTGCTCTGGTTGAAGAGCACCTTGTTTTGAGGTTTGGCCTTGATCCGAAATTGAGGGCAGCTGCAAAAATATCCTTCAAAAATTGTAAACTGCTTAATGTAGTCTGGCCAAAGTGTTGTAGAGCGCCTCGAGATGATGCACATGGCACTATAGAAATCCGTACATAATCATCATTCTCGCATTATTGAGATCTATGGAATACAAAGATCATTTACTGTTTTATCCTCAATTTTCTTCCACTTCTCTCCCGCTACTTTGGATAGCTCTGTCACTGAGATTCCAGGGTTCTCCCCTTTGATTTGTTCCCTGATTTCGCTCAGCCATAACATGTAGCCGGACATCGGCCGCTTGGGGGCATCAGCGTCCTTCTTTGCTTTCTTTTTCCGTTTGCCTTGAGGTGTTTCATCTGTCTGCAAAATGAAATCAAGGTTAAAGCAATTTCAATTGTGTCGAAAGTCATCCGGGATTGGATCATGTCTTGAAAACTCGTGCCACCGTCTCAACCAATCAGGTGCATACAAAACCCAATCACGACTTGGTCACCCACGTTTTCCCGCGCTTGGAGCGGTCGGCTTGTTTTCACTTTGAGCTCTCATCGGTTTCTCACAATATTCACCTTTGCTCTGATTGACTCTTACGGTAACCTTGGATTTCGTTTGAAGACATTCAATAGGAAATTGTCCTATGAAATATATCGCGTTCTCTATTTCGTATAAAAGAGAAAAAAGAGGATGATGAAGATGTAGGTGAAAAAGGCTCTGAGCTCTGTTTCTGATTCTGATTGACTCATACAGCGACTGACTAGAACAATTAAATTTTCAAGTACACTCTTGCAGTACAGGCCGGTACAAACAGTCTTTTGATTTTCCTAGCGGTACACTTAAATTCTTTGATTAAAAAAAAAAAAACCAAAAAAAAAACGAACAAACAAACAAACAAACAAACAGATAATCAAAAACACAACAAGTACTAAGACACTGAACCAACGCCAATGAGTTTCGCGGTCTTGTTATAAAATCAATCAACACAAAAAACTCTGAAAAATAACCAAATGGGATGGAGGTATACACAAAAGTCAGGCCTAAAAATGAAAGAGTGAAACTCCATCACTTTCCATGAGCCTTATGCATCGTGAACTGTGAAACGACATTCCTCGTGAGGCAAATAGGAAAAGGGAAAGGGAACATTCTGCTACTGAAAGGTTAAAAACAAGACGACAGAGCTATAAGATTTTCAGTAACACTTACTGAAGTTTTGGCCTTCTTTTTCGGTGCAGGGCTCGCCGTTTTTTCAGCTTTTCTTTTCTTTTCAGGCGACTTTTTCTTCTTCTTTTCCTTTACTTTGTGTTTTGGCTTGCCTTCCTCGTCGGATTCTCCTTCACTTTCTGAAGAAGACGGGTCGCTCTCGAATCTAGTACAAAATTGTCTTAAAATTAGCCTCATTGTGGCCACGAGCCTGATCAGCTAGGAGTAAAGGATCGGTCAATAGACTTTACTTAATCCTTTACACCCTAAAATCAGTATGCATATTCTCCATAGCATTCTCTGAACATTTCCTAAGGAACTGACAAGGAGAATTGATACAACCAAAAGCTTCTTTAGGTGGTGATCGTTTCCCTAATTCTCCTAACCTTCATGCGTGATTCAGCGATGGTATTGTAAGACGCTATTCACTCTTAAGGGTCAAAGGGTGAAAGAACCAACTGGCCAGGAGAGTAAAGGGGTAAGTTTCTAAAGAAACTGTGGTGCTGCGTTGGTGGGAGAGTATAGCAGGTAATTTAGTGTTAACAACTGAGTTGACAACGTAAATTAGCCACCGTAAAGAGTAAAAAAGCTAGGCCAGGAGAGTGCCTGTCTTTTAAAAATATTTCAGAAGAATTGTACCTTGCCTTTAGCACGAAAATACTTCTCTACTCAGAATAATTTTTGCGGGGTAAAACAGATATACTCACTCCTCTTTCAAATCCTGATCTTCTCCCCCGCTTCCAGGATTGAAGGACTCGTCTGACTCATCTGTAAGTAACAGATTAAATGGAAAGAAAAAACACATGAATTCACCTGAACATAATTATGCGAAGAAACAGGGCTCAAAGTCCTCAAATACCAAAATTCAAGACTTTCCCTCACTTTTTGCAGGACGTCGTTTGTGTTTTCCATGGCCATAGATCAATGGTTTGGTTTTAAAATAACATGAAAGCAACCATTTGACGAACGTATTTCTTGCGTTTTTGTTGTAATAAAGATAAAAAACAGTGACCTTAGACTAGGAGCTATCCCTCCTTTGCGTGAGCCTCACACCCAGAGTTCCGCGCGGCGCGCTAACATCTTTTTTTTTTTTTTTTCCAGTTTTCGTTGATTTTTTTGTTACTCGCGCGACGGACTTCGCGGAAAAGAAGAAACTATTCGGAGTGTACAGCGAGTCGTCAATTCCTTAACTTTTCATAGGCGGCAACCAAAACTTACGACTTCCCGGGCCTGGAAATTGCAGAACTACCTTTCAGATTCTGGTCACAATTTCAATGAAATGTGTCCCGTGCAAACTCTGAAAAACAGGCTAGTGTGGGACGGCAACACTCTCTGTGCGCTCAAAATAGAAATCCTATTTGTCCAATACTACAGTTGGAATTTAAACAGTACAAAGGAAACGGTTGAGAAGATTTTTTAGCAGTATAAGGATGGGCCAGTGGTATCGGCATCTGTCCTCAAGGCGGAGGGCGAATTAGAAATTACGTGCTTAGTACACACACACACACACCTTCGCTTGACTCTGACTCTTCGTATTTCTCGGCTCCTTCAGCCTTCATCTGCTCCAAGTATGCATCGTGAGAATCTTCGTCTGAGCCGGGCATCAATTCGTCTTCATACTGCTTTGATGACACCTTCGATTAAACCACAAAAATCGATAAACATATAAATAAATAATGATGAATAGAGAAAATGACAACAATAAAATAATTTTGCTTTGTTTACCTTAAGGTACCAAGCTAAATAGGGAGAATTTATTTCAAAATCTAGGCTTATTTTGATAGAACTGTTGTATTCACGTACAAAGAGAGGACCGTAAGAGCAAACGCAAACAAAACTGCAGGATTTTCAAAAGGACTAGGGGCAGGAATGCTGCAATAAAAAGTACTAATACTTTGCGTGCACGCTGAATAGCGTTGACCCTCATCGTGGGCGCTCCGGCACGAGCGTTTCCGTTTTTTTTTTTTAAGAGCTTGTAATGATAATTAGTGCCAGACTCCCGGCAAACCTCTCCCGGACTCGTCTCAAATCTTCCTGCGGGCAGAGAAATGTGCGTCTTGCAGCGCTAATAATGATGGCGTTAGTCTATCAATGACTGGAAAATGGGGTATCCTTTAAAATAAATGACTGACAAGAAAGAAGAAAAAAGTGTTATTTGGAATTTTTGTATTGTGTGCTAACCTTTCCTGTGTTCTTTATTCTCAGATGCTTGCCACTGACAAAATCGAATAGTTTTCCATACTCCTCTCTGAAATATGATGCAAGACAGATTAAAATTTCTCAAGCTACTTTGAAACCTGAAATATTTTCATGACTCCAGTTGTTGGTAATTTTTCCCTTTAAAACTTTGCACTGAAAATTGGCGTGCTGCTGACAAATTTTTAATCATTTGCGCATGCCGGCGGTTTGACCGCTGCGTTGTCAATCTCGTTTCCTCAGCTACCACTTATTCACCGAAAAAGGAGCTTATGATGAACGAGGAATCTGGGAACAAGCTTGCTGTTTTATATGCACGTGTCCCGTTTTTCTTCCCTTGGAAGTAGAGTGAAGTGTGTGAGCGTACTTTAGTGTTTTAACGCCCTTAGGATCGTGCTGGACGCCAGTGCCGTTTCATCATAGTAAGTATTAGCCAGCGCTAATAACAAGGGTGTGCCCGCGGGCTCAATAAGTACTTGTACCATGCGTTCGATCTAAGACCTGATCTGATTGAATGCATGTTCTACTTGCTCCCATTTTGTTAATGAATGCGTCGGAAAACCTCATCCAAAATTCGTCAACATCCTGTAGGCGCCACTTACTTTTCGATGCTACTAAACACGTAACTGACCCCCGACTTTGTCTCCACTTCAAAATCAAATGACCGACTGGATCCACCTCCTCCTGCCACACGGGCAAAGTTCACTGAGGAGATCTCGTCAAAGCGGATGTGCACAGGGGGTTTGTGCACAAATATAAAGCCCCTTTCTAAAGGGTACAGCATTCCACTGCCAGCTCTGTATGAACACGTGATGCAGCTGACTCCCGCATGACTGAAAAGCAGAATAAGAGTTAGGGCAAGACTGAAAAATGTCTCAATTTAAAAATTCGTTCATAATGGAGTCTACTTATATTTCTCTAATGGATCTATGTCACAGGTTGATTGAAAGAATGAATAGAAACAGACCTTTTTGCAACTTCTACGATGAGAAAATTCAAACATTTCACGTTACCAGCTTTGTTCAATGATATTTAGACTGGGATGTCTCTAACGCACAGAGGAAAGGGTGTTTAACAAGTCATCCTGTCTTCACCCTTTAACACCCATAAGTGAGTTAAAGCCAACATGTAATGCGAATACTCAAACTTATCAGGTAAAGGTTAGTAGTCTTGATCTAACACCAAATACTCGCAATTTATTTACAAGGAAATGAGTAACAGCTAGAAGGGAGAATTCAAAATCAGATCTTAGGAGTTAAAGGGTTAAAGATTGCTGCCCAAATATTCTTTTGGTCGGTGTGATAAGCAACCGATCACCTTAACCTGGGTAACAAAACACAACCTTAGAACACCAGAAACACATTACATTAATACGCACCTTTTAAATGTACCAGGAACGGTTATTCTTCGACCAACAACTGCCTTCATCAGTCTGCTCACAATCTCGTAAATCGGACCATCCATTTCCTGAGTTATCTTCCCTTCATATTTTTCCTTTAACTCCTCCCTAAATTGCAAAAATTTCAAGATGTCGAAACACGCGAGGAATTCGGTATAAGATGTACATGCGACGCTTTAAACAATGAAGTTGGATCAATGGCCGACCTACTGCACCTGCGCAACTGACGAACGGCTACCGTTAGAAAAGTCAGCTTTAGAAACTCCTTACTGAGGCCAATTTACGTTATCAACTCAGTTCACAAAACCACATTATCTTGTCATACCTCTCTTCTCCCCTTTCCCCTCTCCTCCCCTCCCCCCCCCCCCCTCCCCCCCCTCAAAGGCATCACTGCGAAAGTTACCCCTTTCATTCAAATGAAAGTTAACACTATCGCTTTCCCACACTCAAAAGCTTCTAGACTGGGAATTCTCTACCCTCATAATTCCCCCAATTTTTTTCCGTATTTCCAGAAATCACAATACCTTGAACAGGTACTCAAACAGAGAGCACAGGAAGAGAAGAAAAATTCTACTATTGATCATGTAAAATCCCTTCACTTACTCTGACAAATTTAGTTTCACATCGAATTCTTCATCTTTTTCAAATTGTATGATCAAGAATGGATATCTTGTTTGGCCTTGTTTTATTGGAGGATCCATGCTAACCTACAATGCAGAAAAACAACTATTTTAGAGTAATCCATCAACAGCAAATTTCAAAGTGATGAATGTTATTCAATTTCCAGGCTGTCTTATTCTACTTGGAGCCTCTCTCTTGATACTTTACTTTTGAGCTTCATTTTTAAAGTTGTTAACTTCATGATAGCCGGTTTCAGGTATTCAGAAAGTAAAACGGAGTGAAGTAGTAAACAACGCGAGAATGGCAACAGAGCAAAAACCAGGGGAATCTGGGTTGGATCATGCACAGAACCTTCATCAGGTGACTCAACCCAACCCTTCCTTGTCTTTTCACACCTCCACTACAATCATGCCGTGCACTATCGCGCATCACTTTGTTAACTTAATGCTCTTTGCCCACATCTATGAGTTAGGCCACTGTAATAATCCTATCACACTCTAACACCTTTTTCTTATACCTGACTTGAAGATAATTCCAGTCTCAAGTGCTACATTTAGTACAAAATGTTTTAATTAACATTATTTTTTCCCAGTATACAAGTAAACTACAACACAATATGTTACTTGATTTTGCTTGACACTGGACCTTCTTTCCAAAATGAATTATTGAGGAAATTCCTCAAGGAGACAAACATGACAAAATGTTCCAATAAGCTGCAATGGCCCTGCAGTTTATCTACTCATATAATAAAACTTACCACAAAGAACATAAATCTTTGGTCTTTGTGAGGTAAAAGGAAAAGACGCAACACTGATGTGTAAGGAATCTTGTAGTCATAAGTTTTGCCATGAAGTTGAAGAAATGAAGGGAACACTTTCATGGTGTACCGGCCCCTTAAAACAAAAAGGAACAAAAGAAAATTTTAACATACAACAGCAACTTCTACTCGCTAGCCTTATAAAACAGACAAATGGTAATTCTAGACAATTCTCCAATTTGAAAAATCACCAAACAAATGAAAAACTCTCAGTTGAGAGTCAGAGGTAATCAAGGATTGTAATGGTTTTGCTTCACTTCACTGTAACTGATCTGTGAAATTTGTACCCCTCTCTCACCCAATCAGATATAAAGCTAAATCTATTCCACATGGTCCTTTACATTTTCTTGCTTTAAGCAGTTTGCTTGTTTTTACAAAGAGTCCTTACTGGTTTCTGCTGGCATTTTCTTTTGCTCTGAATGGTCACAGCGATTGCTTCCTGCAGCATTAAGTCTTAAAACACTCAAACACAATGCACCAGGCCAAGGGATTCATTTTCAAGTAGAATTACCTTGGGGTCAAACAGGCGACATCAGGTATTGTAACAATAGCATCTCCTATTGCTTGAATAATGTCCGCTTTCTCGAGAACTTTTTGATGGAAACTCTGCCAAAAATAAAAATAGAAATAAAAACAAAGCAAACAAATTATAGTAGAAACTGAAAAAATTTATTGCGAAATCTCATTGTTCTTTCAGTCTCTGGGTGTTTGAGCCACTGACTGTATATTCCAGTTTTTCTACTCACTTTAATAATAAGTCTACAAACATGTACATACTTCTACACTTTGTGAAGCAAAAAGAGAAAAATTAATTAAAGCTCATCTAACTCTTCACAAACTAACATTAGTATCTATATTCCCCATACTGTTCTCTATAAATTTATTTGGTGCTGGTTGGGAGAATTTGTGTAACAGTCAAAGCTTCTTCAATTGGCAACTATTTCCTTAATTCTAGTGACTTCAATGTTTGATTCAGAGGTGATGTTTTAAGGAAAAATAGATCCCAGCCACTCTTTGGAGTTTAAGGGATAAGTTTCCACAACATAAACAGATTTGCACAAATTACCTCTTTAATATCAATTTAAAAAGTAAAATGCCTACAATTGGCAACAAAATTATTGACACATTGGCCTTCTCCACTCTTTTGCCCTTGTTACATTAACCTATTTGCCCCATTCCCCCTCTCCTTAAAAAAAAATGCTGTATCGCGATTCCATGACCTTTTAGCTACATTCAGGCAATATATGGGGGAGGGGGGTATTGTCAATGACTAAGAGTGCGTTAGACACAGGAATGTTAATCTACACATAAATAGGACTGTTCAAAGATGATCTATCAACTAATTTGGATGATGATTGTAGCTTGGCACAGATTTCACATTTTCATTCTATGGACATGACATGTTAAACTTGCTTCCCCTTATAATCAAAATGTGGATTTTAGAAATAAAGAACATACTTTGACTGGGTCTTCTGTTGGATTATCTGCAGGTGTAGGGATATAAAATCTCATCTCCATCAAGCAGATCTGTGCATCATCATTTTGATGAAACTCAAGTGCCACTTCATTTTTTCCTGTTTGTGAATAAAATAACACTGCATAAGACTGTTCATGTTTTATTCAGGAAATCCTCACTCATAGAGAGCATGCAATCTGAAATTTGCCAGGTGAAAAAGCAGTAATCAGTAGCAGAATATTTGGCAGGTAATTGCTGCATTTCATTTAGCAAATATCCCCAGCAGCAGGCTCTTGGCTGCAACTCTGATTTCTACAAAGTTCTGTATCATTTTGGACAGGCCTTGTAATGAAGTGTCTACAACCTGGGAATTCACTGTTTTAGAATTTAGTGCTCTTCCATACTTCAGATTGAAAGGATAGTAATTCCAAATTAATTTTTTCCACTCTGAAAAAAATAGGATGTAACAAAGATGAAAGGAAAAACCTCACCTGTTGTTGCTTGCGACACATCCTTGAGAGGGACTATAAATGCTGGCTTTTCATCAACTTCAAAACAGAGAGAGGAGCCTGAAACATTTCACAAAATCCTTTGTTACAGCAATACAAATAAACCAGATCAATGTTAGTCTCACAATCAAAAGCAGAAAAATGATGCAATGCTTGTGAAAACAGGAAACAGGTAGCGCCAACAACAACAAACAGACACAGACTACAGATGACTAGGAAAGCATTACATGGACAGACACCTCTAACCTTTGAATTTAGCAGTGCCCCAGTTCCAGCCCTTGACGGATAATTCTATTTCTTCCAGATCCTTTCCAAAATTTTCCTTAATGAATGTTGCTAGTTGGTCATAGTCCTAAAAAGAGAAAACACAAGAGAAAAATTAGTTTCACCCTAGTTAATTTAAACCAAGAGAATTGAATGTTTGGATGCCACTTCAAAAATATTTTTTTGATGTCATATGGCAAGTAAAAAAAATTTCAATGAAATGTCCCATGTACTTAGAATAGAATTTAAATCTAGTTTAAAAAGACAACATCTCATTCTTGTGTGAGAATACAAATAACTATTTACAATTAGAGCAAAAAATGCAGCATCACCCTGCACTTGAGTTAAGAATATTGAAATGTGTTTTGTTATATTAAGCTCAGATTTAAAAAAAATGCGGTAAAGGGAGACTTTCCCCTTCATTGCATCCTAGCCATACCACAAAAGTTTTAACTATTTGTTTTGACAGAGAGAAATCCAAGTAATTAACAACATTGCTGTGGTGATACCAACTGTTAGTTTTCAAGTAGTTTCAAATGGAGACAAAGACTTACTGCCTCTTTGAAACCTTCAAACTTGAACTGCATTCCATTTGTTAGAGCAACATTCAGTTCAAAACCACGAGCTACTCTCAACCAACTAGTTGATTCAATATCAGCCACTGCTGCTTGGTCAATTTTTCCAGTTTTGTTTGCTTTGAATATTATTCCCCCTTTGTGTAACTTCAACCGTCCATCATTCTGTGAACAAGGCAGAAATGTGATATTTTTAAGGGCATTAGCCCCTTTAAACCTTCTGTGGTTGAAATAGATCTTCAAATTATCCACCCAAAAAGTCAAGAATTGACCTCTATGATGCAAAAAAAACACCAATTTTTGAGCAAGTGGCCTCATCATTTGAACAAGGTTAGAATTGAAAAGGATTGTTGCTAGTGGGAAAGAGTACCATGATATGGATAGAATAATGGATTGCCTAAACGTGGAAGCCATAAACTTGGAATAAATCGCTCAAAAGGGTTCTTTGAGTCAAATAATACAGTAAGTAGATTGAACTCAACAGTAACAGTAGATTGTCCCATTTGCTGAATAATGTTATCTTAATATGACACCACATTCCCTTCACCCGCAATAAAGCTATGGCATGGAGGGAGAAATTCTAATCAAATATTGAATGTAAGAGACTTAAAGTAGCCTATTAGCCCTTGTAATACAGAGATTGGTACCGGCGGAACCCAGCTGGTTTAAGTCGTTGTCTCGTAGCGTCTTGTTTATGTGCAATCATGGACGCCTTTAGGGGCTGGCTCTTCAAATTTCTGAGACCAGGAACCACGTGAATATTCGAAGAGCGCAGCACAGAATGTAATTTAACATATCAGACCGAAAAGAAGCTTAGTGTACTAGCTGGAGCTGCAGCCGTCAGTGAAGCTCACAAGTTGCTTCCGGTTGCAAAATCACCCCCGTACAACGATTAGGAATCCTTTAAAAGGCGTAAGAAATATATCTCGTATAACATCATGTAGATGATAAGGAAATTTGTAAAAAAAATCTCGTGAGTATATTTAGCTTTGAAATTAGAAGCCTTGTACTGATCATTCTTTCTACGAGCTACACGTGACATGGAGCTTCTGCCATTTCCACTTACCAATGCACCTCTTACAAGAAGGTAAATATCACTGAACTCCAAACCATCAGTGGCCATTTCAAATTCCTATAGCCAGGTTAAAAATCAACAATCAATAATGCAAAATAACATGTTTTGAAAATAAGGAGATTTTACCTCTTGTTTGTTCCCGCGCGTTTCCAAAATGGCGGACAAGATGGCAGAGTGAGAACTGAACCTACTTTGTGATTGGCTTTCAGTATGTCTCGTTCCCGCGATAATTTTTTGTCGTGTTACGGGATCACACGGGACAGAGGGACGTAAGTTTAAACAGGAAAATTGCTGAGAAATTATTCATATGTGATTCTAGCTTGCAAGAAAAAAAGGTTAGTTTTTAAGGGGAGAAAAGCTGAAAGAGTGTCCTCAAAAGTTTGATAAAAGTTTTTTAGATTTGCTAATGATTTCCGCTGATGCCAAAATTATCTTGGCAGACTCAAAAGTACCAGTGGGATATTGATCAGACAGAAAAATGATGGATGAGGGCATTGATTATAACAAATTTATTATACACAAATAAATGCAGCGTGAATTTCATTTTTGAGCATAGGAGGAAGTCTCAAGTTTTTTTTTTGTTTTGATTGATCTTCCGAGCAATTCTGCATAATTATCTAAAATTTCTAAAAATTTCCAAATTAAGCTTTTGAAATCCACAACATTTTGTTGACATTATGCAACTTTTTTTGCAAGAGGAACCCCTACCCACAGTTGGAAAGTATGTCAGAAAAAAGCCAGTCTTGTCAACGAGGTAAGGAAAAATGATTCAATTTTATTTTTAATTGCTGAATTCAGTGACTGTGAATTTATGAAAATCATACATGTGAACTGCAGATAAAGTCGTGAATATGAAAGCAATCTTCCCAGTAATGAACACTACTTAAGCAGTAGTGAAAATAACGCCAGAAAAACCTCAGGCTTGTACAAAATTTGACCCCATGACCTCTATGATACCTGTGCAGTGCTCTACCAACTGAGCAACCAGCTCCCAGTTGACTTGTTAGCTCAGTTGGTAGAGCACTGAACCGGTATCCTACAGGACATAGGTTCAAATTCCGTATATGCCTGAATTTTCTCCACTGCTGTTCAAGTAGGGTTCATTACTGTGAAGATTGCTTTCATAATAACATCACCAGTCAAAGTTGCCTTCACAGTTCTTCATGTTTAGCTTCCTGAGGCCACCACTCTAAAAGCTCACTGACAGCATCCCAGTTGATAACATTCCAAAATATCTGTACATATGCTGCCCTGCGATTCTGATGCTTCAGATAATAAGCATGTTCCCAAACATCAATGACCAGGATAGGCATTAAGCCTTTCTCATTCAACGGACTATCTTGATTTTTTGTTCCGCTGATTTTGAGCCTGGTCTCTTCAACATCAAGGCACAACCATGCATACCCTGATCCAAACAGGTTCAAGGCCGCCTTCTCAAACACTGATTGAAAGTTAGAGTAACTTTCAAAGGATTCATCTATCATCTGGGCTACCTTGCCGGATGGCTTTCGCTCTTCATTGTTAGGATTTGGAGACATGATTGCCCAGTAAAGAGCATGGTTCACATACCTGCCAAGAGGAAAAAACAAAGTCTGCTTTTGAGCTTAGTAGCTAATTAATAAATCAGCAGTGGTTTTGCGTTGTCTGTTCTCTTATCAACAACAATACTTAACTACTACTGCTTGTGAGTTTGCAAAAAATAATGACCACTGTGATGATTAATATGGTTGTTGATTAGAGTACAGACAACCCTAAACCACTGTTGATTTGTTTTTTACCACAATAATGACATTTCTACTTTCCCTGGATGAGATATTAGACTATTCCAGGTTACTCCCCCCTTGGCATTTTGTCAGGTTTCCTTGACAACTTACACATACCCATTTATACTCCTGAGTGGAGAGAGTGAAGAAAAATGATCCTACCAGCTCTGGAACTCTGAATTCTTGATCTGAAGTCCAGTGCACTAACCACTGACCAGAAATTATAATGATGATTAAATAAAACTATTTTAAATACTTCAGAGAGGCAAATTTTGTTATATTCATGAGAGAGCTATTTATCAGAGAAGAGGAATTTATATTTCCGAAACAGTAAGGATCAGTAAATGACAACCAATGGTAACCAGTGAAGATGGCACAGGAAAGCTTTTGGCTTGTTTGAGAAAACCAAAAATAGGCTAAAACCTGGTTGTTTCAAACTACAAAAGTGGATGACCAATAAGAAGGCAAGAAACACAAATGAAACTGTATTTGGACAGGAGTCCATTACCCAGAGCCTCCATACTAATTGTACCCTTGAGTCAACACTGTCCTGTATCTTTTTATTTTTAGAACTGAGATATGTAGGGGGTTCTTTAATTTCCTGCAAAAACACACTGACGTTCACATAACACCCTAAAAAAATTGACGGTCAAAGTGAAAAGGGTGACCTCTATTCCTTCTCTTCAGTAGAGGACCACAGCTCTCTTATGATTGGCTATTATGTAAACACCTGCAAAAAAACCCCATGAGAGGTGCTTCTATAAAGAAAAAGATGCGGGACAGGGTTAACTCAGAGGGTAATTATGGAAAACGGAAGCTCCAGGTAATAAGCTCCTGATTTGGACCAATAAGAATAACACATGAGGTAGAATCTCTCAATTTGTAGAGCACTTGTTTAGATTTACATAAACTCTCTTGCACAAGAATTGTAAAATAGTTCTATGTGAAGATACAGTTAAAACTTAACTCACCCTCCACCATTATTCCTTACTGCCAGCTGCCACTTATCAGGTACAAGATCAAGATTATTCAGAATAGTCACAATGGGTTTTGAAGACAACTGTGAAATGTTTCCCTGAAAGATATTTGAGGAACAAATCAATACAGCAATACCTTGGAAAATTTTAATGATTTCTGCTTTTAAAATTTATTTAAATAAAAAGGCTGTGGATTGACACGACCATCTGTTCTTTTTTCGGCAATGAACCGTCATCAAACCCCCCCCCCCCCACCGTGTTCATTCAACCAATCAATTTGCACTCCATGTCTTTATGTCAATATTTTCAAGAAACCTAACATTTTCTTGCACTACTCTAGTTCCAAAGAATGCAATCCAGAATTTAGAAACTTTGTAATCTGTGCCTTTGGTACTAACCGATTCTCTCCAGCTCTTCAAGGCTGCATTTAGCTTTTTCGTGTAAGCTGCGTGGTGACCTAAGTGATGCACCCTCACTGTCGCTTCATCGATGAAAGGTTCCAAACCATCATAGCTGTACGGCAACTCTGGAAGAGCGTATTCCTCTTTATATTGAATAATTTCTTCGTAAGGTGTTATGCATTTGATGAGTGAAGGTGAGTGAAGGACGACAAAAACAATGAAAGATGCAATACGTTTGATGAGGGTCATGATTAAGTGCCTAACGCAATCTCGCGCGGTTTGAACAATGCCAATCGACTGGGTTTGAGTTCTTTCGTTCGTCACCGGAAGTAATGATCAGACTATATCGGCTAAGAAAACTCGGAACCTATGGCCCTTAGGGATTTTTGTTAACCTACGCTATGCTTAAAAAAAACACGTTGGACTTTTTAGTTTCAGGTAATAAATTTCTAAAATATTCGGGATACTTTATTTAGTTATTTATGGATTTTTAAACACGAATTTTAAAATAGTACGATTGATTTTTTGCTTTTGGAATGCTTGCATAACCTTTTATTTTTTGAGTTAGAGCAGAATTGCGCACTTTAAAAATAATCAAAACATGCAATATTGCTATGGAAATTTTGGGCCGATTATTAAGTCATTTCCACTGTTCTTGTCTTTCAAAGGAGGTAAATATCATTTGTATTTCCAGGAAACACTAGGATACCATTCAGCGTACGCCCTGGGAACTTAAAGCAGGAAAAAAAATTGGGATTATAGTTTTGTGACAACGCTTATATTCGCAACTCACGCTGTCAAATCCAAATTATGGTGCCAACTCAAACAAATTTTTAAAACTTATAAAATACTCCATGTTTTGTTTTAAGCCAAATATATCCAAAACTTTTCGTACATTGAACTTAACAATAGACAAGATATAGCTGGTTTGCAGGCTGGACAATAGAGAGCTGAGCCATCTGCGTTGCTTTGTTCTTCATTTCTCACGAAAGCCCTTCCACTTATTTTGCAAGGCTGGCTAGGATCCTGACCTTACTCATGTTCGGAGCATTTTTTGAAAGAGCATTTCCTTATTCCAAGCCAGCGCGCTAATATCAGTTAGCCTTATACTCCCCGCTTTCGCGTTCTCTTTGGTGAAGAGAACAAAAGAATTATGACAAAGCATTTTTTTTTTTTCACTTTTGAACGTTTTTAAATATTTCTAAAATTAGAACAATAGATCAGGAGATACCCGAATGGTTACCCAGCATCCTTTGCAAGTGTCAGTAAATAACAACACGATCTATTTCTCTCTTGCACCAAGTGCTTGCACGGATGTTTCGCTCTGGACAGACAGCTGATGCAACTATTTAAGAGTAACCATCCTATTTTGAAGCTGCGTGACAGACATAAACTCTAAAATACAGGTTAAAAAGCTGATTTTGTGACAGTTCATCTTTTATTCAATGCGCAATGTTGTTGTTTCTTTCGAAGATGGGCGAGTTATGGACTTAGTTCCACTATCGTTGTTATTCATGTAGGCACAAATCACTTATCCTGCTCGTTACAGAAGCTTTGAGGAACGTTAAATGATGAAGATTTGAATATCCTATCAACTTGCCATGGAGGAAGAAGAAGAACCGCAATGGTAAGATGTTTCTTTCGCAGTTTTGAAAACATGAGTGGAAAATTTTGTGACGCGAAAACAATACAACAATACTCGGTCCAACGCCGTCTACACGTGTGAGCAACCATTTCATCCACATTTTGTCTCTTTTTCAGGATCTACATGTTTGCTGACACTTCAAGAGTTCTCACGATCGTTATATCCATATTGCTTATTGTATACGGCAGTTTTAGGTAAGCTTTCCTTTACGAATTCATGTAATTTTGACGAGGTCTATGTCAATGTCTTCCTGACTGTGCGTGACAACAGCGGTGTCATAAAAGGTGATGCCACCCAAATGTTCGATTATGACAGGAGAGATCGATCAACTAAAACGGTGATCGACCCTAGAATCAAACTTTTTCTAACAGCTCTAACCTAGATTTTTGCTGGTGGAAAGCTTAACTTCGACTCTGAAAAGCTACTTCTTTTCAAGCACATAATTTGTATCCCAAGGTGTCCATGCTAAAAATACTGACTCTCTCAAGAAGGGTGAAAATAGTTTATTCTTATAGAGATCTTTTGATTGCAAGTAACGACTTTCCTGTTTCGGTGCCGTAGTAGGATTTTCCTAGATAATTTACTTAAAAAAAATCTGTCTGGCAGAAATTCTTTGTTGTGTTTATAAGAACAATTAAGACCAATCCTGAGAAGTTGAAAATGCTAATTATCTTTTTTCTACATTTACTTAACCCACATAAGCAGTACCTTGGCTTAGATAACAGGAAAGAAACCTGTTTGATAAATATTACAATCTAACTTGCCAACTTCTCTCAGGTTTTTTAAAAAGGATTGGAAAAAATTTACCCCATGACTCAAAATTTTAGATTGCCATGCATTGTGGTAACTATAATATTGCTCATTAGTGTTTTTTTAAAACCTAAGAATGTAAGGTTCTGCCATAATTATATTCTCTAATCTGTTTCCTTAATGGGATTACACTTATAAGTTGTGTTTAATAGAACCGCATAAAAGAGATCCTATAAAAACATATTTGTACAATGTTTTAAAGGGTAATTAAATAAAATTGAAAGCCATTCAGTGATGGTCACATTGTATAAATCATTTAAATCAATTTTCTTAAAATTTAGGAACAAAATTAGTTTTGAGATATTGGAGGCCAGCTTTTTACAATGATTTAACTTTAGAGTTGAATCTAAATATTTTATTGGTCTACACAATTGGTGCATCTATAATCGACAAATCCTGGTAAAGCAGCCTTTTGATAGGATGAAAAGTAAAACCTGAATTGTTCAGACTGGGATATCTAGTTAGGATCATATTATACTGTCTAAAGGTTGATTAAACAGTAAATAGAATCACTACATAATTTAATACTTGAGATTTCATTTTGCCACAGAAAGATCAAACTGTTTTCAGATTTACAATGCAATAAGTTTTGCTGAGCCTGACTGAGAAAGACATCTAAACCTGCAGCATTTTGTACGGTACTCATTTCCTGAAAAATTTTTAGTGACTTAGTCTAAGTGTGAGCCATGACATTAAAAAAGTTAGAATCAGGTTTTTACCTGGTGTAGAAGACACAGGTGGTGTAAAACAATAGAGAACAAAAGACAAAAGAACAAGGAAAAGGATGATAACAAAAGGTTAATTAAGTGCTATTCTATTGTGACATGTCCTGGGTCTTCTGCATCAAGATGGAACTAGATTTTGTTGGCCATGCAATGCCATTATCACATGACCAGCATTGTTTCAAGATTAACCTTTAATTACTGTTACAAGGTTTAACAAAAATTTTTCTTCTTGAGGAATTTAAATCTCAAACTTTAATTACAGCTAAGTAACTTGCCATGAATCACATACAAGTCATGCACTTGAGTCCACTTGAATTTTGAAAATTAACAGGCTAAAGGGACAACTAATTTCAAGTGCAAGATTAATTGTATGTTACTTTTTATAATCTGTATCATGGCTATAGCACATTGTTAACATTGTGGTGAGTCTTTTAAAAAAAAAATCAGGATCTTCCATCAGTGAAACTTGAAGAAAAGGCAGTTTAACCCAGTTTAACTCCTATGAGTGACCAAGACAGAATTTCTCCTTACAATATCAATACAATATTAACCAGATAAGTGGTGAGAATAAAGAAAAATATCCATTTGAATGGTGATAATTAGTTGATCCAATACTAAATTATCTGAAATAACATTCTAAGAATTGTATGATTGACAGTAAGGAGAAGTACAAATTTGATCTGGTAGTTTAAGGGGTAATCACAAAATCCAGGATAGGTATTCTATTGTATGCACCCTAACATCAGTATCCATATTCTCTATACTGAGCTTCTTTAGTGGTTGATCATTTCTTGTATTCTTGTGACCTAACTGTTTGATTCAGGGTTGATGTTTTAAGGAAAAATTAGATGCAAGTCACTCCAAGGGCTTAAAGGCTTAATTTAACTCTCAGGTTTGCCTAAAATGAAAAGAAATCAACTGTCTTTTAAGTTTAAAGCAAATACACCTGCTTTCCAGCACCAGCTGAATGTTACAAGTGACTACCGCAAAGCAAACTATCATATTAGTAACCTCTGATTGTCTTTATCTCCTCTCTTGCGACAGGGCTTTAGGGTTGGACAAAACATATAATAATTCAGAAGATCCAGAAGATGAGCAGTCAAACCAGAATGATACACCTTTCTCAAGACTTATGGATGGTAAATGTTAAAAAGTGTAATATTATAATTATAGTAATCTGTCTAATCACTCCCTTCTAAAAAGCCTCTTAAGTTTTTGGTTGAAGGAGCAAACTTTTGAGACCAACTTAAACTATGAAACTTACAGTAATTATGCATCTATCAATTTGAAGCTTCAACTCACTGAGTATTTAAACTTTTGAAGATGGTTTTGTTCAAATTCCTTCCTCTGGGGCAAAATTGTGTTGAAATGCCCCACCCAAGTGCTGTATTTGATGGTCAATTTTTTGTAATAGGTATAATCCAGGATGGTTACTTTCTACACATTGATCAAGCCTTAAAATCTAGATCTTTTAGACCTTTTCCTCTGACCCATTTGTTGTAAAAGTGAACTGTTTACCTTAATCACCTCTGCACTTTTATTTTGCTGGAAAAATTTGGCACTTCCAGTGAAAATTCCCCACCCAAGCTAGGCAAGGTTCAAATTCCCCATCTTCTGGGCACAGACAACAGTCAAATATGCATGGGTTGTCCTCCCCTCCACGGGAGGCAGGGTGTGAAGCTACAAATTGATGTGTGCATTATGATTGTATTCATTTGCTAGGAGATTGAAAATTAGGAAAAAGCCGAAAGTGTGTGTTTTCCTTGATTCCAATCTTCCTCCTTAAAAATAATCTTTACGAAGCCACTCTGTTAGAATGAACTTAAATCAGTAAGAATGTAAGATACCAAAAATTATCAGTGGTCTGGACTGGCATTGATGTGTTTAGGATAGAATGAAGAAAGTGTGGATGATGATAAGTTGGTCGTATGTTTGTGTTTTGCACAATTCCCCTTTCATAGTACTGTTGGCTTGGTGTAATTGTTGTTCATTAAATGAGCTGTTACAAGGCTATCACTTTTATTTCTTCCTTCTGAAAACCCTGTCTTGCTACCTACATGTACATGAAGAAGTGATTGACCCTGATCATACTAACTTCTGCTCAGGTTGTTGAAACGTCCATCACAACTAGCAACAACAGTCCTCCTCAGGACTGACCTCACCTGGGCGATCAGACTACCTGTTTAAATGAAGAGTTATAACACTTTTTTCCTTATTTTAAGTTTTTTCTTTCATTTTTAGGCTTCCAGACCATCAACACTGCCCAAGCTGTATTCCTTCCAGTTGGGGCCTCATTCTCTCTGCTTGTGATGTTTTTCTTTTTTGATACTCTTCAGTTTTTCTTTGCACTGTGCACAGCTGGTAAGTAAGAACTTTGTGATGCTTAAGCACAGACATTTTTGAGATCCTCTTTTTTTTCCAGTTTCACTTCAACTTGTAAACCAGAAAGGCCTTTTTTTAATATTTGAAACTAAGTGCTTCAGGCAAAAGATCTACAGCAAGCACCATGAAGATATCACCTTTGCTTGTTTTCCATGTCTTAAGGACTACCATTTTATCTCAGCTGTGTTTGTTTGAGAAATTATTAGTATCATTATTGAGTGTTATTGAGCATTTGGGAGAAATTAGATGCTGATCACTGACTTTGGGAGAAAAGGGTTGAACTAAAATGCATGTGTTGTTACTTTTCAGTGCTAGCCATGGTTGCTTTTTCTTTTGTGCTTTTACCTGTTTGTCAGTTTCTTACCAAACCCTGCTTCACCAACAATAATCAAAAGTGAGTATTGAGAGTTAACCCTTTACACCCTAACATCAGTATGCATATTCTCCTTACTGTTCTCTATACATTTCCTGAGGTGCTGACAAGGAGAATTTGTAACAATCAAGAGCTTCTTTATTTGCTGATCATTTCCTTTTTTCGTATGACCTTACTGTGTGATTCAGGGATGATGTTGTGAGGAGAATTACAAGTAGATGCCAGTCATTCTTAGTCAAAGGGTTAAGATTGAAAATTAAATAATGCATCTAATTTTAATTGCTAGAGAAAAATATTTTCTAGATTAAAATTCTGATAGTAATTGATAGCCATCTCTCTCCAGATGGTAACAAGTCATGGGAATATTTTTTAAGACTTTCAGAACTGAATCTTTTCATCCCAAGATTTAAATGTTTTTTTTTCACTTTTGTCTTCAGATTTGCCTTGAGAATTAGTTTGAATTTAAACATTCCCTATAACTTGATAGTTTTCTTATCACCTTTCTGCTGGAAAATGGTATCAGCAATATTGTAACGAGAGAGTCTTGATATTCACTTCTGGGAATGAAAAGGTTATAATGATTGAAACTCTTACAGCCTTTTCAATTTTAAGTCAATTTGGTCTGATCAGTTGAGTTGATAATGTGAATTAGCCACCATAAAAGAGTTTCTTTAGCAAGGCTCTGACAAAGAGCTAAGGCAAGTAATGTCAGCTTTAAAAATTCTTTATGGTGGCCAATTTACATTTATCAACTTAGCGGATAACACCTACCTTAATTATCTCGTGATGTCCCTACCATCTCAGCACGACAGTTTCTTTAGAAACTAACTCCCTTTATTCAATATAATTTGTCATGGATCCAGCTACATCATATTCTGAAAATTTTCCATATAGTCTAGTGGTCAAACTTAAGCTTTAATTGGTATAGAGTACAAAAATATCATTGAAACTCAATAATTTTCCTTGTTACATGTAGAAATACAGCTTCGCACGTTTTGATTTGAGTGTTGGTTAATTTCAATTTTATTGCAGGCTCTACATTGGCTTCTGTGGACGATTTACACCAGCAGAAGTTATGTCACTTGTGTGTTCTGGTGTTTTAGTTATGGTGTGGATTGTCACAGGACATTGGGTTCTCATGGATGGTATGTTTTTTAGACTTTAAACTCTACTAACTGACAAGTATTAAGTGCAGTCAACTAACAAATTTGTCATCAATTTAACAAATAGACTCCATGTTGCTGTGTGTTTGTTCAGTGATAGATTGCAGGTGACATCAAAGTGTATCACAGAGGCACTGGGCTGTCTTGTTGCAAATTCACTAACTAAGATCTACATGATAACTTTGATATTTTACTTTTATTAGGGATCATCACGATAATAATTGTTATAACAACCTATTAGTAATAACAAAATTTTAGAACTTCGTAGTGCACAATGATACAGAGTTATGTTAAGGCAGGTCTTTTTTTGTCCTTGAGAATGAGACTGGTAAACCTTATAATTAAATAACATGACTTTGTTTTCTGTTTTTCTCTTTCAGCGTTAGCCATGGGCCTTTGTGTTTCCATGATTGCCTATATACGTTTACCAAGCCTCAAAGTGTCCACTCTTCTGTTAATAGGCCTCTTAATTTATGATGTATTTTGGGTAAGTTAATTCCAAGCAGTGGTGATACAAAAAGTGGATCGATATCAGTATCTGGGCAACTGCCCACCTACCCCTCCCCTTACCCAACATTAACTTCAACTTGTTGTCAATTGACTGTTGTTGAGTTAGGGGAGGGGTAGGTGGGCAGTTGCCCAGATACTGATATTAATCCCAAAAAGTTATTAGAATGGGAATGCGAATTTAGCTATGTACATTTCATGAAGTGGCTCTTCTTGTCCACTGAGTCCAGGTCAATTTGGAATTTTGGTTTATGAGGAGAGAGGAAAACTGGGCCAATTGGTCTCCAGTTGTTTGATGAATTCAAAATTTTTGGCAATCATACAGCTCCACCCTCATTGTTATTTCATAGTTCCATCAGCTTCTCAGGGTTTTGAGAACGTAAATGGGAATTTAGCAATAGACAATCCAGGAGCTGGCTCTTCTTTTCCACTATCTCAATGATGATATGATTACTTTCTAATAATGGCTGTGCAAATTTTGATTTTGCAGGTTTTCTTTTCAAGTTACATATTTAAAGCAAATGTTATGGTTCAGGTTGCCACACAGCAGGCCGCTAATCCTGTAAGTAGTCTGCGGGTAGAGAATTCAACCCTTCTATTTTGGCCAGTGAAGCATATGGTGTCGTTCCATGTCCAAAATATGACTGAGATGGGAAGAAAACTCCACAGAGATTTATTTACTGACAATATAAGTAAACTTGGCTGTGTAGCCAAACAATCCCTGACACACGTGTTGCATGAGTAGGAGACTGACAAGTGTGACAGTGTGATTTCTTACATCATACACCACAGCCAGAAACCTTCCATCATCATTTCCCAAATGATAAATACATAGATTCTCTGTTCTCTGGACACTGATCTTTTTTTTTTTTGTATCTGATTCTTTAGGTGTCTATAATGGCAAATAAATTGAAAATGAATCCAGTAGGAAATATCTCTCCACAAATATCTCTTCCAGGAAAATTAGTTTTTCCAAGGTGAGTTTTAGATAGCATTGTCTCAGCAATTATGCCCATTGCCACAGGCTACCCATACCTGGCAAAAAGCTGATCATGTGCTTATTTTGTAATCCTATCAATTAAAATTGAATACTGTTCATACATAGTGCTACTTCTTTGAGAATTTTTATGAGGATTCATTTTTTTTTTTTTTGTTGTTGTTAGTATGCAAGACAGAAGCAGATTCTCCATGCTGGGACTTGGAGATATAGTAAGTAAAAACATGTAAATTATTTTTTGCAAGGAAAAGTATACCATCATGTAAATGGAAAAAAAATCATAATTTTGACCTGTGAATGACAACAAGAAACAAACTGATCCCCTCAGGTAAACTGCAGTTAAAGAAATTACAGAAGAAGAATTAGAAAAATTGAAGCTTTGCTAGGGTGCAAACCCATAGCAAATGAGCCAGGAAGCCTCATGTTTGGATTTAAGAGGCAAATTTTGGTGTATTCTATTGAGTTCTGTGTTTCCTCTAAAGTTATCTGATGGCATATCATGGTATTAGTGTGATAAATCGTATCTTGACCTGATAACAATCTTATGATAATAAGTAACAAACTAATCCTTAGCTTGACAATCTCTTGGATTGTGAACTATACTTTGCTAATTAACCCTTTAACTCCCAAGATCTAGTTGTTAATTCTCCCCTCTAGCTGCTACACATTCCCCTGTATATGAGTAACTAGAATTTGTTGTCAGATCAAGACAACAACTTCTACCTGATTAGTTTGAGTATACTCGCTACCTGTTTGCATGGTAATATATGGATATTCTAGGGAGAAGTTATATGTTAATCTCTTTTGGGAGTTAAGGTAGCCTCAAATACAAATGGATAGTTTTTTTTTTCCATTTTTAAATTCAGTTCTGGACCTAATTTGTTGTTTGTTATTTATAATAGGTTATGCCAGGCCTTCTCCTGTGTTTTGTAATGAGATATGATAAATACAAGAAGCAGGCAGCCGTAGCAGCAGACACAGAACAAGCCAGAGTAACATATTTTCATTGTTCTCTTATTGGATATATTGTAGGTAAGTTTTGGGAGAGCTCAATGACTCTGCTCTAATAAATGCGTGGTTGCACTTATGCTGCTATGACACTTTACACCCTAACATCAATATGCATTTCCTCCTTACCGTTTGCTACACATTTCCTTAGGAGTTGACAAAGAGAATTTGTTGTAAAACTGAGACCTTTTTTAGTCGGTTATCATGCCGTTTATTCTAATATGTATTATTGTTTATCACTCGTAGGAGTCAAAGGGTAACCAGATTATAAAAGGCAGAAAAGATAAACTACAATTTTTACTCTAGAACTTTCTGTGGGGATTCAATAATATAGTATAAACCTGTGACACTTTTTCAAGCATATTTTTTTGTTGACACGATAGGAACCAAATCAACATTGTGTTGGTGGCCCATAGTGCAGACGACCTCAGTTCCAATGTTACCATAACATAAGCAACAAATCAAAGTACTGGGCAGATGATTGATTGATTGCTTTTTTTCCTGTTAAACAGGTTTAGTGACGGCTACTGTGGCATCTGAGGTGTACAAAGCTGCCCAACCTGCGCTTCTTTATCTTGTTCCATTTACGCTTCTACCAATTTTAGTTATGGCTTATCTGAAGGTATTTATTATTTTAATTAATCACCTTCCTTTGATATACCCGTTGGATGTCACATTTAAGATGAACTTTGTGTGACCAGGGAAATAAAATAATGTTTAATTATTTTCAGTTATTTTAGAGCGCTTTTCGATTGACTGTCCTAAAACTAAAACCAAAGTTATCACAACAGCCACGGTAAAAATGTGCAAACTACCCAAAGCGCGGGAAGATGCGGACGACCAAGTCACGATTGTTTTCGTTTGGCCTCTGATTGGTTTAGAGCACGGCGAGAGTTTTTTTAGACCAATCACTGACCGAAGTAAGGCAAAATCGAAGCAATCCCGGAATACTCACGCGCTAACAAATGAAGAAATATAAAATTGTTTCCGTGTTTACGTAGCCTGATGTAAACACGCGGGAGGTTGAGAGAACACGAGATAAGCGTAGGAAACCACGACGCGAAGCGGAGTGGTTTCCAGCTTATCGATTTTATGAAATAGCTAATGAAAGAGGAACGAAAACCGTGTTTACATACGCTCATGTAAAATGGTTTTATGGCCAATCAGAGCGCGCGTACTATTTGAATTATTTTATAAAATAACTTCTTACTCGGAAGCGAGCGCAAAGTATCAACCTTTCGCAGGCTGGCATCGCTCAGAGCCTGATACTTTTTTCGCGGGCGAAAAACCGAATGAATTACTGCAAGGTCTGTGGAACACTAATTTAAAAGAGGATTACATACTTTTGGCAAGAAATGTTGTTTATTTTTTTAATTTTCTTTTCTCCCTCCGTAGGGCGATTTACGGAAAATGTGGCAAGAACCCTTTGTGGTTGCTGGTTCGAAATTTAAATTGCTGGAAGTATAACACATGTCAAAGCCTAGGCAGAACATTCAATATAGCGAAAAGATTGCGTCAAGATGAGTCAAGTACTACCACGTTACCGATAGAGCGCTTTCCGATCGAGTGTCGTAAAAAATCAAGACCAAAGTAATTAGAACAGCCAAGGAAATCACCTTTCAGAGCTCAAAAGTAAAACCGACCAAACGCGGGAAAACGCAGATGACCAAGTCGTGATATATTTAGTTTTGCATCTTATTGGTCGAGAGAGTTGCGTGAGTTTTCTGAACCAATCATAAAGCGAAGTAAAGCAAAAACTAATGAATCCCAGATCACTTTCGATACTCAGTCGTAAATTGCTCTATTGTATCAAGAGAACTGTTCTTTAATTTGCTTTTGATGCAATAGTCACTTGATGTCCCAGTAAAGTTTGGAAGCTTGAGCTGGAAGTTGGCTAAAAGATGGTAACAGCGAACGAACAAAAAAAATCTGCGAAGGAATCTTAAATAATAATTTAGAACATTCATATGGTACTTTCTTGCTTTGCATAGAATGGAACTTTCATTCAAGGAACACCATTAGGTGTTCAAACTTGTTTAAGAAAAACCTTGCAAAAATGTTTCAAAATGTACTATAAGGTGGACAGAACAGAGAATGGAATTACGTACATTAGCCATGTCTTTGTTCTCCCATAGATCGTTAGGAAATGACATTCAGTGGCAGAGCGCGTAGTATTTATTTCATTGTGTTATTCCCAGATTTTTAATAACTAAATTTGATTGGCTAAATGACAAGAAAGGAACGTTGCTTTCGGTTAGGAGAATATCAACAATTTACCTGAAATGACCGGCCTGCATTGATCCCCTCGCGCATGCCCGACGTTTGACCGCTGTGTTGTTGTATACGGGTATACAGGGAAGATTATCACGAAAGATTTCTTTTTGGGAGACAATGATGTATGTAAAGAATTTATAAATTGTATCACAAGAAGGATTATCTTGTACGAAATCACTCTCAATTAAGAAAATAAGTATTGTGTAAAGTGGACATAATGTATGAATTTCTTACGTTTTTGATTTAAGCCTCTTGCTGTTTCACGATGGTGGCAACTATCGTGTGTTTTGTTACTACTCTTTCATAAATTGCCGTATGTCTACAGAAAGCGTCTTGCTAGCGCACCTGCCCCTTCCCTAACTCAAAAATAGTCCATTGATAACAAGTTATGGCGAATGTTTGGTTAGGTAGGGGTAGGTATGTAGTTGTTCAGATACTGACACTGATTCGCCTTTTCAGTCTAAGCCTGTTTGTTCTCAAGTGTTTTTCGTAATGCCAGTACGAGTATCGAGTGATAAAGAGATTTATGTAAGCATCTCAAACAACGGCTGGAAGAAATAAATTTGTAAGTGGCCGGCTTGTAAATGGTAGGCTTAGCGTATTTATTATGTGAAAAGCTTAAGCATCAGTGTAGTTTTTTTTTCAATGGGTAAAGTAAAGTGACCCGAGTGATTCGTTGTTCAAATTCTTTGTGTCTTTCTGATACGTTATGCCTTTCAGCAAGGTACGCTATGATAAGAGAATGAAAACCCTTTGGACCGGTTATTATTTGGTCGGAGGGTTTTGATTGTGTTGCAATAAAATCTACCTGACCCCCCCCCAAAGGCTAAGTAGTCTCCCCCTTTATACTCTGTTAGCGAAAACTGATCATCCCCGTTCCCCCTTGTAAACCAAAATCGCTTCTGATGTGAGAATGAACCCATATAGACGTAAAACATCAGGAAATCTTCGAGGGAACTTGCAAGCATAATAAATCACCAACAATAGTAACAACAGCAAGTCGTTGATACAACGTTGAACAACTTTCTCATTTCATCCAGGTTTTATTTCGTCCTGTTTCAAAAAGCCAAAATAATTTCACTTGAAATTTGGACAGTCATCTCCTGTTTCATTAATACTGGCCTACAGCAAAAGCAGTTTTCGGCATAAAAACGTGTGAGAAGAATTACAACGGTTCCGGTGAAACCACGACGAAGACCTTTATTTTCGGCTTGAATTGGAAGAGGCCACGGATCATGTGTTTCAAGCGGAAACCTTCATCACTCTGTCAGAGAGCAGAGAAAACATAAGGGTCAATGATATATTGATCAGGAAACTATGCTATTTGGACACTAAAGCATTTACCGCTCTAGGCCAATAGGTCTTCAGTTATTTTATGAATTCAGCAATATTTAAAGATGCTCTTCATTACCATGGCAACCATACAGCTCCACTCTCATCGCTATTGTATAGTTCCAAACTACTGGTCGAAAACGGATCAAACGTGTTCTGATTGGTGGGCTCAGATCATTATAGACAATGGTGGCTCTGTCTGTATTTCCGGAGAAATTCTATGGCAGGGAATGAAAAAAATATAATTTTAGGGGTTGTAAATGTTGTAGTCCTCCCCTTTTACTCTAGTATAGCTAGGCTAAGTTAAGCTTTCAAGCAGGTTCCTAAGCAAGGTTGTGCAAAACGCGGGTTTTTTCCTCACACGGGAAGATTTAAGACGAGTCGGGTAGGGGTTAGCCAGCTTCTGCCACTGAAAAATATTAACTCGGTAGCGAAATGAAGTCCTGAACCTGTTGGGGACAGAGAGCGGCAACACCATCAACGGAAGTCGAAAAAGAGTCGTGTCCAGACTATCCGCGCGCTTTCCCGTTCTGTCCCGTTCTGGAATGATGTTCCCGTCGTCTTGCTAAACCAGTCTATCATTATCAGTGCTCGACTCCTAGCAGACTTATCGACGGCTAACATTGCTTTAGGCTTCATGCTTTCGAAAAAAACGTTTTTGTCGACGTTCTGATGATGAGGACCTGCTCGCAGCCCAAGCTAAGTTTATTCCGCCCATTTTACGGCATTTATCAGTCTATTAACGGCAGTTAATAGACTGCTAGTTTACCTCTCTGAGGTTGTTGGACCATGTCTGATGGCCTCCTTGCCAGTGTCACAGGCCATCGTTCTTACTAGGCACGAGTGATTTCGACCACCTTGCGTTAGCGATAAGTATGCAATTTCTCCAGACTGTTCTCTATACATTTCTTATGGCACTTACTAGGAGAATTTGTCTAACAATCATAAGCTTCTCGAGTTCTTGATCATTTCCTTCATTCTCATGACCCTAATATTTGATTTAGGGGTGATACAGTTGGGAGAAATTTAATGCTTACTCTCTCAACCATGACAATTTTGCATTCGTTTTTGAAATGGTCACAATGAGATCAGTTCCTCAAATTAAGCCTTGAAAATATGTATAAAAACTGCCGAGTTGTCAACGCAGGCTCACCAACCTTAGGTAGGTTTTGTCCGCGTTCTTTGTAGTACAGAAAACTTATTCCATTAACACTGTACTGCAACTGGTATTTAGTCACCCACTGTGGGTTCTGTGAATTCTCCCTTCCCTGTGTGGCGACACGTGTTATTGTGGTCAGTGGATTGCCCAGGTCAATCTGCAGCCATTGGTAGTTATCTTTGGTGCCGGATTTCCAGGATCTAGGGCTATTCAGTCTGCTCATGTTGACCCCAAACTTGCCGGTATGCCACTCGGAAGAGGCGCTGATTTGTCCGTCCGAGATAATGCCGCTCTCCATGCCAAGAACTTGCTGACAATCTGTATGTCGAAGTGCATTTTAATCAAGTGTTATACAACGAAACAAAAGGGATAAGATGTACTATAGATAGCCTAGTCAATATGCCTCTCGATAATTGGTTAATGGTCTATCAACAATCGCCCGCTAACCGCCTCCATTTGTCGCAAAAATATACATGGATATTTGTCCGCGGACATTACCTTTCCCGAGATGCGCTTTGAGGACCAGATAATGTTCAAAGACAAATACGCGAGCATTTCTTCAGGCCAAATGGAGGCTTTTGTGTTGTCCTTCAAATATATCGGTCAACGCGCGGGAAAATTGTTTACGAACAGCTAACTGTTTACGGCTTCAGATGTTCGCTTTTCAGTGTTATTTGGTACGATTTTACGAACAAAAAAAGATATATTCCTTTACGGCTTCAGATGTTCGCTTTTCAGTGTTATTTGGTACGATTTTACGAACAAAAAAATATATATTCCTCATTCTGTATAGCCACTCAATGTTCTTTGATCTTGAATTAAATTTTGTGCGCAGAGTTTTCCATATTGGACATAAGGTTTGAAAATTAGGAAATATCATTTGAGGTATATTTCACTACTCCGCCAGCGCTTGTTGCATATAAGATAATGAATAGCCAACGTGGCCCGTAAGGCCGAGTTGGCTATAATCATCCTATATCCAACATGTGCGAGTGGAATAACGTTTTTATTAAAAACTCCCCAAAATATTGATAAATCTTCCCAACTTTATTCTGTAAGAACAAACGGAGTGTACCACGTATAAAAAAACTTTCGGTTTAAATCGTCCTCATGCACACGCATGGCATAATGGCTCCTAACCCATGATGGCTAAGCCAATGAAAACTCTGTGATTTCCTTATCCGATGGTCGGATATCCCCCAGTTTTAGCTGGGGGATATTCGGTCACGGGATGCGTTTGGACCGATCGCGTGTGAGCAAAGATATTCGATGGATTATAACAAGTGATATCTCACCATGTTGACAAAACTGACCAACAAATCCCTTAGCACAATCACAGACAAAGAATGTTCCCATCAAGTCGCAGCTTTTTCGCAATAATCCACCATTAAGACACGGCTGATCTCGGCCCTAAAGGATATATCAACATGGTTAGCATATTCTGTAATGGCTTGATTTGAGTCCACAAATTTAATAGATTCAGGAGTTAACACTATTGTTACTGTCCTACTGTCCCTCACATGGGCCATTTGGTTTTATAACATAGCTACATTCTAACGCGGACTCGGCTGATTGGCTTATATTTATGAAAAAGAAATGGATGGTTTGGAGGGTCGCGTGACCCAACTGTGAGCGCGTCAGACCCCGGAACTAAGGAGCTAACTGGCCGCTTGTCGAAATTCCGGATAACTTAACGGGTCCGAAGCCATATTTCAAAATCTCAATGAGCGGGATAGTAGAGTGGGTCAAAAGCCAATAATTTCTTTAACATTTACAGATATTTTATCGTTCAAATATCAAAACTTTATAAGTCTACGGGATAAGCGTCAATTTCTATGTATTTTCGGGCGAGCGTAGGCAAACATAAGGCAGGAGTGAAAAAAAGCGTGAGGGGCGAGTTACAAGCGAGAAAACAAGCGCAAAGATAAACTCCTGAATGCGCGTGTATTACCCTTCACGCCTTTTCTCGCGCTCGCCTCGCAATTGCTTGCATTCGCCTCGCGCTCGCCTTTATTTTTCCGAAAAACGCTGGAAGAAAGAGAAGCGTGCTGCAGGCTAAGGTTGAATTACATACGAATTTTCGCATATTTTGATTTTCATGTATGAAGCCACTAAACTGCTTTTCCTCTTTGAATGGTTGACTGTCCACCACTGGCTACCCCCAGCATTTGGCTACCCTGGGTGGAGAGAGAGACTCTCTGAGCGTAAATGTTCTCACAAAATACTGAATAACGGAGCTGGGGTTGAAACCTCCATAGGGCCCATTCCGGTAATATCGATCCCATAAAGCTCAGTAATATCCGCTGGTCGTGTGTATATTCAAGATATCAATAATAACGATCCATGTGCAATGCTCAGCGAAGTTTAAAGTAACCTGCTATCATATTTTGAGGAAAAATGTTAAGTTCCGCTCAAACGTCGCAAAAATTAAGAATACTTGTACCTGAACTCTGTAGCCGGTCATAAGATCATAATACTGAGATCCGTGTAGTGCTTTCATTGAGCCAGGCCTTTGAAATCTGTCCTCTTTATTCAGCTGGCAGTTGTCTCTTTTAACATTTGTTAGAAAGTTAAAAGAAACGCACTGGCAATTTTGCTGACATTCTAACCAACAACTGAACTGCCCTGTCACCGAAACATTTTCAAAAGTGTATCCAAATAGGGCGTAGCCTTCGACCGTTTCCCCTCCAGTTGTGAAAGCGGATGTGACAGAACATGGTGTGCTGGTATCATGGCCAGACCCCATAGTTACTACAGCAATAGTTAATACAGCAGTCACGGATAATGGAATGATGAAGCCACAAAGATACTCTTGAGAGGTTCTCCTGGTATATAAATTATTAGGACTTTGTTGGTTAGTACAAACGGATGAATTATTGAAACAAACGTCATTTACATCGAGAGACGATCAAATTTTGAAGCAGGTTATTTCAAAGTAACGTAGGCATTTGCTTTCGGAATATTTCGGTATACATATTGTATCAAGATACTCACATCTTAACTCCGAAGCTCAGTTTTGGGAAAGCGTCTGAACTTATGTGGAAATTTTCTCCTTGTTCATCTTCAGGCGACAAGCCTCCGCTTCAAACAAGAATGATAGCAAGAAATTAAAAGCGATTTCAGAGTGTGAGAACCTTTACACTTGCACTCTGTAACAAATTAGGAAATATCTCAGTTGGTGGTTTCCCCTGCGATAAATGCTTAGACAAGGGATTTTTTTTGCATTATAATAGACTTCGTGGCAAATTAAAGGAAATGATGAAAAAGGAGAGAGCGATAATCTCACAAACTATACCCTCCCTTCCTGCGGATATGCAATCAGAGAGTGTTGGATACGTAGAGTTAAAAACATAGTTTTCTGTTGAACAATGTATCCAGCGTTGTTTGAACGGGGCTTGGGTCTGACCTCGATAGTACCCACCGGTAATTCGGTCAGAAATTGTTCATGACCCTCTCTTAATTAAAGCCTGTGAGATTTTTAAAGTTTGAAATCGGTTTGATTCCTTATAGCGTTAATTAATATGACATTTTTAAAGATATCATTTGCGAAGAGCTTTATCTTAGTTTCGTCTGACATTTTAGCATGCAGGATTAGTGTTAAAAATAAACCTAGAATCGTGGGAACTTAATCAAGTAAAATACCATTTTAGGGTTAATCGCTCGATCCGGCGAGTACAGTTACTGTAAATGATGTTTAATATTACCTTCATGTTCGCCTTCTTCCCAATATCAGAATTTATTTCCGTCTAAAAGCAATTTCATCCTCAAGCACAGTCAGACGCAGGTCTTTAATTGGCCCTGTTTTAATTTTTGCAAACAAGTTCTAATGCAGTGCAGAGCGTTTTCTGTAAGGAGAATGAATAATTGATTAGCTATTGCCACCCTAACAATACCTATCGAAAATCTCCAAAATTAAAAGCAAGGAGGACTCACAAAGATAGATTGAAAGACCAATCCATTCGATTACAGTGATTAAAATGATTTTCGAGAATATGCGTCGACTTTCAGAACTGAACAACTTGCAGAATCTGGGAATTTTAAAGAGTATGTTCTGTCTAATTTATTTCTTTTCAAGCTGTTTCATTTAAAATCTTTGTACATCTCTCTTTTTAGAAAGGTGATTCAGTTTCTATTCATTCATTTTTCTCCAGTCTGGTAGTTGAAAAGAAGTAACTCGCAACTGAAGCAAGGAAAGTGTTTTTTTGTAAACCTTTTAATTTTTGTAATTTCAGGATTATCACGTACCAGAGACCAGCCCACAGCAACTTAATTGTTTAAATTGCCTAAACCCATGACCGTTTTCGTATAATTATTCAGGCTTTCTTTAAGGATTGGTTATTCAAACAAAATTTAGCTGTTACTTAAGAAAACCATGTCCTAGACTATTCTCGAGTTAGCTGGATCTTTAATCTGAACATTTATTGTTATGAAGAGAAGCTGACAGAGTAAGGATATTTATTAAAATAAATCAACCCTCTTATAGAGAAGTCTGAGACCTACTGATAACTTAATACCGTGCGGTTTGGATTGGACTTCGTGAAAGAAACCGGCCCTCGGAGTTACTCAGTATCAAATAATACTTCCTTTTGTTTAGCGCGACTCCTGGCGATGTCCTTTCGCGCCTTACAGTGTATAGTAAATAAATTTAATTAATTATAAAAAATGGAGGGAAATGTCTTACAGGCGAAAGGTCAAAATTTAGTAAAATATCTCATATATCTCTTATTAAAAAGCTTATCTAAAAGGTCTAAAAAGATAAGTCATAAATTTTTCTCCAGAACATTCAGATCTTAACGGTGCATTACTTTACAGTGAAAAAACGACGACGCAACTTCTTAAGAAGTGGACATAAAAATTGCTTCAGAGGACAAAATTTATACCCAAAACCTGACATATTACTCGACATAATTACATAAAATCACGCAATGGTTCAAACATCAACCACAAGTACGCGATACAACTACTGAAACGTTAAAACACTCGCAGGAAATTCAGGCGCAAACGGAATACACATAGAAAACAATATGACAATAAGTTTCGCGATAACGATGCATCACAGGCGATGATGTTATTTCATCATGACACTCGTGTTCGTCGTTCCAGCATTGCGTACAGTGAAACGGAATTAATGACCTTCAATAAAGGTTTGCCGAAAGCCTTCGTTACTCGTATATCGTGGTAGCCAAACCATCAGGGCTTTCAAACTGTGGTACGTGACTGCTGATTGCTCCTCAGTGACACTACACACTCTTGTACGGTGAATGTCGCCTCAGTTAAAGTTGTACATGAAAGACAATTAAAACATATTTTTCTTTTGAAGTAACATTTTTTATATCCAGAAACGAACTTTCAAACTGTGTTGAGGTCTTTGTAGTTTTTATTTTATTTCATTACGATTCTTTTACAAAAATATAGGGATCCGCAGGTTCCACAAGTTCCAAAGGTTCCACGGGTTCCATGGATTTAACAGTTCCAAATTCACAATTTTACAGTTCCAAATTCACAATTTTACAGTTCCAAATTCACAATTTTACAGGTTTCGCGGTTGCTGATCCTCGGTTTAGCGACACCCATACTCGACACGCAGCTTAATGAATCACTGATGTTAGATGGTTTTGACTTCATTTAACCAAAATCGCACTGAATCGATTTAATAACCATCACCTGGCGGATGGACGTTTTTATTTTGCACCAGTCCGTCGCCACCTCGTCACGCCATCTTCCTTCAACTTTATTGGAAAGCATTCCTACACGAGCATCCATCCATTCGTACATACAGAAATATGGCCTTTGTTAAAATCGTTCTTTGGTCATGTCTGGGAGCTGTCCTCGGCTACTTTGCCATCCAAGAGTTCACAGTGGTCACCGAAAGCTTTTTAATACAGAAGCTTATACCTGCTAAGAGGAAGGATGTTTTCGACCTGCTGATCAATCCAGATTATATCTTAAAGTTTCACCCCTTGTGGTAAGTTACTGGTAATTAAGAAAATAAAGCATTAGAAAAAACGGTAAAATTTCCGCACAGCCCCATACTATTGTAAAACAAATCTGTTTTCCCAATGGCAATGTATTGTTTTTGTCATTGTTTTCTCTATTCAAGAACTGAATGCATAATATAGTATGGGGCTGTACGGAAATTTTACCGAAAAAACTTTAATTGTAAGTGTATGGGCCACTTTGTTCACCTTTTTAACGAGATAGAGGTGAGTTCGATCCCCTGAACAGATATGAAAGATTTGCATCACAAGCGAAATCACCACAGCGACAAAGAGTAGAGTACAATCAACAGCGACATTGGCGTTTTAAAAATAAGATAGCGACTTGCAGTGCATTCGGGTAGAGGAAATTGTGTTTTACAATATAGTAAAACTTAGTAAAAGTTATCTTGACTCAACGCCAAGTTCTCATAACTGATTTACAAAGAAATGTGAAGCAGCTAGAGAGGAGAATCAACAATTAAATCTTGGGAGTTAAAGGGTTAAAGGACAAGAATGCACTCTCTTAGAGACATCCTTACTCACTACTGACTGATGTTTCCACTCCTAGAGTGGAAGTTATCTTCAGGGGAGAACTGGTGTCGTCTAATGGAGAGAGGATCTTGGAAAGCAGTCTGGATCTGATTGTTAACAGTTTTCTATTATTAAAATTTAACCCTATTACTCCCAAGATCTCATCAGTAATTCTCCTTACTGTCTGCCATACAATTCTTATGATGTTAGTTTGGAAAATTTTCTTTTGGATCAACACACAATACCCTGTTTGATGTTTTCTTTATACTCATTACTTGTCTGCTTGGCAAAGTATTGATATTGTAAGGAGAAATTCTGTCTCAGTCACTCATGGGAGTTGAAAGGGTTAAAACCAGAATTCTGACTTCAAAGTTTTGCTAAAGAGGGAGAGCTCAGTCTTCCTCTGTCACATCTTCAAATACTCAGCACATTTTTTTCTTCAATTTCAGTGTTGGTATCACCAATGTTACAACATCACATGGAAGGGATGGAATGAAAACTGTTCAGTTTGTTGTTACTGAAAAAACAGCCATTTCATTGGGGTTTTTTGAAATCAACCAAAACATCACTTTTCCTGTGAATAAGACAGCTATAGAGGAGAATGCAATCATTGAAAACAGAGCCTTACTGATGGGTGGTTATTTCACACTAAAACAGAGGTGGAAGATGGCTGATTATACCAGTGGAAGTGGAGATAAAATTAGTTCATTAGAGGATCATTTTCAGGTTACTTCCTTTCGTATTTTGTTACGATATTCCATGAAGGTAGCATTTGGAGCACACAATACCATTACTGAAAATATCATACAGCATTTCTTAAAGGAAAGCAAGGAGTCAAATGACAAGAGTGGCTGACAACTGAGAGCACTCTTTTATAAGTGACATTTGTTCAACAAAATTCCATGGTTTGCTTGAACACTTTCTTATTTCACAAATATTTGAGAACCAACCTGCATGATCTCATGACATTAATACAGGGGATTCAATAATTTTTGCCATGAGTGGCAGCTGATAGTGTAATAGGTGTATTATTTCTAAGTTGGTAGAGTTTAAAATAAGATAAAGAGTTTGTTTTTGCTGGTGAAGGTCTATATAAAATATAGACAAAAATGCTAGATTATTTTTTCTTCCTCTTTTGTTTTTAAGATTGGAGTAGTTAGTCAATTTTTGATAATTTGAGTTGTAAATGTATTAGGTTCTAATAATTATAAAAATAATAATAACAATAATTTATTGATAATAATAATAATAATAATAATAATAATAATAATAAACTGTTGTCAGAAATGAGACTAACAAGTCTGCTGTGTTCCAAAAGTTCACCTTTTATTTTAATCAACTTGCTCTCTCTTTCTCTTTCTCTCTCTCTCTCTCTCTCTCCAACTGTACTACTCTCATGATTTAGTCTTCTCATTCAGATATATAATATGATCCTATTGTTCTCAATGTCCATATTATAGGTCACCTTTAAGTGCAAAAAGTCTACTGGAAATCAATTAATGTTGAATAATCTCTGACGCTGTTGTTAAATGCATCTACATTGTAAAGAATAAGATCTGAAATTTTTACTTATGTTATCAAAGTTATGTTTTTTTTTATTAACTTGAGTTTCAGAAACATCCATAGCCAGCCACCTTTGGAATACTTTACCACACAATGCTAGAATTGCTGGTAATGTGAATACTTTTAGAAGTATAATGGGCAAATTAAACCTTGTACCGTTTATTTATTGCTAAGCACCATAATAAGAATTTGTTACAGTGCCCTGCACATGATTGTTTATAGTCTTTTATACTTGTGTAGTTTTCATTATACTTGTGTAATTTTCATTATTTTCAGTATTTTGTGATTGCACATGTGTATTGTAAACAAGTATATATGCTCCTAGGCATTATGTGGATAAATAAACTATCTATCTATCTATGCATTCTGTAAGAGATGATGATCCTGATGTTATACTGGTTGTTTGAAAACTACATTTTATAGAGGAGTTACATGACTGATTTGCTCTCACACTACCAGAATCCACTCTTTATGGGCGGCAACTGCTTTGCTATGAAACACCAGTCTGTCATACACCTTGCCTTATTTTCTCACACATTCTAAAAACATTTGTTCTTGGGAATGGCATGTGAGTATCAAATCCGGCCCTAGGGTAGGGCATTTTAGCGCAATTTTCATGTCAGGGGGGGCGGGAATTTGAACGATGCAATCTTCAGAAGCTCAAATGCTGTTCAAAAGACGTTTGCGAGGTTGTTTGCATCCCAACCGTAGCAACGAAAGGCAATCTTCCCAAGCGTTTCAAACGATTAAGTCTCCGAGAGATTGAACGCAATTACAAATTTTGGAGGAATAACAGTAAATTGACCTCATCCTATGTTTCAAGCTTTTGGATTTATAAGTATATTTGGAAAAGTTTGCAATGATTTTATTTTCGCGTGACTAAAAGCAAATATTGGCTCAAATCAGAGCTTACAATGTGAACACACGCGAACGTTTTTCGATCTAATTTGAATATTTGTCATCGAAACGCAAAGTTCACCAATGCATTACGACTAAAAACTGCATGGGAAAATTTTACTCTTTGAAATATCTACAAGTGCCTTGCACTGGAATGGTCAAGCTCCAAAGTACAGTACTCCTAGTTGCGTGACAAGCCCAGAACTAAGGATCACGCAAAATAATGGCGGTGAAAGTCGCATTCTGGGCCTGTTTTGCAGCCTTTCTTGTTTACTATTCCTACCAAGAACTTACAGTGGTTACGGAAATTTTCTCAGTAAAGAAGTTCATACCGGCGAAGAGGACGGATGTTTTTGATTTGTTGCTCAACCTTGAGAAGCTCTGGAAGTTTCACCCCTTGCTGTAAGTAATGTTGGCACCTGTTTTACAAAGGAATTTTGCTTGCCCGGAGTCTCAAGTGTTATTTTTTCTTTTTGTTACTTTTTTAAAAAAGCAAGATTAGTTTCAAGGTCGATTAGTTGTCCATCTCGTTAATAAAAAAAAACGGGTCTCTTCTGAACCGGCTGTTTTCTCGGTCCGAGTGAGAAACAACAAATTGTATTCGATCATGCAGCATGGTGCACTTTGCTTTTCATTTCGACTTCGTTCACGAGGTTGAGGGTGGGTTCTGCTCTATTTGGTTCTGAAGTCCAAATCAGAAAAATTGTAGGGCATTGAGCGTGTAGTGTAATGTTGCTGAGACTGCCATCGACGACTTTGGTGTTAAAACTGACTAAAACCAGGCTTACCGGTACCTAAGAAAGACATCTGCTCGACAGGCAGTCTAAACGTCAAAGAAATAAAGACGTTAAGTTTCTATAGAGTCCATGGTGCTGCGTCGTTGTAGAGCATTACAAGATAATTTCGTTTTATCAACTGAGTTGATAATATAAATTGGTCTCCCTAAAGATTTTCTAAAGCTGGCGTTCCGAGCGTTAGCCCTTTGTTAGTCTCTCTAACATCAAAATGCAAGAGTGCACTTTGACCTTAAATTAATCACACCCAAAATCGATTGCATTTCTAAAAGTCATGTAATACTTATTTGTAGTAAGGAGAGAGTGGTTTATTCCTCTTATAAGTCTTATAAATAAATACTCGATATATTTATACTTACATGTACCAATAGGAAGTCTGTGTTTCGATTTTTTCGTAGTACAGTGCTCGATACGCAGAAGTAGAGTGCAATACATATTGTGATAGGGAAAACACAGACTGTACTTTAAGTCTTGTATAGTCTTGATAGAGTATAGTCTCTTTGCTTTTCCCCTATCTCAATTTACATATGTACATATATAAATATTTTATGTATGTATATATATATTTTTTAATTTTATTTTTTACTTCAGGGTTGGTATTATGAATATTACCATGTCACAAGGGGGAGATGGAACCAAAACTTTTCATTATGTTGTTCAGGAAAGAATGAAAATTGACTTAGGATTCTATGAAACCAGTTTTGTCTACACTTTTCCTGCCAACACAACAGTCATACAGGAAAAGGCAAGCATTGAATACAACACAATAAAGATGGGTGGATTTGTAAAGATAATACAGAGGTGGAAGCTAGCAGATTCAACAAATGCCAGCAAAGACAAAATCACTTTGTTCGAAGATCAGATCAAACTTAACTACCTTTCGAATTTTGGTAAGATATGGTAAAAAAGTGGCAATCAATGCTCATAGTACTTTCATTGAAAATATCACACAGCATTTCTTAAAACTCCAATACTCATGAGTGACCAAGACAGAATTTCTCCTTAAAATATCAGTTCAACATCAAGCAGAAAAGTGATGAGGATAAAGGAAAATATCAATTGGGGGATGATTAGTTGATCCAATGCAAAATTCTCCAATTTAAAATCACAATAGTTGAATTGCAGACAGTAAAGAGAATCTCTGGACAGTTTACTTTTTTTTCTCTTTTACATTTACCAGTAGTTCAAATTCTGGTTGCTGATGACATTTTGCTTTAGTCTGACATGGTGAACTGCATGTGATAAGTTTAGTTTCACTTTTACAACAAAAAAATCAAAATTTATTCTTAACTGATTCAGACTTGTTCTGACACAAGAAAATTGAATTTGCTTAAAACAAAGTTACCCACATCCAGATTCCCATTTCCAGCAAGTGGATTAAAAAAATAAAATAGTTCAAATAGTGTTCTGATGATTTGATTGAATACCAAACTGTGGTATAGCATTTGCCTAAGTTTTCTCAGCTAGAAGGTGCATTCCACCTTCTGGTTACAAACTTCACTCCTGTTTCACTCCATTTCTTCTTCATTTTGTGGTTCCACTATCCTCAAACATTCATCCACAAACTCTGTAAAAATAGGTATTTGCATAGCTTGCCCGAGAAGTTTGCCAGGATCTTCTGAAGCATCGATTCCTTTGATCATTTTTCGCAGATGTTCATTATGAAGCATACTGCTCAGTTTTTGTGAGTGACCTGACAGAGAATGCAAACAAATCCTTGGGTCACACCTGAACTGTTATCATGCTTAGTACAGCTTAAACTATCAAGAGTCATTTTTTACCATTACCATCTTAAAAAAAAAAACAATCAATACAAGTGTCATGGAAACTCTGGCAAAAGGAATAACAACTCAGGGATCTCTGTTACTGGTTTCATTCTTCCCTTTCACTTTGCAAAATTAACAAATCAACACTGGTTTAGCATGGTCTGTATTATTTGACAGACTGGTTGATTTGTTTTTTACTACAACATCGGTGTCAAAATTTGCATGTTGTCCATGATTGAGAGCTGATAAAGGCATTGTGTGACACCTTGATGCAAGCAAAATTGTCTCTACCCTTATCAACAATGGCAACTTGGCCAATCATATTATAACATTACTGGCAATTGTGGTAGAAACTGATTTGCAGCTCTTGCTGTTACATCTACTCTCAACACTGTATGAGGAAGGACAGGGAGATGAAGTAACCAAGAGCATCTCTTCTCCCTTTGCATTAGCAATCTCCTCCCTAGAGTTTTCTCTTACTCCCTCAAGGAAGGACCCTAGTTGTGGCTGGTCATGTGCCTAATTGCAGTCCAAAGAATGCCATAGGGAAATGTGGGTCCTTGACTTAATTTTGTCATCAGTGCAATTAAATTCGGTTGCCAGGAAGGACAAATCATGAGCGCCTCTTAAAAAAGTTTCCTTTAACTGTCCAGTAGGTATTTATGAAAAATTTTATGCTTAAGCATTGTTTTGGTGTTGTTTTCTTTTGTTTGATCTCACAAAATCAGGGAGACATGACCAGCCACAATCAGGGTCCTTTCTTGAGGGAGTAAGAGAGAGGACCCTCGGGATGAGGAAGCAGAATGGCATGCCAGTCCATCAAAACATTTTAACAGCTATTCCCCCAAGCATTTTAACAGGTTCCCCTTACGCCAACAGTTCTGTGTTCCCCTTACGCCAACAGTACTCATTTACGCTCCCTATTGAAAAGAGGCACTGTCTTGCCCAACAAAACAATATAATTACCCACTCTGATGCAGACCTCTTATCCTAGAGACCAGACAGTAAGGTCATTGCATCTCCTCAGTTTACTTGCAGGAAGGGTGTAAGTGATATTTCAGTGCATAAAAGCTTGTGCATTGTCAAGAGAGGTAGTTACCTAGTTTATCCAAAACATTTTTACTGATCCTGTCTTCATCATCTGATCTTTCACTGGAATCACTCTCTGTGATTTCTCCTTCCTCTGTTTCTACAAATGAAAATATTTTTAATTGATGCACTAGCTTTTTTGGGCATATTTTAAAATCTTGATTTTAAATGAATAAAAATCATCTTGCACCTTTCTTGGCCAGTGATATGGCTCTTAAGTTTCTTTCATTTTCTTCTAATTTCTCTTCTTTTCTTCTGTTGGTTTCTCTTTCACAAATGTCATCTGCAAACGGGGAATGTTGACACAACAACAGCTAAGAAAATGGGTGTAAAGCTTAACTTTATCAATATGTGCTGGTCATCGGGAAAATAAAGGAAATGTTCACCAACTTAAGAACCTCTTGATTATTAAAGAAATTCTCCTTGTCAACACCCTATGAAATGTATAGAGAACAGTATGGAGAATATGCATATTAATGTTAGAGTGTAAAGGGTTAGACATGGTGCATAGTTAATCACCAGATGAAGTTCTTTTTTCAGGTCCCAACACCCTCCCAAAATATGTGATATTTCAGAAAAAAAAATCCTGTTCCTTAAGCTATTCATAGAAAATATAACTCTTCTATTCAGGTTAGCTGAGGGTGGCACGCAACCACTCCATCTGATCTGTTCTCACTAAATACACCAGTGGCTCATAAGGAAACAAGATATAATCATCCTACAACAAAAAGAGTTTTGTGACTATATACTCAATTAATTGTGACAAGAGCAATGTTGGAACTCTCACATTCATAGAAGTAATACTAAAAGGAAAGGCTCCTCGTATCATACCTTTATGAGCCCTGAAGCAGGAAAGAGAGCAACTAAAAAACGGAAAAAAAATCAATAATTGCTTAACTCCCATGAGTGACCAAGACAGAATTTCTCTTTAAAATCAACCAGAAAAGGAAATGAAAAGAAAAAAAGAAAAATATCAACAAGGGAAAAAAAATGATCCAAAACCAAATTCCCTGAACGAACATTCCAAGAATTGTATGGCAAAAAGTAGGGAGAATCAACAAGTTGATATTGGGTGAAAGGGGTAAGGGCAAAATTTCCGCACAACCCCATACTTCATCATGCATCCATATATGAGGATTTATTATTCAGTGCAAAACCAATAAGATGTGCATGCATAATGAAGTATGGGGCTGTGCGGAAATTTTTCCGGGGTAAGTCTAGATTAAGTAGCTTAGTTATAAATCATTGGAGCACGAGCCAAAGTATTGGAAATATCAAGAATTTCTTACATGTTTACTTACTACTTCGTACTGCAGGATGGGCATTTGTACTTGTGGCAGGCTTCTTTACAGACTTCACAAGTCTTCGATTGCATATCTCACTCCTTATTCATCACAAAGATGATTGGAAAGACAAAATTCTGTGGAGAAACCACGCTTGATGCCAAAACACGTTGTCAGTGTTTTCTTCCCCAGGCTCCTGTCAAAAGATTGGGTACCAATACAATTTTATTCCCAGTCCACCCCTCTAGTTTTGAGTTCTAAACTAATCCAAAATGGAGGGTTCTTCCGATAAATCCCGCTACGAAAAAAAGATCGAAAGCATTTTGTCCCAGCTTGTCACGCGCTACAACCATTGTGTCATGGAGCATCCGATATTGACGAAGAGCGTCACAAGGTGATGAAAAATGTGTTACTTTTTTACGATTCGCATATTCAGTCGCTCATATATAAGGACTCTAAAATTGAATCACCTTCCACTCAATAAGTTTCCTAGGTTTCATGTAGAACCGAACAACATCGATTGTACATTGAGGTATTGGACCAGTCTTAGCCACAAGCAGCATGAAATATAAGGAATGCGTGCAACGTATTCGTGCTTGGTTGCAGTGCTGGCTCTCGGTTTTACAGCTATATACTGCGTGCGATGTAATGACATAATTCTGCCTGTGCGCTCGTACAGTTATCCCGCGAGCAGGAGAAAACTTTCGGCTCGAGGATACATTAGCCTGCACTTGTCATTCTCTGAAGACTAGCATGTTGCCGACCTGATTTGAAAGCATAATTTATCCCTTTAACTTCTGAGATCTGAATCTCAATTCTCCCTCTCCAGCTGGACAACTGAACCTCTCATAGATATAGTTAAAGCATTCTAATGCGTCATTTCAAAATTTCCATCTTTACAGTGGCCTTACAGCTGGGCTTGGCAATCTTGTCTCTCAAAAGATTGTCAAACGAGGGACAGGTGGACTTGTTGAGTACCGACCTGTCATAGCCTTTGCCGCATTTGGGTGAGTACCATGTGATTAATAGCAATGTTCATCCTCAATACAAGAAGTAGAGGAGTTACCCTTTACACCCTAACATCAGTATCCATATCCTCCAAACTATTTTCCATACATTTCTTTTGGTACTGACAAGGAGAGTTTAACAATCAAAACTTCCTAGGTTGGCAATCATTTCCTTCGTTATCATGACTGTAATGAATGATTCAGCTGTGTAACTGTAAGGAGAAATTAGGTGCTGATCAGAGTGGCTATCCTTTAATTTTCCACAAACATTCATACATAAGCAAGCAGACAGGTGACAAGAAAATCGAAAAATATCAGGAAGGGGAAATTGTTGGATTTCCTTTTGTCAAAGAGCCAAATTATTTTTTCTCTTGTTTTCTCCTCTTTCATAACAGGTTTTGTGCAACTGGTCCTCTCATACACTATTTCTATGAGGCTTTGGACAAACTAGTACCTAGGCAGGTTTCCTATGCAAAAGCCAAAAGATTGTTTGTTGACAGAGGCATATTCAGCCCTGTGTTTTTGTTGGTGTTCTTTTATGTTGTTGCAATCCTAGAGGTAAGCTTATTCTGCAGTTATGTTGTATAGGGTTAGTTATTTAAAATGTCAGGGCCAGACCCTTTCAATAAGTGCAACTAGTAATTAAGACCTCTTACAACTGAGTTTCAAGGTTCATATTGTAAGTTTCAGACCCAGTTTTTTCTGCTCAATGGCCCAAGCACGAAGTGTGTAGGCCATACTGTAACTTATGGTACAGACCCAGAAACAAGGGTAATGAGACATTTATTACATTCCTGTGTTCAAATAGAGCAGTTAGATTTCACTTCAAACAAACTTTGAATTGAGTGAGCTGTATAGTGAAATTCTGGTCCATTAAATCGACCAGTTATGGCCCTGTGAAGATTCAGTTCATTTTTCTCACTGAAATGAAGAACAAAAATGGTCTAAAGTAATAAGTAGGCCATACAGAAGAATACAGCCTACTAAATTAACTAATCGCAATGTATATGTTAAATGAGAGATATGAAAAACTCAGAATTAGATTATATTTAGTTTAAGAAATTATAATCCAGACTGGATCCAGTTAGGCTGTGCAAAGGGCCGCATTATTAGTCCCTTGGTACAAAGGTTTCTTTGCCTGTGTGAAAATATGATGTCTCAAGGGAGTCAGCGAGAGGTCTGGCAGGGGTGTCACACTGATTATCTGTGCCAGAACCCTGGAAAACCTCTTCATGACTCCTCTCAAATCTACTTGTAGGCAGAGAAAGGTGTGTCTTGTAAATACATGTAATGAGAGCCTGCTCCTAGGTTAGGATCCAGTTACGTTTTCTTTTTTCTTGCTTCACTCCTGATCAAAGAAGATGGCAAGGTCTTGACTATGAAGGGCTTTTTGTTTCGTTGTGCACAGGGGAAGTCTCATAGAGAAGCAATAATGAAAATACGCGAGACTTACTGGACGGCACTGAAAATGAGTTGGAGAGTGTGGATTGTGTTTCAGTATGTCAATCTCAACTATGTACCCAGACAGGTAATGAAAATTTATTATTACTGGTGATATTAGGATCAGCTAAATCCTTGTTCAAACTCCAATTGGGAATGGCACATAGGTAAAGTCTGTACGTGAGGCAAGTGGTCTATACAGCAGCAACTTATCCCAGTTTCTGTAGCAAGAAGTCGTAAAACTTCCCCCCCCCCCCCTGGATGGGATGCCAGTCTTGCCAGTGTTTTGTCTTGCTCAAGAACACAACACACTGTCCCAGCCAAATCTCTAGCCCAGACCTCTTGACTCAGAGTCCAGTACATTAACTCTTTTCACCTTAACATCAGTGTGCATATTCTCCATACTGTTTTCTATACATTTCCAAGGGTGCGGACAAGGAGAATTTATGTAAAACATCAAGAGCTTTATAAGTTGGTGATCATTTCCTTGATTCTCGTGACCATAATGTTTGATTTAGGGATGATTTGTAAGGAGAAATTAGAAGCTGGTCACTCTGAGGAGTCAAAGGGTTAACTGTTAGGCTATTGTGTCTCCCACAGAAACTATAGTCAAAGCATTAAAAATTAAATTAAAAAAAGGAAAGGACAAGAAACAGAGGAGAAAAGGGAACAAAAGGAAAATATCATTAAACTCTTTATCAATATCTTTACCATTTAACTTCCCTGAAGTAACAGCCCTATAGCTTATTATGTTCAATGGTTATCAACTTATCTCCCCTGCCTGCTTGAAAATGGCAAGTTTGTATGCAGCAATGAGTCCTATGAGGTGGAATTTATAAATAATCAAATGGTTTGAAATTTGTGTTTTTAGTATAGAGTTCTCTGTGGAAACCTGATGGCATTTGTTTGGAACATCTACTTGGCAAGCAAGCGTGCACAGAAGTCATAATTCATAAGTCATAATATAGGGATATGATTTAATATAATATTATTACATTTTGGGTTCATCATATTTTTTTTTTAGATGCTCTTACCAATATTTTAGATGAGTGAATTGAATGAGATGATAGGAATTATGATATTATAGTCATTGACATCAGTACTTACATAATTGATGATTTAAACATAGATCGTAAATGTTTCATGTGTGTTTGTTGTGTATTAATCCCAAATGGTGATTGTGACCTGTACACTATTTAAGTGGTAGATATGGCTATCTTTCAGGAAGCCTGTTTATTTTTATACCAAGTAAATTAAATGCTTTGTTAGATAACGCTAAAGCCAAAACAAGTGGTAAAGCTGTGGGGAAAAGTTTTGAATTTTTCGTTGATCTGTCAAAGTTGGCTGAAAACAGAATTATATATACTAAGAGAAACTGTAAACTGCAGTTAAGAAGTCTGGTTGATGCCTCCATTTACACCTGGAGAAGTTGGTGGTCATATAATTGTGCATATGTTCACTGAACAGAGTGATAGTAACTTCTTACTTACCAAGCTTAAGGGCCATACTGGGGGTATTGGCACGAGGTTGTGGAAGTACTTAAACCTTAGTGCAATATTCCCCAGTATGGCTCAAGCAAGTGAGGTTAGTGAGTAGTCTACAATGTGGCTCTTAAACCAAACTTGTTTATTTTGAATTTGCTGGCTTTTGAGAACAAAGATACAGGGCTTAGGACTGTTTTGTAGAAATGGTTCATTTGGTAAGATTTTGACCAACTATTGATTTATGTAATAACATTGAATTTTGCATGACTCATGCTTTAAGATGATTTCCAAGTAACTGACTTGTGCTCAGTTGTCTTTTATGCTCCTTTTTAGTTCCTTCTTAGTTCCTTTTTCCTTCACAAGTGTGATGCACTCCTCTCTCTCCATAGGAACCAAATTTATTTCTCCTATACAAGCACTAAGTGCACAATTAGACTTGTTTGTTTCAGTTATGAGGAGGAACAATTTTGTCACCAAAAAGTTCAGGACATTAAATTTTTACTCTGCAGAAAATTAAAATACTGGAAAGGTTTGAAGATGTTTCTTTGAATGATCTGGGTGACATGTTTTGATTTTCAAGAACATGTAACAACCCCAACAACCAGGCTGGTCATGATTTCAGACTTGCAGACCAACAGTCCATTTTATAGTTACGTGCTTGGTTGCTAAGCCTTTGAACAGGAGTGAGGCTATGGGTGACCTTGCTATGATACAAACCCTGCTACTTTTCAAATGTAAATGATTTTGTTATCATGCTAACTAGATACTGGTCTCTATTACAACATGGCCAACTTCAGCCTCACTCCAAATCAAAGGTTAGGCAAGCAAGTACACAACTGTAGAATGGCCTATTAGAGACAACTGGGTATCAGTCTATAAATACTTTTTAAAAAATCACTTAAATAATTTTAACAATTATGTTTACATAGTAGAGCAGGTAATTTAGTGTTAACAACTGGGTTGAAAACGTAAATTAGCCACCGTAAAGGGTAAAAAAGCTGACGTTTCGAGCGTTAGCCCTTCGTCAGAGCGATCGACCCTTTACGGTGGCTAATTTACGTTTTCAACCCAGTTGTTAACACTAAATTACCTGCTATACTCTCCCACTGACGCAGCACCACAGTTTCTTTAGAAACTTACCCCTTTATTCATTTTACATAGTATAGTTTGTGAGATGCATATATCAGTATGGAATAATCTGAAACTTAAGCATAATACAGTATGGGTATAATTAAATTGAGTGTATTCTTTTAATGTACCAAACATAACCAAAAACTCAAAATTACTTGATTTTATTTCACAAAATTCATAAGTTCTGTTGTACATTTGGTTCTAACTAGTCCCAAGAAGTCCGTGCATAATTGATAAAGATGATGATTTGTAACTTGTCCCAAAGTGATTCCTGTAAAATGAGCAACTCCACATTATTAATGATATCCAACTGTTCTTAAGTAAAAAGGTTTAGATGACCACATTGCATTATGGTAACAATTGGCAATATACCCCCACCCCTCCCCCCTTTTCCACATTATGGTAATAAATGGTATTCATTGGCAATATACCCTGACCCCTATCCCTCCCCCCTTTTCCAAACACATATTCAACTTGCCTTTGCAGGTAATTTAAACTCCATTTAAACTCTGAGTATGAGAATTAAATTATGGACTGCAAGTGTGTGGTAGCTTACATAGAGACTAGTTCTTGGACCCAATCCCAATGACCATGTGACATGGGTGGTGAAGCAGAGAGACACAAGCTAGCCTCTTACTGCTTTTTGTTGTCATTGAAAGCCAACTTGAAAACCATGCAAAAACAGATTGTAAGGATTGAAGAGTAAATGTGTCATGGATGCATTTTGGTTAGAACACAAAGTAAAAGTGGAAAGTTTGAAGATTACCCAGAGCTTTTTCAATGTTGTTAATGACTTGTCAGGTACCACTCTTGTTCTTTATATTTGTATTGTCACCACAAACTTTACACACCTTGATGAAAAAAAAAACAAAACAAAACAAAACAAATAACGAAACATAGAAAGCTGGTGCCTTTGTTCAAAAGTCCTTTTAAATGATGAAACTTTTGGTATCAGTTTGTGATATGCATCATAGAAGGCCTTGGAGAAACCACCAAACATTCCTGCTATTGCTAAATCAAACTCATGATGACCATAGAAAGATGCTGGATCAAATGCAACTGCAAGAGAACAGACCAATCATGTAGCCTCACTTCAATCTCTGTTTAACCCTTTACACCTTAACATCAGTATGCATATTCTCCATACTGTTCTCCTTATCTTTCCTGAGGTGCAGAGAAGGAGAATTTATTAACAATAAAGAGCTTCTTAAGTTTGTGATCATTTCTGTTATTCTTGCAACCTTAATGTGAGGTTCAGGGGTGATAATGTAAGGAAAATTAGATACTCGTCAGTCTTTGGGGTCAAAGGGTTCTGGACTTTACAACAGTAATAATAGATAATGTCATTGTCAGCAATAATATTTTATCATTATCAATGTGAGTTGCTTAACTAAAAAAAATATTGTATAAATATCAACTTGAATATTAAATTAGATTAATAAATATTAATACGTTGTTGAAGTTATAGAACAAAATTGGGTGGAGTAAACTAATACATAAGTGTGGAAAAAGTGACTGGGAAGTGTGTGTGTATAAGGTAGCCATGGCAACACTGTGAGTTCATCAGGCAGGCAGAGTCATACTGAGGATCTCAGTGGGAAATTTATCAACAATCCTAACCAGTACCCACCGACAAGGAAGGAGAGGAACAGGATGACAAAGGCTGTCAGTCACTGTGCATTGAAGGAAACATGAGCAAATGAATATAGCTTGACACCTAACAGAATGCTATAAGAAATACTTGGGCCTTGTGAAGCCTTTAGACTGTCCCACATATTAAGGACCCAAAAATGCTTGCTAGCATTCCCAAGAGTTAAATCTCACCTATGTAAACTACATTTAGCATTGTTAAATAATAATTTAAGTAAAATATTCCTAAGAATTAGCTGAAAATACAAGCTAACCTGGACCATCCTCTGTTTCTGCTGCATTTCCACTCCAGAGGTCACCGTGGAGTAGAGAAGGTTTGATGTCCATGCCTTTGAAAAACTCAGGTATTTTGAGCTGAAGTCTTGACCAAAGGGATCTGGTTTCTGTGTCACCGTACTGCATGATAATAACATGATAATAAAAAAAAAAACAAACTCAATTTAAAGTTAATTACTTAATCAGTGCATAGCAACTGTTACAAAGTTATTTGTCAGGGGCATGGGACACAGAAAAGAATCCCCCACAAGGTATTGAGCCCTAGACCTCCACTCTCGTTTGCTCTACTACTGAGATACAGAGAAACTTTATGGTGAGCTTAAGCCTTCGTGTAAGGTTCATGTGTAGCAAGCATAGCTGATCCTGCATTATTAGTCAGAACATTGGGAGGAAAAAAAATGTCTAATTTCATTTTATCTCTCCTTTATTACAACTGTTATGAGTAGTTGATTTTTCATGAGCCTAATAGTGGCTTAACTCACAACTGAGTTCTCTATAGGCAAGGTAAAGGCTCAGAATCCAAGATCTGAGAGTCTGGGGCTAAATTCCTGGTAAGTGACTTAAATCTATTCCTTGTCTTGTACTCATGACAGTGAGCACATTTCTTTTCATTCATTAACAGTTGTAGAGAGATGTGCTGGCTGATACCATGAACCTCACTTACCTGCTTGTCAATAAGATCCATCTGAAGTTGTAAGCGACATCTGGTGTAAAAAGTCTATGGGAAAGAGTATTTTAAAAGCTCATCTCAAGGTATCGTCAGTAATATGACTGAAGAAAAGTTGCTAAATGTTGTACATTACTGGTCATACTCACCACCCAATTGTTATGCCATTCATTGTCTTGACCGATATAACCACAGCAAGTGGTGCATGGGAAGCCAAATTTTACAACCGTCATTGGATTATGACACTTTCCAATCTTGTTCTCCTCTGATGTTTCTTTTTGTAATTTGTTTATATTGTCCAGATGAAGCCTAAAGGGTGTGTCAAAGATTATTTCATATATATCAGAAGATTTGTAACAAGTAGTTATTAAAGAAAATATTATTAGCATTCTTGCAGCAAGGAGAACATTCCTGCAATGAAATTTTCAATCAAGGATAAAAATTTAACATTAACCTTGCAAGGTCTGTCCCTAGCTGTGACTGGTATTTTCTCAAGCTTTTCATCTCAAGATGTTCTGCAACAAAAACTGCCCCACTTCCAGATGGATGAGGTAACACCTAAAATACAGAGAAAAGACAGCATCATACTGTTGCTTGTAAGTTGCAGTTTATATATACCAAAATAACAATGGGTGATAAAAAGCTACTGATTAATTATTTAGGTATATACAAACTGCAATATTTTTTGACTTGATTTTATTTCACAAAATTCATAACTTCTGTTGTACTAACTATTTTCAAGAAGTCTGCGCATAATTGATAACGATGACGATTTGTAACTTGTCCCAAAGTGATTCCTGTAAAATTATCAACTGCAACGTCGAAACGTCGTCGCTTTTTAGCAGTCTTAAAATTTTTTAAAGAAATTTTTCATCGCAATTTTCTATAGTTAGATGTTTTTCTAAATCACTTCTTCTAAGTATGATTAAACGACTCAAAGTTCAATTTTCACCTTAGCCTCTTTGTGACATCAATTTTGAAACTGCTCAATTTAAATGCCTAAAGCAGGTTTTGGTCAATATCAAAATTTCACAAGGGGAAAAATTAATTAAATAATAAATGTTTAGATAAAATTAATGAAATTAAAATACATGGTGCGATTTGTTACAGAAACAACGTAAAATCGACTTAAAAAATTAATAGGGATCAATCTTGCTCATGTAAAAAATAACCTTTATTGGCCTAGGTACTCGCAAAGTATCCGTCCCATAAATTTCCTCAAGGCTCTGGAATTCACCTTCAAACATTTCTCCCGCCTGAAAGAAAGCATAAATAAATATCGATCTGTTGAAATATTTATTTTGATCGTAAGCTTCAGGAAGGGTGATTCCCTGAATCATTGTTTACGAACCAATACCTCCGACTTGGTATTCACTTTGACAAAAATCTTTCCATTGTCAGTGTCAAAACTTTTTCCCTCACTAATACAGCCACCACTTGCAAAGCCTAAAGATTCACATTTTTTGTATTTAAGTTCCTTCTTCAAAAGATCTACGAGTTTCCTCGAAGTCGCCTCCTTCGCCATGTCTGAAACCACAATCACGATAGTCAGCGGATTTATTCGAGCGCATGCCAATTGATAGACTTGCTCGCATTGTAAACTTTGAAAAATGGCGCGTTCCTTTCATGCAAATTCCAATGTGGTTTCGCCTCAATAGATTCCTGTAACTTAAAACGCTCAATACCTGCCAGTTGTCGTCTAAAAAGAAGTTGTGAAGTCCTCGGATAGATCGAGTTGTTTTTCACTCACCACTACAGACTGAATTTTAAATTCCACATGGCGATCTTTCGCGATGCACTGGAATTTACAAAATGAACTGGATTACACCTCAGCTAAGGCTGATCACATGAAGTATGGAAAGTTTCAAAGCGATCGCCGATGATACTTCGCAAAAGGAAAATAATCCTTTCTTGACAAAATATTTAAAGGAGAGAAGTCTGCAGAGAGAAGTTCCGTTATTCAACGCAGACCCGAAGTTTGCTCTAGATCAAGGCGACGGTATGTAAAAGTTGGTTTGTCAACGGGCAATAGTAGTAGCAGTAGTAGTAGTAGTACTAGGACGTTATGATCTAGATAAATGAGTTGATTTTGTCATGTTGGGTCATTAATATCGATAATCGCAACATAGTTAGAAGTGCATCTCCTTTGTAACACCTGTAAGCCTCTTCACTGTTTAGTTTTCAGTATCAAGTTTTCGTAGAAATTTGTCCAAGAGCGCTTTTAAATTTGGTTTCGTAGAAGCAATGCTAGAGAGAATACCTCCTTCCTCCCCTCCTTCCCATTGCTACGGAGGTAAAAAGCTGAGGTTAAGTTGAACAGCTGATGAAACACAACAAAGTTATTCCCTATGCATTTTTTGTTTACCTTTTGTTTCTCTTTCTCCTTTCTTTTCCATAGCAAAATCTCAGCAGCCTTTGAAGGTAAGGAACATGACAACTCAGGCACAGAACCACAGACCTCATGATCAGGCACAACTTGTGGATAAGTTTAGGAAGCTACGTCAGTGGCAACAACAACAGCAGGAGAGTATGTTCCGTCAACAACAACAACAAATGGAGACACTAAGAATGGAACAAAACAAACTTCAAAGTATTTTGGCTGCCCAAAGAAAACTTCAAGGACAAACTGCTACAAGTACCCCAACATATCCTCCAAACTTTGTAGGAACTGTTTCAAGTCAAGCTGAACCTATCAGAGAAGGATCAGTGACTGTCACAAGTCAACTACAACAGGGAAGTGTGAGATTGCAGGCTCCCTTAGATATGGGGTCAAGAGTCCAAGTTGAAGATGGAGGCTTTGAGTCTGTGAGGAATGGTTCAGATGGTTTTCCAAGATCCATACCAACATTTTCATTGCCCTCTTCTGCTATGGGCCAAATGGATTTTGAAATGCAAACTAGACAGCCTGGACCACAACACTTTGGCGAACCTGATCCAAAATTCTCCGTCAATGATAAAGACAGATTTCAAGAAAGTTTGCCTCATTTGAATGAGACAGTTTATCCTGTAATGTGGAACTCATCAAATTACCGTTTCCCCCTTAGAACTATTCCTCCTGTGGTGGGGACCAGACCCATATCAGAACAGCCTGTGATTGGATCAGCAATGACAAGTAACCCCCTATCCCACCTTGGGATGACTAAAATTCCTCCACAGTTTCAAAGTCCAGTCATAAGTCAAAGACCAGGTGATATGTTTCAGAACAATCCTGCAACAAATAATGATAACTGTCCAGAACTGAACCTTGAAAGAATTGATACCTCTCAGTATGATAGAAATCCAGCAATGACACCAGATCTAGAGAGGTTATGGAGTCACAATGCTGGTGTAAAAAGTGTGACTGACATAGATTCTCAAGTTGATGAACACTCCGAAGCAGACACTATGAGTGGGGTTTACCCTCTCTATGATTCTGAGCCTGACATGGGCTTTAATGAGATAGAGGATGAAAATGATGAAGATGATAAAGATGCAGAGTCAGATGATGAGGAAGAGTTAGAGGAAAGTTATGAAAGGGATAGAACTGTTATAGACTTACAGGCTCAATCACAGGATTCTATGGAAATGGTGAGTTTTCATGAGGATGTCTTAGTGAGATATTCAATTAATATAATGTAACAGGATAAAGGGGGTAAGTTTTTAAAGAAACTTTGGTGCTGCATTGATGGGGGGTTCACCAAGATGAAATTGCTTTTGTTAGCTGAGTTGATAATGTAGATTGATAATGTAGATTGACACTGCAGAGAGATTCTAAAGCTGATGTTTTAAGTTCACTGCGATGAAGGGCTAATGATCTAAATGTCAGATTTAAAATTCTTTGCCACAGTCAATTTACTTTATCAACACAATATGTAAGGGGACTTACTTTAAACACCATCTTGCTTAAAAATAAAAACTTAATATGCTTGCAAAGAAGTTTGTTAACGGCAGAAAACTACACAAAGGTCATTTTGGAAACTTGAATGGGGAACAGGCTCTGCTTTTGTATGATGAACTACCCCCTCCCTCTTAAAAATTTTTTGCTGTCTCTTAAACAACTGCATTACTAAGTGGAGGTTGGGTGCCTGAGACAACCAGGAACTTCCACTATTGGAAGCTAGCTCTTAGATGGAGATTGCTCCCATGGTTGGCACATCCTGGCAACCCAGCCATGAGCCCCCTCACAGGAAATGGAAACAGGTACCTATCACACTGAATAAACAGTGGAAAGAGGGAGGGAAGGGGTGTGGAAAACTACCAAGACAATGAGCTGCCACTCCAAACAATTCTGAAAGTTCAGGCTCAAAGCACATGCAAGAATGCCTTAATAGAAGAGCACATGTTATTCTGGTGCATACGCTTATGCAAAAACAGCTGACTACCAGTGAACACTGATGATCTTTGTTCTTAACTCTGTTAAATTGCATTTGACTGTGTTTAATGGGAATGGAGTTAACTGAACTATATGGATTATGCACAATAGAATATCATAATGATAACATTTGCTAGCACAAAAATGAATCATTTCAAATTTTTGTGTTACAAAATTGTGACACACTGTTCCCTATTTTGAATAAATAAGAATGAATGAATGAATGGCATCTGCTTTTTTTTCCCCTGTAATCAGAATGAACAACGTATGGAAGAAAACTGTCAGACTGAAGTTGGAGATGAGATGCCAATAAAACCTGGCATAGGTATAAGTTATGAAGTGTTAAAGAATATTAAGTTTTGTTAATAGAATAATAGAGATGGTAAGTTTTGAGCTTGGTAAAGAAATAGAAAAAGATGTCTTTTTTGTCTTGTCACAAGCATGGGACAAAAAAAAAATTCAGAGTTCCCATGAGGAATTGAACCCCAGGCCTTTGGGATTCCACACTCTGATGCTCTACCACTGAGCCACAGGGACTCCATGGTAAGGAAGGCCTATTACAAAGTTCAAATGACACACAACATTAAGTTTTATCCAAATGGTGAAACCAATGAACATGATCCAAAGACCATGAACATTTCTAAAAATATTTCATGCCCATAAAACCTAGTTTCTTGTGTTCAAGGTGCATTTACACCATCTATTGCTGTTTCTGGTCTATGTTTCATCCTAAGAAATTTTTTCATATCAGTCAGGTGGTAAAAATTACCCACAAGGGAGGGGTTCCTCCACCCCCAACCCTCTATTTGGATCTACCAGTACCGATGAGTCGTTAAACTATTGCACAGGGAGTGCAGACTGTCTCATTGAATTTAAAATAAATTTTGAATCAATTTATACTGCTTTTTCTTGTCAAAAGTTCTATTTGAATTTCAATTATTTGTTTCTGTTTCTGTAGGAGGATCATCTCAGGCTAAGACTTTTGAAGAACTTTTAGAGGAGCAACTGAAACTTGATGCAGAGGTTAGTTTCATGACCACATACCTGTAACTGTTTTGTGATTCCATTTAACTTGCATGTCTTTTTTATGGTAGCAAATGTCAACATTCAGAAATTGGTTATTGATAATTACATAAATTGTTTTTGATCAAGGCTTCTAAAGCACCAACTAAAACTCAAAGTACAACTCAAAAACCCCAAAGAACATTTCTAAGAAAAGGTCAAGGACTTGCCCGATTTAAAGGAAAGTCAGCTTCAGCTAAGGTAATAACAAAAACCCAAGAACCAGCTGTTCAGCTGACAACAGCTCAACAGAAAAAAGAAAAGAGGACTGGGAATGCTGTGGCAGCTTCATCTCAAGGGAATAACAGATTAGGTGGAGTGAGTGGAGGTCCTGTGGCACAGAGCAAGGTGAGACAGGAGCTATTAATGATAATGACCATTTTTGTTAACAAACAAACAAACAATTGAACACTTTTTTCCAAGGAAAGGGAATGAGAGGAGTGTTAGAGTTTCACAAATACTCCACCAGAGAACTTGTCAAATTTTGGAGATTGATGCATCAAAGATCAAAGAACTTAAAGACTTTCTTTGTGCACTAATTGTGGGTCAAGTCTATAGTCCCATGGAAAAGGAGTAAATTTGAGACATATGTGTATCTAGGCTTTGGCAAACCTATGTTCTGTAATATTTTTCTTTTCCTGCTAATGGCGCAGTGTTTTCTCTAGTCAGAATTCACTTCTGTCTTACCAACTCTAACTTATTGGTCAGCTTCTTTCCTCTTCCTCTAACACAGGTGACTCGCAAGGTGGCTTCGAGAAGCCCACAGGTGATGACAGAAGCATCTGTGAAGTCACAGCAGATCAGGGGGTCTAAACCTTTTAAAACCCAACCAGCTTCCTCAGATGGAAAACCTGTCGCCATAGCTGTTACCAAGCCTGCTGCGATGCCCACAAGGTACAGTGTACATTTACATGTGACATAAAGTTAAGCTGTCGGCTGAGTGTTTCGTCTAATTGGAAACTTTTGCAGCAAAGTTAGTTGATATCGAAATCCAAACCAGCCCCAGCTTGGAGCACCGTATGCAATTGAATTATACTGTATCAAATGTCATCTTCGCTGTAATTTGGTATTGTCAACTGAGTTGATAACGTTAATTGGCCACCGTAAAGAGTTTAAAAGCTGACGTTTCGAGCGTCAGCCCTTCGTCAGAGCAAATGACGTGGCCAATTTAAGTCATCAACTCAGTTAATAATACCAAAATAATAATTTCCTTGTTATGCTCTCCCACCAACGCAGCACCACAGTTTCTTTAGAAACGTATCCCCTTTACTAATTTGTCAACTTCATTGGATGTGTATGCTTCGCAGTGTCATTTCCGATGAACCAGAGGAGAGTAATCCACCTTCTGTGTTTAACAGTATTGATGCATCATTCCAAATGAGACTGAAGGAATTAGAAGAAAAACAAGAGGTAAACAGTCAATTTTGTACATGTACATTATACCTTGATACCTTAACAATGACAATGGCGATAACAATGATAATGGTGGTATGTAGTCGTTTTGGTACTCATGAACGTTTCATTCTCAGTATTTTCCTTTTTTTGTTACCTGCTCTTTATTGCTTTCTCACGCCTAGCTCAGTTTTTCCTTGTTGCGAGGAAAATTTTGCATCTCTTTTATTCATGGTTTTCTGAGTTTCACGATAAGAGATGGGACAAAATGACTCGAGCTCTGCGGATTGCGCCATCTGAAAAATTCAAGTATAACTACGACAAATCACAAAATTTACAAATCATACTCAGTTGATTCGTACTCGAATTAAGATGATTCGTTCCCAGTTTGAGTCGGTTCTTACACAAGCCGCTGGTCGATTTCAACCTATCTTAACAGCATGCTGGAAAGTAATGGTTTATAACAATGATAATAATTGTAATTTTACTTTTGATAATGTTTTCTTGATAACGATAATGTTGGTGATCTATTGTATTTAAAATAAGTCTCTAATTAGTACTCCCTCTTAGTTTTGACCTCTCTTTGTTGCACTAATTTAGTTGGAAGAAGAAGAACTTGAAGAATTTGAGCTCCTAGAACAAGCTGCAGCAAATGCTTCCTTTTCATCCAACTCCTCTGTGGTTGTCAAAGTGTTGGCCAAAGCCAGAGGAGGAAGTGCACAGATCAGTAAAAATAACACAATGCGAGGAGCTGGGAACAAGCCCGAAAACAGAGGTAGCAGATCAGTACAGAAAGTTATGTATGCGAGTGTGATGTCCAGTTTTAAACAAAAAGAGTGTTTTTGTTTGAGAGACAATCAGAAACTTGAGACGCTCAGCTCCCGGTGATGTCTTTTGCAGGTGCAGGTGGAATTCTGAGCCCTGTTGACACAGGTTATGGCAGTGGGGATGGTAAAGGGGCTGTGTCAATTGATGAATCAAGACGACTACCCGTGGTAGAATTGAGAGAACCTCATGAAAATGGTAAGTTAAAAGTAATGGATCTTATCGGACGCACTTTTATTGAAAAACATTAGACAAGAATCCGTGTATCAGGGCTGGACGAGATTACGTGAGCGGGGCCGGAAAAATCCGCACGGACGCGCGAGCTGCGAACCAAAAGGAGAAAGGAAGGAAATGAAGAGCAAAGATTATTTGATAAAATGTTACGTGGGGCTTGACGGTAAAATATTTGCTTCTTGGTGCGTGAGGTCCATAGGTCGTAACCTCGAGCCACATTTTTCTCTCTGACCCACTTACCCAGTCAAGAAGTACATAACTTGTCGCTTTGGTCGCTTGAAGGTCTCTTCCCGACTCAAATCTCCGTCAAAATATTGTTGTTAATGACACTGCATAAAGAGTGGTGACCCTGTGTCAGAACAGGGAATAAGATGGTGATGTTATCCCGTTTATATTCCGTAACAGAGAGTGAAGATGACGATGGTGATGTGACTCTACAGGAGATGAGTTTAGACAGTGCCTTGGAACTTGATTCTGGTCAAGATGAAAAGAGACAAGCAGCTGGAGACCTGCAAAAAGGTAAAAATTTTAGATTTGCACCACTATTAACTGGGCTTTGAAGCCATATCTGTTCCCGTATTGGAGTCTGATTCCAGAATTGATTAAAAAACAGCTCACACGCGAGGATCATTCAATTAATTGAAAATGAAAATTATTTGGTGAACGTTTAGAGGTCATACTCTAAGACCGAGTCACTCCTTTGTGACATTCCAATTTTCTTACAGTCTTGGCCCCAGCTTACCTCAATCCTCCCTCGACTGAGAGTGACAACGAGTTTAATGACGAAGACACGTGGGCTGTAATAAAGAAACAGGCAGGTACAGACTTTGAGAATGCGGAGAAGGGAGGAGAAGTCGACTCCGATGACGACGACGACGATGATGAGGATGACAGTGATGTGACAATCAGTGACATATTCCCTCTTGTAACCTCCACTCCGCCTGTTGCCCTAAAGAGGGGTCAGCCTCCAAAGAGCCAAGCAGCAGATGCAATTGAGGATGAACGGATGCTGGCTGCGTCGACCCCACCAACATCAACGCTTGTTACCAAGCTGTTTCCCCAGCTGAAGCCGAAGCAGAAAGCTGCTGTAAGTTATTCAGTGTTAATTCGTGTCATGAACATAAGCAAGAAGCCCTCTGTATTATTCCTGTACCGATTTGTAACTTTCAAGGCCTGGCCTCACGAAGCGATAAGTTGTTTGGCCAGATCTTTGAGAAAAACTGCCTTGTTAGCACTGCTTCCAAAACAGTACAAAAACAGTGATTTTGTGGCTGAATTATTCGCTTACAGTGCATTTGGGCGACCTCTTTTGGAAAAAAAATTCTGGCGAAAGTATGAAGGTTCTTTTTAAAAAGTTCTACGTCATACGTTTTTCGCTGCGACTTGTCTCCGTGACATATCTCTCGATATATCCTGGTGCTTGTTTTCACCTTTTTTTTTACGTAAAACCTGTTCAAAAGCATTGCAGCTAAGCAATACTGGCTACCAAAGGATTGGTATATTGTACTCGAAAACTCATGAAATAATCGAGATACTTCACCTGATTCGATCAAGATTCCTTCCCGTAAGTAATTAAAGAACTGATTGCATGAACTTGAGACTTTCAATTCCCGCCGGTCGAATGGTCTATCTCAGACCCTCGAATAGCTTTTGGCGTGAACAATTATGCTCGGAGATGGACTTGATCGATTTCAAGCGAAAAACAATTTCAATGATCTTTATCGTTGTGTCACCAAAGCCGGCTGTCGCCAAACAAGCCACAAGTGATGTTCCTAAGGCCCAGGGGCAGGAGGAAGAGCCTGTAGACACGGTTCAGAGTGCTGCGGTCAGGGAGAAGCTCAAAGAATTGGAAGCAGAGATTGAAAAGTTCAGGACTGAGAATGCAGCTCTGGCCAAAATTAGAAAAGAGCGGGAAGAGGTGTGGGAACAATTTGTTATTTATTTGTAAGACGAATATTAGTGTATGGTGTCACATTATGCGGTATACGTACCTTTTGCTAACCGAGTTCGAGGTCCGTCCTGTAAGTTGCAGAACGATTTTTTTTCGGCTCGGATTTAAGGCCCAGGGGCGAGGCGAACGGGCCAGAAATCCGAGTAGAGAAAAACTCGGTTTTGTAAATTTCAGCACGGATCAAGAAAACGAAATTATTCATACATTTTTTATATCTCTGGGTTCAAATAGAGGAGGGAGATTTCAAATCAAACAAACCTTGAATTAGCGGGCCATGCAGAAATATGTGGTTCGCTAAATCGACCAATCATAGCGCATGCACTAACTAAGAGATAAAATAATTCGAATTACATTGCCATTGTCAAAGTTTGCGACTTTAGTGTCTCGTTCGATGAAAATTATTTTCCAATTTTTCCCATGTTAAATGATGAACTGCAAACATTATTCTGAACTTTTGGTGTTTGTATCCGTTACATGCTGATCAAACAGTCTCATATTTTACAGGGCTTGAAAAAGCTGCAAACGGAAATAGCTGTGTTTGAGAAACAGAAAACAGATGAACTTGAACGATTAGAGCAGTTTAAGGAGGAAGAGATGCGAAAGTTACGGTATGTGTTCATAGCTGGTCTCTTTCAGGCGTTCAGTTATTAAAACAAAGCGCGATGGTTAACGGCGAGATAGTAGCGGAGGAGTGAAAAGAGGAGTGAGGTTTGGGTCGAGTTACCTGACCCAACCCGACCCAAGCCTCTCTCGTTTTTTTCACTCCTCCGCAACTCGTCCGCGGTTTATTATTTTGCAACCGGTAACAAGCGTGATTTCAAGATTCGAGACAGCTACCACTGGATTAAACACAGGATTTTCGTTAGCTCGCCCGTTCGTGTGTTTGTTAATGCTTATTGAGGCTAACTGAAATTTATGTAGGGCTTAAAATCAAGTAATTGCAGCGGTTTTATCGATGTGATGCAGGGCACTCCAAGGCGTGTTGCAAGGGAATTTCCATGTGCTTTTCCTTTGTTACTTTGCTTGCTCATAGCCTCTAAACCATTCATATGCCAGGTGAAGGATTCGTTATTAAGTCTACTGATCGATCACATAACTCGTGTCTGAGCTTTCCGACAAGTTCGGATCATCAATTAGGTTTAAGTAGTGCCTAGTATACTTTAATCACTAAGTGTCTTCGGATCAAGATACCATAAATTCAATCTTACAACTTGTGCCTTTTAGCCGCGAAAGACGAGTGTTTGAAAAGTATCAGAAAGCTGCCCGTTCAATGCCAGACAAGAAAGAACGCGAAGAGATCGAGAGTTTACGAGAACAGGTAAAAACGTTATTCTGTAAAAATAAGTTTTGTTTATGCAGTCTTGAACAAAGAACGGTAAAGGAATTGAGTTGTCTCATGTCTAATATGACAAACGTAGACTGGAATAAACCAATTGTTCTCTCGCTGGTTTTTATCATGGATAAATGAACGTTGGCAAAAATTGACCACTTTAAACCACCATACCCCTCTCAATAGATGGCAGATTTGCAAGAAGAACTTAAGCGACGCGAATCTCGCTGGTCAGCGGCTTCTACACGTTCCCGCCAAAAGATCGAGGTCTTGGAAGAACAGAACAAAGAACTACAAGAAGAGGTGAAGCTTTTAGAACACTATCGACTGCAACAGTGGAGAGAAGAGGAACAAGCGAAGGTGAGATATACCCCAGTAAAACAATGTGGAGATACATCAGCTGTGTGTGACTTTACCAGGGTGTTAGTAAGACTGACAGAGCTGAATAACGAACTTCCAGGTGATGTTTCCCTTGCCGCTTCTCTTTTACAGAAAACTTTCAAAAAATCTTTACATCCCCTAAATATTTTCAAAAATTAATTTCCTCTTAAAGACATTGGAAGTAGGAAAAGGCCTTCAACGACAACAAGATGCCTCGGTTTTAAATGCCAGCCCTTTTTTTCCTCAAATTTCGCTGATTTTTCAACCTCGTACACTTGAGCCCGCGTTATTGACCGCTTACTTGTTACGTAGCATTTCGCTATTAAGCTCTGCTAGTAAGTCCCACAAAACAAAAATTAACATTCATTTTGAGAACTTAAAATCTTTTCACAGGCGAAAGAAGAAGAGGAGTCAAGACCGAAAAAACCTTTGCTGCGCAAAACTGCTAAGGCGACGGAAGAAGGTAACTTGATACATGGTGTCCTGGATTTCTGTTTCATCCCCGCAAAGGCAATTTTGATTTCTTCTGACTTAAGAACAGTTCGTTTAATATTCCAAATCGATGTCAAAGTGGGAAGAAAGAAGTTTACATCACCGACGTACATAGTTGGGAATGCCAAAAAGCAACAAAACTGAGAGCAATGAAGAAAATGTTTACCCCGTGGTAGGAATCTGCTTTTAATGGAGCTTTTAGCACTGGAAATAGCGAACTCAAACTACTCCTGCTATAATCATAAGGATTGCAAACGTCATCATTCCTGTCATATTTTTCAACAAATGCTTTTGTACATTTCTTTCGATCAAGTCCCTCATGAGGAATCGAACCTCAGACCTTCGGATTCCGCGCTCTGATGCTCTACTCTGAGCCAATAATATTAAATATATAACCTATATATGATATATACAAACTTAACTCTTCTTCTCAACTACCTTAATTCCTCAGAGCCAGGGCCCAGGCTCCCCGTGCGTCACCGATCTCCTCCCATGAGAGCAGCTCTTGCTGAAGTACTGCCCAGATCTACTCCTGAAACTGCTACCATTGATCCTGAGACCAGGTGATATAGACACACTTGCTTGATGTATTACAACTATCATAATTACAACCAGTGCCATTTCCCAAAATGTGATTGGTGGATGACCTGTTTTTCTGTTGTTGATGCTGTTGTTGGTGGTCTTTTTCTTTCAACCGATTGTTCTTTCGAATTGTATTCGGACAGTTATATCAGCTGATAACACTGAGTTCACTTAAATGAGTCCACCAATCACCGTCTCGATTACATTAACCATGACAAAGACAAAATTTTCATCCAAAGCTGGGGAGGTACCAAAGCGGAGAGATTTAGTTCATAGGACTTATGTCCACAGTTCTTCAGTTTGACAGTTGGAAGCCAATCTTCCAATAATTACAATTTTTCTCGGAAATTGCGATATTTTTGTCGTCCATTTCGATCCGTGATCTTTCCTAGAACTGATGAAGAACTGCCCCCTGTTGGCATTACCAATAGGAAGCGATGGAAAGCGGATGAAAAGCGGATTTTGAGAAATTGACGTAGACTGACTTCTTTATGAATTTTTTGGCAGGCTACCAAGTGCTGCTATACAACTTGATAAAAACAACAATCAGTCATCGAGTTCTCGCCAAGACGAAAATACACCATCAGATGTACTTTATAATGAAAAGGAAGAAATCAGCTCTGCTTTGAAGCCTGTGGATGATAACAATCACGATACAATGAAATCTAAACGAAGGTCAGAATTCCTTTATTTTCTACCAAGCTTCTTTTCCACACTTTTTTGACGTGTAGATCCTTAAAGATATCGGATTGGCTGAGAAACCTCAAGGGAATGTATCAACCAATCAGTAATGCGCTACGACGCAATCGGCAATGTGCACAAAGCAGCCATTCGAGGCTGTCTCGAACACGTCTCTCAGTGGGTGCACGTCTCTCAGTGGGTGGAAGGGGATATTGTCGTTTATGCTGCGTCATTTTGAATCATCTCTGAAACATCCTCCAAGAGAGTGAAGAGAAGGAAGGAGAAGACTTCACATCACGTGTTTATTATTACCTCTTTTGCTTTTTTTAGTCCTCGAAGAAGAAGCAAAACGCCAGAAAGAGGAGAAAAGTTTAAACGAAACGTTCATTTCCAAGATGAGGAAAAATATGATGAGAATAACGCAAGGGAAAGCAGCAATTCAGATGAAAGAAATAGACAAGATACAAGAGAAATAGTGCATCCTGATGGAAAGGTAATGTTCAATTGACAAAATCGGTCAAACTGAAATATTGTTACTCCTCCCGGTATGGTATGCTGGTCCATGACAGTAACTTCTCACCGGTTTGGAATATTTCTCTGGCTGTTGGGAACATGGCTCTCGAGCCAAAATTGCCAATCCAGCCGGAGCTTATGCCAGTTTCCACACTATGAAGTGACAATGAGATTTTCTATTTCCCCTAAGTGGGATGCCAAGCTATCCTCCGCACCCTCAAACCCCCCCCCCAAAAAAAAATATATAGAGACAAGAAAAAGGAAAAATACTTGTCAGGTTTGTTTTTAAGTTCGCAAACACTGTTCACATTAGAACTTCTGTCGGAGAAAGGTGCTGTTAGAGTCAAGTTTCTTTTCCACAAGAGGGCTCTGATCCAGTCCTCTCTATAGCCTAGCAATCTAAGACCAGCATTTCTCTACAAAAGATACATTAAACGAATTATATTTCCAGGTGGAGAAAGTTAATAGTGACGGCTCTCGTGTGATCTCCTTTGCAAACGGGACAAGAAAAGACATCAGTGTCGACGGCCAAACTATCACCGTCACTTTCTTCAACGGAGATGTCAAACAGATCATGCCGGACCAACGAGTGGTGAGGCAAATGTTAAGCACCAAACATTCTCCCTTGCTTGCAGGACCTCTTATTATTATTGGCGTTGCGGTTAGAGCGTTTCTTAGACAGCGAGAAAGGTGAAAGCCTGGAGCAAAGCGATGGGTTTGCAAGGGGTCTAACACTAATACTTAGTGCCAAAACTCCGCTAACTGGCATTGCTCAAGGCCTCAACTTTCTTACGGGCGAAGCAACGCTCGTGTGGCGTCACTTTCTTAACTATATAATCCCGATTTTGTTTTTCGGTTACGCCAAGGATGGAAATTTACTTTTCATGTTCATGTTCTATTCCTTTTATCAGATGTACTATTATTCTGACGTTCAAACAACTCATACTACTTATCCAGACGGGCTGGAGGTTTTGCAGTTTCCCAGGTTTGAGTACAGTAAAATGTGTTACGCCCCTGAAGTTTCTTAAAGCCCAAACCGCAGCAAAACGCCAACTCACCATTGGTGTTAGCTTTGCATCCGACTGATTTAGAGACTTGCTGAATGTTTTTAGACCAACCTCAGAACGTAGCGATGGAAAGTTTTTTTTATCTTGTCAAATTTTTCTAACTAAAGTGGACTGGCTTGACGAGTTTCCTTTTCAACTTTCCTTTGCGAATTAACTTTTGGTTCATGTGTCTGCGTGCCTTTCTCAATATATAAAAAATACGCCTTACTTGATCGCAATTTCCGCTTCATATCCAGTTTCACTTTTGTCTTTTTAGCAAACAAATTGAGAAGCATTATCCCGACGGGACTAAAGAAATTATCTTCCCAGATCAGACGATAAAGTATTTGTACCCGAACGGAGCAGAGGAATGTGTATTTAGTGACGGTACTATACAGAAAGTTAGCGTGGATGGCGAGCGAACCATTGAATTCCCAAACGGACAAAGAGAGACACACACGAAATTCTATAAAGTGAGCAGAATTAGTCTTAGTTTCTAGTTAAACATTTTGGCCAGTATTCTCAGACAACCGGTTTCTGAAGTTTGAAGCTGTTGCTTAGCCACTTGCTATGGCACCCTCTGGTGACTATCCATCGCTGGTAAAACCCCAACATTTCATCAGGTTTCCCAGAATGCTCGTCTGTGCTCAGTTATTCTTTTAAGTGGAGAGAAGCGCCAAGGAATGACATTGTTTTGAAAGAATTGAGATTGTCGAAACTCAGGTTTTTGTTAGCACGCCGGCCTTTTGTTAGCTCGTCGATCGCTTTGGCGACAGTGATGAAATGTCACCCTTTTACCTCCACTGCATGCTGGGAAATATGCGGATGCCTAGTGACATAAAATTTCTCTGAGCGGACCGAAAACTTAGAAAACGTTATTCAGTTTGTTTTAACTTACTGCTATGTGAACTCAGTTTTCACACATTTCCGTATACAGCCAGTGTCAGTTACGAACTTGCTTTTTACAGAGTTAAGAGTTCTCTGCTTAAAAGAACTTCTACCGTGTCTTAGTACAACAGCAATAACTGGTTATCTTTTTCTCCCATTCTTGTGTAGAAAAGAGAATACCCTGACGGGACAGTAAAGACGGTCTATCCCGATGGTCGCACAGAGACCCGTTACGCTACGGGACGGGTGCGGGTCAAAGATCGAGAGGGTCGCATCCTCGTCGATGCTCCCCACCAAGACAGATAACAGTAGCTTCAGCGGTTTGAGAGAATACTCCTCGGATTGTCAAAGAAAATGGCCTGACTTACTTACGAGACAAAAGTAGATAACGTACCGTATTAATACTGAAATCTTGTGGGTCTTTAAGGTCGTGTTTTTGCGATTGTGAAAAAATCGCGAAATTGAAGACTTGGGAATAAAAATCCTCGAAGAATTTTAACACGTGGAATTGAATCACCCATAGAAAATTCAAATCACCGGTAAAAAAAAGATCAACATGTAATAACCACAACATATACAGAACATGTGTCGACAAATACAAAAATTAAAAACTGGTCTTACTGGTAAATTCTATGTGGGATCTTCCGTTGTGAAAGGAAATCTCCATCTGAAGCGGCTATATTTGAAAAAACTCCTTCGAATATCTTTCGTGCAGTCGTCAAATGTTAAGACAAATTGAAAAGTAACATGAAGTTGGGTAGGTTTGATTCGCGAAATTTAACGCTATTGACTTTACGATAGTAAAACCCCGAGAAATACCGTCTCGCCAAAAGCGCCAAATTAAGTACAAATAAGGTAGTTTATAAAATCAGTGGACCTTTTGTAAGTATGAGTGAAGTAAATCTGATTTTGAATGTATGTTTAATAGATGTATCCCCACTTATTTCTGTAATTGTAGTTTAAACGAAATATTTAAGTGAATCGCTCTACATGAACACTTAAAAGATTGTACTTGTTGTTATCCTATTGCTGGTAGCGCCCGTGGGCACTATGAAGCGAATACTGTGTTCTGATTGGCTAGTGGTGCGGGTACACAAAGTTCGTAATTTTTGGATAATGTCGGCTATGGAGTCACAAAAAGTGGCAGAAGACAGTCAAAACAAAAAAACATACGCGACTCTCGCTGGTCTGTTGTGCTACAAGCACAGTTCGCTTTGTCAGAACAAATGTCAGACCAAAATAATTTTTTAAAGGAAGAAATGTTACTGTCGCTGGTTTGAGGTTGACTCAAAGATAATCACGAGTTTTATCAGAATACGATTACTGTCGCAAATTTGTTGTTAACTCTCCATTTATAACAGGAGTTTTTCGCGTTTTTCATTTTCTCCCTATGGTTGTCATCAAAAATTAGAACTTCAAATCGGCTAGCAATCGGCAAATCATTTCTTTCGTCGACTAAACGGTTTTTTAGGGACATTTAATCAACCATTGCGAGGAACATTTCAAATGTCCGCATTAAACTGCTTTCTAAACTTGTTTCCATACTCCTCGGCGAGCTGTTTGAAAGCTACTACCACATTATCCTCCTCGGGACCCAGCTCTTCAAGAGAAGCACTGAGAAGAAAGAAAAAGTTCAAAGTTATTTCCCTAATAAATACCTTAATACTTCCTGACCTAAACTTACTTAGCCAAGATCTCCTGCCATGCGACTTTTGGAATTTACCGTTTAATTTCTTAGTGGTTGCAGCTCAATGGACGAAACAGTAAACTTAAGTGTCCGTAAACTTGTCAGCTTTCGACCATAACGGTTGGAACTATCGACAAAAACTACAACAACACTTAACCCAATGTTTTCTTTTGTTCTAGTGTACAACGTTTACTTTCGCACTTGCCCGTTAAGTTTCGTTAGATGATTAGGACTGGATGTTGCACTAGTCGTAAAACATTGAAAGGTCGACACTACACCACAAACAACCATTCTTTACCTGATTGACTTGATGGTTAGGAGAAAATCCTTTAATATTTGAAAAACTTCTCCAGCCTTGATTCTGCGAAATAAACGTGCATTCGACTCATAGTCATGCCTGAAGAAAACTCCCAAAGATCCGTTTGAACAATAGTGGTATGTGAGCCACTAAAAGATATGCAAGCCTATAGCAAGTGTTTTCTTTGAATCTTTTAGCTAACCGCACCCAATGTTAACTGGTACGGAACGTGGTGTCTCTCCAGCCATGGGGATTAGCTTTGCGGTTAATTTACAATGCACTTTTCTTCCCTAATGCTTGGCAATCGACAAACAGAGGCTTACGAGTAAAGGATGACTTGAGGGGTTAGTAAAAATTCAAAGGCAAGTGACTTACAACTGTCACAGGGTGCTTCAAAGCATGAAGCGACCAAGGGTAATGATGTGTTCCTCTGTTAGTCCACTGTAGGTTGTCTAAGCATTTCAGTGGATTTCTCTAACATTTTGTACTCCTAAGTGAAGAGTGGCTCTGTGATGAAAGTGTTTAACTCTAAAAATTGATCTCTCCTCGATCCAGCGATTAAGATGCCTCCTCGCTTCTTTCACCAGAGTACTTTTACAAATACATCTGTGATTTATTTACTGACCTGTTTTCTCTCCCAATGACTTTAACAGACCCGTGCTTGAAAAAATCCAGAGCATAAGCATTCAAGGGCAGAGCACTTCCAACTGAGTTGCAATTTTTCAGACGGAGGATGGGAACAACATTGATGTCGGTATAAACATCTTGTCGAACAATCTGAAAGAAAAATTCGACGCCGAATTTGGTAACGGTGTTAAATTGGTGATGTAACTACTTGAACTGCCACAGAGCGAAATAAAATTCGATTGCAAAGTTCAACGTTTAACCGTTGTTAAAATACACAAAAACTTTTAAGAAGTTATAAAAACTGTTCGTAAAGTATTTTTACGACGTTTCAACGATGCTTCACGAAATTATAAAATCAAGAAGGGCAAGTGAAAACATATAAAGTACTGAAAAAGAATAGACAGATTGTTTTCTAATGGATATAAGGTAAAAAACTCATAAACTCATATTAAGCATGCAACTTTCTCAGAATCAAAAGTGTCAGTTAATAAATTTAACCAGTGTTTGATCGTTTAGGTTGTTTTAGAAAACTTCCACCAAATGAAGTGCAAGCACTTTCCACAGGCTTTTACAAGTATACTAAAATAACGAAAGAACAAAATGCATGCAACTAGCGAAATTACGTCGAAAGTAATAGAGAATTTTTTTTGGAATTTTAATGGGCACGGGGTATTGGGAAACTTTTTTCACCTCAAGGAGATGATCAATTGGTTCTTCCTCCTCATTTTCTTCATCAAGCTGAACTGTCACGTTCTCTTTGGCTACTTCGGTATCTCTTTCGTCTGATTCCGGATAACTAGCTGCGGTACCGCTCGAAGAATGCAATTTTAAGTCTGAATTTCCCGACAATGCAGCGAAGGAAGAGCAGGCGGAGTACGGTATAGATGAGGACACGAGCCTTTTGATAATATCGTGCTTGTCATCGTCACCAACACTTGCTTCCTTTGGAAATTCTACAAAAGAAGTTTACTCCGTTTGATAAATAAGAACGTTTAACATCAAAATTGAATTTACATACGTTTTGTGTTTAGCTTAGCCTTGCTCACGAGTTTGTTTCTATCTTTTGAACCATTTCCACAGGTACAGTGAACACCAATTAACTAATGTACGATGTAGTTCGTATGGGAATGTGGACTGAAGTCTGTAAACAAAGGAGAGGGGCCCATTTTAGCCCAGAATGAGAATTTTGCTAAGAATTATCCTCTCCGATCTGGAAATAGAATTGGCAAAATAGCACCAAGCCTTTCTTTTTGCCTTTGCACAGAATTGACTCGTCGGTGTCACCTGCCGAAAAAAAGACAAAGAAACAAACACTGACAGAACATGTCAAGTGTAATTCAAATCAAAGATGTGAAAGACAAATGATTGTTTTCACGAGAAAACAGAGCCTTGCAATGCGAAGGAACTGGTCATGGATCAACTTGAAAATTTTACTTCCCGCCAAAATAACCAATAACTCATAGCACGGCGAACATTGGTAAAAAAAAAAAATTGTAAAATAGGAAATCATAAGGGATCGTATTTTACCTATGCCCGATAAAGGGAGTTTGTTCTCCTCTCCTCTTTCCTTTTCGAGGTCTGCAGCCACCGCAGTGAGGTACTGACTGAAGACATCTGTGACTTGGCGGTTGTACTCTCTTAGAGCTGAAGCAAACTCATCTGGAAGATCCTCCAAAATTACCTTGAAAGGGAAGAGATAGATAGAAGAAAAACAAAAACCGAAAAACCAACAAATGAGAATCATCTATTTTCAAAAGCATAGGAAAGCTACTGATAGTCAAACAACGAAACGGGCGCAACTGAGATACAGCTAAGTTCCTTGAATTATGCTCTAATAATGAGAAGAAGTATATATGTACGGTATTCGATTTGTCTTGACGGACGGTTTAGAAACTTACTCTTACCAGTTAAGCCACTCAAAGACGACTTCGGTCAAAAAGTGCACGTTAAATGCCAATTAACTTCTCTACAAAGACCAGTTAATAAATAACTGAGCCCAGTTTTTTAAATGATGGATAACTCTATCCGACGGATAAATCACTGACCAGGGGATAAGGGTTAACAAAATTTACAGCGCTATGCACCGGATAGAGATTTATCCAGCAGATAGCGTTATTCACCCATCGAAAAACCGGTGCTTGATCGACGAGAAAGCGTTTTCTTGACATACTGACAAGTTTTAATTTTTTTAAGTACTTTTCTTTTGCAATACTTATTTTGTTAGCTACGATAGAACTGTATCTCTCCCGATAAAGGCCCTAAATTACTCTTCTATCTCGCCATTAAATGGCCACTTCTCTGAAAAGGCCAAATTTACGTGCACTAAAGAACGGTATGATTAAAGATATTTTGGGTGAGCATTAGGCGGGCGTCAAGATTGAGTGACAATACTGACCAAACTCGTCATTATGATACGTTATCATTAATGCTAAATGACAAAAACTAACACAATTTTACATAATAAAGCGTGTTAAAACAGCCTAGCATTTTTTAAGATTTACAAATACATACTTTTGACGTCGAGCATAAATGGACCGTTCGTTTGTATGAAGCGTGAAGGGATCGTCTGCCGAACAAGTGGCTTAGAACGAGCACCATCTTCCTCAACACGTCGTCTGAGAATTTTCCTGTGATGGCAATCGATTGTATGATATCATGAGGATTCTAATCTTCCATAACCTTTGGTTGGAGGCTGTGAATATTTCGTACAAAAGGAAGATAAATAGTTCTTACCATTCTCTCCTGGCTCACAAATCTTGTGGAAGAGACCGCGTTGAAGAAAACTAACCAACACATAGTTTGAGGGCTCATGATAGTGAAGGTGTGTCGCCAGTCCTGCCATCTGTAGAGGAGCGCCGTTTTCTTGTTTTACAAGACCCTGCAAAGAAAGGATTTGCAGGATTTAAGCGAGCTTAAAAGTTTATAGTAAGACTGTTGAACTGCAACAGCAAGTATGTGATCACTTAACTTGAAGCCAATAAAAAAACTGGTAACCAAGGAAAATAAGGATAGCTGTTACTAGCAAAACAGTTCTACCTTGCCCCTCATTTCAGCAGTCGAAAGGATCTGATGTTAATACTCACCAATCTGGTAAGAAGCTCGACGCAGAATAAGAAATGTTTCTTGATCTGGCTCTCCATTTCGGGGTGAGTAATGGAGATGAAAGGGTGCGACAGCAGTGAGAGAGCCTGAAAATGAGAGTACGTGCATAACGTGCTGCGTTCATGAATCGATTAATTGGGATTTCGCACATTACTGTGTAAATAAGTGAAAGAACTGACCATTTTTTTTACGTAAATTTCGTAAAATCTCACCGGTAAGTTTTAAATTATGTCTATAATGAAATAAGTTCTAGAAGTTCATTTCCTCGTCTTTTTAGTAGCTGAGGACGAAGAAGAAAAGTACTTTTATGAAAGACTTCAAACAAGCTGTAGCTGTTATCTTGCGACACAATTCATATCATCTTCAGAGGGAAGAAAGCTGATTATTGATAAAAACTGGCCACAATCGTGCAAAATATTTAGCGCAAAGAAATTGGTGAATTATTGGAGAAGAATTATGGAGGCGTCTTTCCTACAAACCTTTGTGAGAGCATCCTTTTGATCATCTCCCTTTGATGTTATCAGAAGCAAGCGCAACACCAGTGATACGTTAATGGGGAAGTTCCCAACAATCTTTGGAACATTGGCTGTGATAAGACGTTGAACTTTACGGTAAGGAACTCCAAAAAACACTACATTTCCTACAGGGTCAAAACCTCGGCGACCTGCCCTGCCAGACATCTGATATTAGAGAGATGAGAGAGTGAGATTAAGTCCAAATTTAAATTTGTTGTAAATAAAAACTATCTTTTTCTGCCTGAAGAAAAACTTGTGGACATAAAAGAAAAAAATCTGACTGAACAGTGGTGTAGTCATTATCATTGAAATGCTTCGATGAATAGAGAAGTCCAATAGGAGTACTGAAAGAGTAAAGACCCCTTGACAGGGTTAGATCTACTTTCAGGGCAAGACAGATACTAGAAAAGACTCCGTCCATACTAATATCATTCTTATATATGTTATTTATTACAGACAAAGAGAGCTACATGCAAAATGGTGTTATTTGTGTCGATCGCTATCTTTTGGGGTACTATTTTCGTTGGAAACACGTTACTGCCCTTGCCTGTTTCATTCGTTTGCATTCCTTGAAATTACAGACACCTGCTGTTTCAGTGGGTTCGCTTGTCTGTGGAAACGAATTTTTTCTCTGTAGGAATACAAACTTTGTTTTAAAAGTGCTCTCACCTGTCTGTACTGCAAAGAATTTAAGAAGGGTGAATCTCCAGCAAACACGACCGTTTTACAAGGCATATGAATACCAAGGGCCAAGGTTCCTGTTGCTGTAACGACCTAAAGGGAACGAAAAAAAAAGAGACTCCCGAGTCTTTATATACTGTTCCGTTACTATATTTTTTTATCGAAACGTTTTCAATAGGTGAGGTACATAGATTAGCTGTACGCAATAGCAAGGTAAAATAAAGGGGAAGACAGAAACTGAACAAAATGTCAAAGAAGGTTTGTGTGACAAAGGCCACCGGCTGCAGTTGATAACAGCAAACCAAATTAGTGCGATACCAATGAGGCCGCTGTGCCATTTTTATCTTATCCTTTCGTGATATTTCACATGTATTTTGTTTCTTTTTTATCCTGCTGTTTCAACTTCATTCTGGCTTGGGCAAGAGCTGCACATCTTTATAAGTCATATTTTAAATCATATTGTTCTGCCTGTAATTTTAAGCAATCGTTTTAAGAAAAAGCTATGCCTCAGTGCTACTTACAGTCAGGTTAGAAAAAAAAATTATATTATATTCCTCCACGTCATTATTTAAACGTCCACCTACTTTTCCAGAAACGAGCAGTCAGTAAAATAATACCTGAAGATACTTCTTTCTAAATAACATCTCCACCGTGCCACGTAATGTGTTTTTCAGTCCAGCATGATGGTAACTGATTCCTCGTCTTAAAGCTTCCTTAAATCGTGAGGTCTCAGGCGTAGACCTAATGCGATCCATGATCTTCTTTAAATCCTACAAAGTAAATGGCCAACCTCTGTTAAGGCAAACTTTACGTCCGTTACATCTGTACCCGGGTTTTTTTTTGTCACATTCTGTTTGTAGTCTGATCATCCTTTTTGACGTAGTCTATCTTTTTCCCTTGGTCAGGTGATTATAGTGATGCGCGCGCTTTGACTGGTCGATGATCGCGTCATATCTCGCTATAATCATCTCGCGCGAGGTGATTATAGAGGGGTCCTTAATATTCAAAATGGCTACCTCGCGTTTTGTCAATGTTACGTAGGAAGTGGTAAACGTAATAGAAGAAACTTCGGATTAATACCAGTATCTGGGCAACTGCCCTCCTACCCCTCCCCTAACCCAACATTAACCTTAAGTTGTTATCAATTGACTGTTGTTGAGTTAGGGGAGGGGTAGGTGGGCAGTTGCCCAGATACTGATATTGATCCGAAACTTCAATTTCAAAGAGCACTAGAGATGCCACTAGCTTTGACGTAACACTTTTCAAGGCTAAGACATAAATTATTTGCTAATTAAATTAAGTTAAAAACCATTAAACTTTAGTGGGAGCTGCTTACTTATGCCGAAACGAGTAATCAGAACAATTGATACCAAGTATGCACAATGTTTTCTTTATTCATCAAATGCTTTCAATAACAAAACAAATTTATAACAGAATTTGAAAGCACCCGAGCAATTATACTACAACAATTATTCACCTCAGGTTCAGGGAATATTGCGGAATAATCCCCTCGACCTCGTCTCAAGCATTTTTCACAAATATTCACTTCGCCTTCGTTGAACAATTGTTAAATAATATTAAATAGTCGTCGGATGCTCCCTACCTTGACTCCAATTTCGCGTGTAGAGGCTAATGTGCAACCTGGTAAAGGATCAGTTAAGAATGAAAAGTCTTTCTCGTACTGTTGTCTTACTTGGTCGTCCAATCTGCTAAGAGAACAAGCCCTGAAGTCTTACATAATTTTTCATCATAACATGACGTATTCGGTCGCATACATGTTCAATGGAATCTAAATGGCACTCGACGAGATATATCATGCAGTTACTATTTAAATTACTTCCGTTTACCTTTCTTCTTTTGCTCTCTCTGCCTCTCCATCTCTCAGCCTTTTAGATTCCTTGTTCGCCTTTTGTACCCTCTTTAGGGCAAACTTCAAGTCTTTCCCGCCATTCTGGCCTTTAATATCCTCCTCTTTATTTCGAAAGTGTTGAGCGAGTCCAAATGCCAACACTTCGCATAAGTTGCGGTCAAAGCTAATAAAAACAGAGTGATATCATTAATAAAGCCCACTGAGTGAGATAGCTTTTTCGATATTTACTCAGTTATTTTTTGTTAATATGCCTCCCACATATCGTGAATTTTCATCTTTTCAATATGATTTATTTCGAACGTTCGCATTTGCATTTACGAAAAATGAGTCCAAGTTATGTGCATCGTCCCAATTGGCATTCTGATCGTCATTTGCCTTTTTCCTATTTTCTTTATTTCTAATCATTTTTTTTCAGTGTGGCTTATACATGAAAACCGTATTGAGGTTGAACCTTAATCCCTTGCTACGCATGTCACTGAACGTCAATCCCTTTCCCTGGATGAAACAGTATCTATATTACCTGAAAACCAGAGCGGGCAGTTTTTCTTGAGCCTTTAGCTGTTCCACAAGCTTTGGGAAATTTTTTTCAATGAAAATTTTTCCCGACGAAGGCATTCCTAGCTGAGTCCATTCCTTTTCAGTCGAGGCCTGTTTCTCCACCAAAACAGAATTCAGTGACTGTATAACGGCTCGAACCTGGAGCAACAAAAAGTAGCTTAATGATGATTAGTGCAGATTAATGCAGAATTGTACTTTAGTTAGTAAATCAGTTAGTTTGCGAGCCCGAGAATAGAACGATGAGATGCAAATGGTATGAAGACCTGTAAAAAATACCAGCTTATCCCTTTACAACGGTATTTCACCAAAACATCGTACCTTTTATGGACTAAGGCCCCCATAGGACTCCCATATAATATATGACTGATACAACGAAGAAAAAATGCAAAGGATGTAACAGATATGCGTCTCGTTGACTTCAGGTTAAACAATCGTGTTGTTATTAGTAACACGAATCCTTTAAATTATAGTTTAAATAATAGCGTGGAGTAGTAAATAGAAAGCATGGGTTCCAAAGGCTAGGGTTCATAGGGCTTTAATCTACGTCAAAACATTTTTTATTTATCAATACAACGGCAAACAACGCTCACACATCACAAACGATTTGCAACGAATCCTTTGGCAATATACCCTTCACCTTCTCAAGATGTTTTTCATCGGCCCAAGACTTGAATTCCCTCTTCAGGTCCTTTTCGTACTTTCGTGCGCAGCTCTTGTCAATGAACTTATTTTTCTCAAAGTACTTCTCGGGGGAAAGTTTCTATAAAGAAAACACAAAATAACAAGCTTTGGTCACCAAGTCGCGGTATTCTCTGGACAGTCAGTATGAAAACACCGTTATTTGAGACTTTGTGGAATCTAGTCTTGCAAGAATAAAAATAGCTTAGAGCGATAAGACCTAATCTTTCTTATGACCAATATCTACAGTGGACAGGCATGTAACTGTAACGTGTAAGATTGAAGTCTTATTTAAAAGCTACGTACTGACCTGCAAGGATTCTTTGTCTGGCCAGTGCATAGTCATAACGTCAAAAAGTTGTAGAGATTCTTGTGGGGTGAAATCCATATCTCTTGGGAAGGAATTCTCTTGTAGCTAATTGGAAACAACAATTTGTCATTGGAAGCTTCTTTAACGATGGTCGAAACCATAGGACGGTTTCAACTGACCGTCGAAAAACCTAAATCAAGGTAATCACTTTGGCCAGTTTGGCCAAAATTAACGTCATCTCTAGTCAGTGAAAACTCAAAGAAAAAAACGAAGACTAAAGCGCGGGAAAACGAGGACGATCAAGTCACGATTGGTTTTCGTACTACATATGATTGGTTTAGAAGTTGGTTTGCGTTATGTTATCCAGACCAATCACAGACCAAAATAAAGCAAAAAAAGCAATCCCCGATTATTTGCGACACTCAGCTGAATTTTTTTTTTTAATCGATCAATGTAAATAAATTTACCGCATAATTTATACATATATTTTTAGGTAGGTATATATATACAGAATAATAGACGGGCTAATGAGTGAGATGTTGAGTTGAACAAGAGAAGAGAACTTTCATATCTACATGCCACCATGTATTACTTTGTTTATCGTATAAACACAATAGCCCCATTACTGACAAGAAAAGTCAACTTTATTAATGTATGACAAGAAAAGGATCGACAATCCTCGAATTAAAATCGTAAAGTGCGTTGGCGCTAAGGCTCACGATGAAAAAATGCGTTGAAACACTACAAAAACAAACAATGGGCGTAATTTTCAATAGACAAAATTCTCAGTCATTGGCTTGGTCCTTACCGTCAGAAGAAATCTTCCAGGTACACGGCCAAAATCGGCCTGTGGCAAATCTTCCAGTTGTCAATTTTCGTTCTCAGCCGTGAGAAATATCATTACCTAAGCCACTGAATACGTAACTTTCGGTTTTTTTTGTTTTGTTTTCCTCCCCTTCTAGGAAAGTTTAAACGTTGCTGTCTGTAGGCGTTACGGATTTGTCAGTGTTTTAGCAGCCATAATCCGAAAAAATCCCGACAAACGACCTTGGATTGAGAATGGTGAAGGATTCACCCTTCATTCATCAACCTGACCGCGAGGCGCAAAAGGCGATATCAAACACACGTGAAAAATACGATATCTTTTCACGTGTGTCGTAACGGCTTTTCTCAGGGTTGAAAATCCTTGTAAAACACTGTATAATTCATATGATAAAAACCATTATCAGAAAAATACATGTGAGAACTCATGGACCAAAAATCCTTACGCTTTGTAAATAAAACTTACGGATATTCTCTAAAAGCTGAACAATGGCTGTTCTTTAATTGACTGTTCACCTGTTTTGCTCCGAGCTGAGCACAAGGATGAAGTCTCACAAACTCTCCTGTCGCTTTGACATCGCAAACACCCTTGTATTCCTTGGACTCTTCAGAGAATTCCCCATTACTGGGACTCGGAAGGTATACACTCTTTTCCAGATCTGAGTATCTTTCATGAAAGTTAACTACAAAAATATACCAGAAATATGTTATTAGACAAACTGTGTGGCATGGGGATGACCTTTGTTGACCCTCTCACACTTAGGGATAACCCAAAAAAAAGATTTCTCCCTACAATATCAGTATGGTTCAAGAACTGCGGTCGTTTTGCTAACGACCAGTTTGCTAACGTCCTAGGTCGTTTTGCCAGCGTCTCAGGTCAGTTCGCTACGTCTCATAGGTCGTTTCGCAAACCTAGTTATCTAGATAAGGTTTAAATTGACTTTTGATTTGCGTTGAGTCAACCCCAATGCGCAAACTCAAGCATTACATATTCGAAGACCATCGAAAGACCCCTCTATGACTGAGGTAGCGGATTTATTTTTTCGCTTCACCTAGTCTGATTCTGTAGGACTCTCTCATCTGGCCATTTTCTTGTTTGTCTTGCTGCTCTCGAAAGTTTTGAGCGGCTTGCAACCACCTACAAAAAAAAAGACGTATGATTCTCCTCGTGATTTTATTTAAAAATGCATGACTAACTTGTATACGTTTTAACATCGTTTTAACATCGGCGTAATGAGAAAATTTCGTAGCATTCAATACAAAACATTCTATTTTGTGCCATTTGCAACAATTCTTACTTTGTAAGGTCATCTGGATTTCCAATGGTTGCCGAAAGCGCCAGAAAGGGACAGCGAATGAGAAGAAGAAGATGCTCCCAGACTTCAGCTCCAATCTCTTGACCAAGACAGTGAACCTGCAGTTTTAAAGTGAGGGAGAAATTTTGGCTAAAGTATAGCCTAAGTGAGTGAGGTGAAGCAGTAAACTTGTTTTATTGGCTTTAAACGATACCACAAAGTTTATTAAGCCTGAATAGTAAGATATGTTCCATCGAATCCCAGGAAAAACGTTTTACGACTTCAGAGCAACTCTTACTATTGTTCCCTTGTATCTATCTTTAGGTAGAATTGACCTTCCAACCATCCGTGTTCCAACATCCAATGCTATTGCCATAATTGAACCAAGTCAAGCAATGACAACTGTTTATGAAAACACGGATGAAGATCAAACGTCTACGAAGTGATGATGAAGGAACGTTAATGTGAACTTTGGGAACTTAGTTACATAACTTAAGTATAAGTGATATAACTACATTATTGAAGGAGGCAAAACTGCACAACGTAAATATCGTAACCTCTTGGCGTTGATTCTGCCTTTTCCAAGCTGCAACTTCATTACAAAGAATTAAAAGTAATTTTGCGAAAATTACTGTCAGAAAAGTTCTCAGTTCTTTTACCTCATCGAAGATTACGTATCTAACTTTTTTTGTCCAATCCTGTCTACGAGGCGAGAGAAAAAGTATCTCCAAACATTGAGGAACTGTAACAAGGATCTGCCGGGAATCAAAAGACAGAGCTGAAAAAAGTTATTATATATTTCCGATTTATACTCAATCCACGAGCCAAATAGAGAGAAATTTCAAAAGGAGAAAAATACGATATAGACTGACGAGTTTTCAATCAGAGAATGATTCCATGAAGGAATTTATGTCAACTGTATTCCGTTAAGATCACTTATTATAAATATTGTTTTCCGTCGACCGTGTGTATTTTGTTTGCTTAGAAATGATGAGATTCCTTCTTGTCTTGAGTGCTGCTGGTCACGTTTGCTTACCTGAGAGTTCAACGTGTTGAATCGATAATCCCTCGTGAAAACACCATACACTGCCCTTCCCCATGGAAGCTCTTTACGATGAAAGCGAGCGTACACTGTTGCTGCAACTTGATTTACTAAGGCCTAAATGATCAATGCATCAGTTATTAAAACCTAAACAATCCAAAAGCCAGAATAGCTTTAAGATAAGTATTGGACATTTGTGACCATACCACCACTCATACAGACCTCACGCCCTTTAACAAGTTTTAGACGAGATGCCATGGTGAGGTATAAAATCAGTTGGCAGTTGGCAGTTACACAAGGTAACCATTTACGTCGAGGCCACCTGCCTCTAGGCAGCTGCATTTCACGAGACGAGGTCGTTCAGCTATTAAGGATAAATTCAAGAGAACTTGGTAAACTAAATGGCTGCAACTGGTAAATTTACCTTTGTTGGGGAAACATATACCACCACACCATCGTTGTCTTGAGTCAGAACTTTCTCCATGCAGTAGTATGAGGCAAAAGTCTTTCCCGACGAGGTGGGTGCCACTATTACCGCTGACTCGTTCTTATCCACAGCGTCAAGAAGTTCACGCTAGAAAATATTTGAATAACCACAAGATTAAAAAAATGAAAAGAAAACTTCGACGAGACGGAAGCAAAATTCACACAGGGCAGATTTTGTTTTTTCTTCGTCTATAATAGGCCTCCATTGAAATTCAAGTATTGAAAGCATTTTTAAAAATGCTTTAATACTTGAATTTCAATGGTTGAGTTCAGTGGAGAAAAATGGTTAAAACTGTTTTCAAAGTTTCTTCACTGAACTTAACCACCTCCTCTTCTCCTCGACGGTTTTTACGAGAGATTTTAATTCGTATTAATATGCAGTAAAAAATTGTTATAATACCTGCCATGTATCTAGAATGAAGTGGTCAACCCTCTGGTCACGATCAGTTCTTGTTTCCCGCTTGAGTAAATGACCCATGCAGGCAAGTTGGAATCTTGCGCTTGTAGTGTGGACCGATAGCTGTTGAGCCTTAGGTAATAAATGGGCAAAAATGGTCAGAAGACCAAGGACGAATTCACTGAAATCACGAGTTAAACAGTGCACTTATATGAAATAATTGAGGTGATAAGTGCACTCCCATAAGTCGATAGTCATGTCAAGTTTAGAGTATGTAAACACGGTTCGACGTTTTAGATTCGCGTGCATTTTGCAGAACTATTATATTACAGAAATAAGGCTCTTTCTCCGTGTTCAGATAGCCTCATCTAAACACTCAGAACGTAGGGAGAATGTTCAAAACTTAAGCAAGCCCTTAACTGCATTTCAGCTTAACGTAAGTACAGCTAATTCAAATTCAGCGGTTCCCTTATTCTTCAGATAAAGCTATATAAACACGGAAAAGTGAGATTTCTCGGACTATATAGCCCTGAGTGAACTCTCTTAGGAGTCGCTTGAAACAATAGCGGTAGTTTGTTTCATAACCAGTAGATGTTATTCGCTGAAAACTATACCTCCGTCTCTGCGGAAATTTGTCATTCACAGCTATGTTAGTATCATTTAATTTCAAGAATTGTGTCTGAAGTTGGGGTGTAATGTTGAGGCAGTATCATAAATTCCAAGATTACTTGAAAAAGGAATTGTGCAACAAAAGAGGACATCATACTACAATATTTTTGTGTATACGAGTACGTTGTAGCACTAAGCACACATTTTATCTCCTGGTTATTAGATATAGGAAAGGAACAGCATAAAGCCAAGCTCGTTTGATCTGACGATACACACTTTTCTTTCACTTTCTTCAGGTAAATCGTAAAGCGTCGCTGCAATGTCATCGAATCCCAGCTTCCGCATAAATCCAGCCAGTTTCTTTTTGTCTTTGTCGGTGAGAAGGCTGTGGAAGTCTTCAGCCATTTTCTGAACACTCTTTAGCAGCAGCACAGGATATTTCATGTCATTAGATCCGGCGTTAGCAGCCCCTACAAAATGCAAATGACTGCAGTTTGGTTTGGGTAATTTTGTTACAATCCCAAACTTGAAAAATGAAAGTAATCGCTAGATACACATCGAGAAAACGAGAGAGCCATGAGAGAGAATTATAAAACATGAGTAAGAAATACATCCTGCTTGTACTCAGAATTCGACGGTTTCAGAACACACCAATGAAACAGGACACGTTCTTTATTGATTATGACTCTTAGTGGTACACACGTAGGGTCAAAGAACCCATCCACTAAAGACTTCATCCAAATAACATCAAAAGAGATAACGGAATCGAAATTCCTGAAGCATGGATGCTAATAGTACTTTATCTAAGCGACAAAGTTGAGGGAGAAAAATCGAAATATAATGAAAACGATTCACTTTTCCCTTTTTCACCTACTTGTCTGCTGCCAGGCTACAAGATAACTTTGTGCCTTTTTCATCAGCGCTTCGAGATGAAGTTTGGGAGTTTTGCAATCTGCGAGATACTTATCGACTAATTGCAAAGCAGTACTGAAGTTATCCTTCTTCAAGTTTTTGTCAATGTTTATATGAATGTTGCTCCATTTTTTTTTATCTTTTAGTCTTTCTTCATCTGCGGAAAATTTAAGTAAAAAACGACATATTTTCGTTAGTGTCCTCAACAGTAATTTTGAAGCAGGTGAACAACTCCCTCTGTAGAACCTTTAACCAAACTTTTGCCGTCCGTACACTGCTTTTTGTTATTACAACTTATGCGAAACATCAGTGGTTCGCCTCATCGAAACCTGAATAACTAAGTTAAACCTTTCACATTTGACAAATACCACAAGGTATTTCCTTGAATAAGTGACAATGCTCTAATAAGCGCCTTCCGCCAATGAAGCATTCACCCTAAGGGGCCATCGGTTCAAACAGGCGCCCCCCCCCTCGAATAAACCCCCTCCTTCCTCACTTAATTAAATAGTAGGGAAACTACAAAAAATTTTTCCATTGTCACTTCATTATATAACTCTAACTCAACTTCAACTACAGCGGAATCAGTGAAGGACCATACTTTCTTTTCCATTCCACTTATTTCTACCTCCATGTGCTTGCAAAGTCTTTAATGTGCGTTATGTTTTCTTTTAATTTTTTGTCCTACTGCTGCGCCCCCCTCTATTAACTGCTCTCCTGCCAATAGGCGCCCCTTCTTTAGGCCAAAATTTTTAATAAGTGCCTAGGCGCTTATTCTAGGAAATACGTTATTCGAGAAATCAAGTGTAACTGATTCCTTAGCCGAGTTCTAAAGAAGCGCGACTGCTGATGAGATATGATTGAAGAATTCAATAAATTGTTCAATCCCATGGTCAGCCACGTCAACCTTCATATTAGTTCTCTAAGACTGCGTTAAGGATACCATGTTATACTAAATGCCGTGAAATTGTCATGATGTTGCTCAATTACGGTACTCAGTTTAGAAGTGCTCAAAATATTTTCATGATTTAATTCCATAAATTGACACTTTATTTTGGGAGAGGCACGTGACATTGATATTAATCATGTAAGAAACAAACCTTTGCGTCTTTTTTTGTTCTGCTCGATGATTCGTTTCGCGCTTCCTCCCTGCAAAAAATAATTTTCCCGAGTTGAATCTGGCTGAACACATAAAACACTATTACGGCAAAAAATTTAGACAAAAGTTTTATAATAACAAAGATTCCCACCGTCTTTCCATCCTTTTTCTTTCCTTTCTTCTTATTTGGGGTCTCTTTCTTGACGATTATACTTTTCGCTTTGTCGAAACCACCAACAAGTGAGTTTCCGTACAATTTTTGATAGCGAAAGTACTTATCCCTTTGTTTCAAATACCACTTTCTTTCTTTGGGATCAGTCGGGGGCTTATCTGAAGAACGAAGGTGTGAAATATTGAGTTCATAGTTTGCGACAAATGGCTTACGGTACTTTAGAAAGGTTTTCTCCACCAGAAAAATTCCTTAAGTTGGATGAAATAGGGATGCATTTCTTGATTTATGGGCGTGAGTGATGCTTTGAAAGTTTTCGTAATTTCACGAACTGTAAGCGAGTGCGATTGAAAACCTATCAAAGCAACATGATTGACCAACAGTAACAAAAAGCCAGAAAAGCTCTTGCAATTTTTGGTTCATTCACGTCTTCGGGGGCACTGTTCAGCATGTGCTCGTTAGTTTTTGAATTGATCCTTTTACACAATTATTGCTACTTCCAAACCAAGTTTAATTTATTTCGAAATATTTTAGAAGTGTAAATTTTCATTCATCTTTGAAAGCTGAAATTTCAGAAGAGTGCATGGCGGAAATCCCGTAGCGCACCCTACAATCTCTTTATCCATTTTTCATCGACCAATCAGGAACGACAAATTTTGTTGAGTATAAAATAACTTTTTACAGTGCTGGTTCCCACGTTTGGCCTTAAGGGCCTCACCTGCAAAAGACTGCTTTGTCCTGTCGAAATCATCAGTTAGTGGCCTGAGAGAATGCCAGTGGTACTGCTCATCAAATTCTTTGCCAATCATCAACACTTCGTCTTCGGTCTCTCCTCTAAAAGGGGAAAATTGAACAGCCCTCTCTGAAGAGAGTATTTTCTCACGCAATTCCGTAAAACATGCAGGGTACTTTGAACGACGTAAACTTTGTTGCAAGGTCTTACCCAGCCATGGCGTTAATTCTTGATCGAATATCACCAACGTACTCACTCACAAGAGTACTTCCAACGTCAAGTAGCCTTTTGAGCTTCGCGCCGGAGTAATGATCTGGACTTGTTCCTGAAACAAACACTGATAATTTCACTCGATGGCCGTTAATCTCATTAAAAAGATTCTGACAGAGCCAGACGGTACCTTTAAAAATACAATTTTCTAACAAAATGAACTTATTAGATTAATCAAAACTTGCAGCTTGCAAGTTTTACATTTTGTTTCCCTTTCCATTTTGAATTGCAAACTAATTTGTTCCCGAAAGAGAAAAGTTTAAAACTTTATTTTAGACAAAAAAGGGACAAGAAACGTGTAGGAACCATTCACATCCAAGTGATTTTATTTAACGTGTAGAAAGCTACCGTGGAAAAACTAAGTCGAATGTTACTTACCTTCCTCCTGATAAAGGCTTGTAGAACTTCCGTCAAACAAAGGAAAAAATTGATTTTGTAGAGAATCTGAATGACATGATCCGTTCACAAGAACGACAACTTTCTCCCATGCAGACTCAACATCTCGTTTAACATCCTGGGGTAGACTAAGGTCTGATGCATATGACAAAACACGTGGTGTAAGTATATAAGGTTATAGTTGCCTCGAAGTCTTTGAAAGAACGGTTAATAACAAGGGCGAAAGATCGCTGTTTTCGTATTCATAGAAGATTATATTTAGCTGATCATATTCCCAAAAATAGCGTAGCGTAGCTATTGGTGGGAATATGGTGACGAATGACGCATATAAGCACACGCACAACCCACAATTCCTTCAACCGCTCTGACGAAGGGCCAACGCCCGAAGTATCAGTTTTGAAACTCTTTTCGGTGGCCAATTTACGTTGAAAAACTCAGTTGATAATAATAAATTAGAAATTTTATACAGTTTGCTACATAGGTGAAAGGTGACGCCAACAAAATTAAAAAAATGAATGGGAGCTCCATCATTTCTACCAGCCTGTTTCTTAGAATTTGTAAGTAACTTTTAGACTCAATCTGACAACAGACCTTTTGATCCCTGGGACATCTGTTTCAAGATATGCCAGAAGAGAGTATGGACTAGGCGTCCGTCCATTAAATCTGCCATTGAAGTCATGTCTAATACATTTGCGGCAATGTCTTCTTTATAAGCATCTCTCAAAGCTGATTGTATCATTTTCAAAATCTGCCATAAACTTGTATGGATCTGTTACACGATATAAACAAACTACCTTTAACTAATACAACTCAAATACGACTACATAAATGTAGACTCTTAGAACCGACCCAAGATGGAAACGACAAGAAGCGCCAATTTCAGGACAGTTATTTTCTTTGGCGCCTAAACTTTCGTGAGGACGTCGTAAAGACTAACACACCCTTTCTACTCTTTCTGTATGGAAGGGTGTAAGGGCAATGGGAATGTTAGTGAATTCCATAATCAGATGTCAGTCACTGTTAATTTCTTTTTTTTAAAGTACATGGTGGTCAAGCCACTGTAAAACGTAATACCTATTTCCAAAATACAGGAAGGATCATCACGTGATTTTCACGTACAAGCCAAGTTACAAAGATCTCATTTACTTACTTCGTGAAAGGGATAAACTTTGCCATCTTTCGCTTTGCAGAATTCGTCCAACAAAGAACTGTTTACGGTATGGGCTCTGTACTTCAACGGAAGTTTCTTTAGAAGTGCAGATTGAAGAAGGAAAAGTTTGACCTTATCCTCAGCAATCTTCATCGTATCCTGCATGGAGCCAAAATTACACCGAGATTGTCGATGTATTCGTGCACAAACCGCCATAATACTTTAGAAGTTAAAAACACATGTCAAGTGTGTGTTACTTACCTTACTGATGTTGTCGTCGTGAAGTAGTTGAAAGAGGACTTGCACACAAGCAAGGATTGTGGCAACCTCCCGACATCCACCCTGCGGTGGAGATCGAAGAGCAACTTCAACTTCCGACTGGACATCAATCTGAGGTAAGACAAACAACAACAGGAAAATAAAATAAATTAGATTTGGACATGTAAGGCGGCAAATGAATATCTCTTTAACCCTTTGATCCCTAAGAGTGACTTGCATCTAATTTCTCCTCACAATATCGCCACTGAATCATACATTAAGGTCAGGAGAATAAAGGAAATGATCACTTATCTAAGAAGCTACTGATTGTTAAACAAATTCCTCTTGTCAGCACCTTAGGAAATGTGTAGAGAACAGTACGGAGAATATACATACTGATGTTAGGGTGTAAAGGGTTAAAACACTGCACACCTGATTGTCTTTTACTTCACATCCGGTGATGTTTTCCTGAGTACATTGACGGCGCCAATACCTCATCAACCAATCCCATGTATTACGGACTGCTTCACCATGCTAAGAATAAGAAATGATGCAGATATGAGCTACTTCAGTGAAGACAACATCTTTTTATGATAGGCAACTTTTCGCTTTCGAATTATGTAGTCCTTCTATTTTCATTATCTAGGGATTTTTTAAAATAGTCATTCTCTCATTCCCTATAATCATCACCTCAGCAGATCTAGAGTGACACTGACGGTATCTGTGTTCCCCATGTTCTTTCATGAGTCAATCATTTGTTATAAAGCTTTACAAGCTCTTGAGTTGTTGAAAGGGCAACTTGGAACGGGGTATGTATCACTCTGAAATATAGCTTAGTATCCCGACGTAAAAAATTAAAAAAATTAAACAGTGTCTAGAAATACTAATTTTGGTGCAGCTTCTGCATTGGTCAGACATCCCATTCTTAGTAAGTAGGAAAAGTTTCCGGGTTTTGCTTCACGCCACGAACACTGGCGCTAATATTGGTGTCTTATAATTTTACATCCCTTCACAAAGTATTGCCGTCTAACCTTCCTATGGAATAATCTATGTTCTGACGTGGACTCGTTGTAATATCCCATCACTTTTGTCGCGGTCATCTGGACACCTGAGATAAAGACACAATTCAATCCTTGTCCAAGACAATGTAACAGAATACAGCGGAAGAAAAACTCCACTGTCACATGTAGCTTTTTCGTCTCTCCAGTCTTTTCCCATGGGACATTTTCCGCGTCCGTTAACACCAGAAATGTGGGAATGTTTCGATCGATGTACTCTTTCCAATGCTTGTCCCAAACACTCGCTATTGATGTCTCAATTGTGAAAGGCGTGTTGTGCTGAAGATGAAGAATTAAAGCTTGTCGTGCCAACAGCATGGATGGTCGACTTCTCCAGATGATCTCCATTTCTTCGAAAAAGACAACGTGGAAAACACCACCTTGTTCAACAAGAAAAGAAGTAGTTAGATGATTGAAGGGAAATCCAGCAGAAAATACTGAGAAGTAATACCATTTTACAGGTAAACAGTGGTAGTATCATATACAAGTTAATGATCAACTAATCTGCGAAACCAATACCGCCCGAGTTTAGCCGGCATTTTGTGGTCCTGCTTAATAAGTGAAACAGATGACAAAGAGATGTCGTCTCATCTTAGCAACCTCCATTCCTCGAGCCTGCGGCTTTGGGCCACCTCTGTCGATCTAATTGCTATCGTTTCAGTTCACACCTTCACGGTCACTGGAAACACTCATCATCCTACAGTTACCTGTTAACCCATTAACTTCCAAGATCTCATTAGTAATTCTCTTTACTCTCTGCTATACAGATCTTGTAGTGTTAGTTTGAGAATTTGGTATTGAATCAAGTAATTATCCCCAAATGGATATTTTTCTTTATTCTCATCACTTATCTGATTGATATTGTATTGATATTGTTAGGAGAAATTCTGTCTTGATCACACATGGGAGTTAAAGGGTCAAGGCACAGTTAACATCTCTCCAGCTATAACTTGGCTATCATTTCTAATTTCTTTAGTCGAGCTCATCTCGTTCTTGCAATCATTACTATTATTTCATAATGTTTTGGCACACTGACTTACATCATAATTTTCTGAACTTGTTTTATGCACTGACCTTTATCTGTAAAATGCTTGAGGAAGCGTTCAAGTAGATAGGTGAGATGCAGAAACTGTCCGCCATGTGTCCAGTCTAGGCTATTTTGGCAAAAAAGCTCCAACAGCAAAGAGTCGCCGTCAATCAGGAAAATCTCCGCATCAGCAAAGTCTGTCAGAATGTTGAGATATCTATAAATTAATTAAAAAGAGTTCACCAATTTGGAATCACAGAAGGCCGAGTAGTGAATGTCACCCACATTGCTTATTTCAGTATGCGCGACTCGTGCTGTAGATAAATCCAATACATTGTTTATGCATATGGCCTGACTCGTCGAGGAATTCCCCGGGTCAAAACAGAATCAAACTGTAAAGCATCATGAACAATATATTAAAGTTTACACGGTAACCAGGTGGACAAACAGACATGGTTTGATGCTACTCTGAATTAAAGATTTAAGTAATGTAACCGAAAAATTACAATTCACAGACCCAACGTTTCGACACTCCTGTCTAGTGCCTTCATCAGGAGCTATCTAAACGCTGCAACAAGAGATCTTTTTATGCGCTCACTAATTAGCTGCCCTTTTTTCTGACGAGGAGTAAATAGGCGTCAGGAAGTAAGCCGCCATTATCACGATTTAAAGGAGCGTGGGCGGAGTTGATATGCCAGGCTTTCAAATAAAGGAGCTGGTGGTAACGCCGATTAGTGGTGATAATTTTAGACTTATCCCAACCAATCGTATGGTTGGTTAGGCATGTGTGCTCCAATAAAGCTGAATTTTCTTTTTTGCAAAGAAGACCGCTTTTTGATGCTCTTTCAAACGTGTACCAAACTGACGTTTGGTCTATCTGATAAACTCGTCATCAGAGTCACTGCACCGAATAGAATAAATAGCGTCAGTTCGTTGTTCTCTTGTAAAGGGGATCCTTAGGCTTGGCAAAAATATGCCCCAAAGTCTGAAAAGGTTTTTGAGCAACTTTAACATTGTGGCTCTTCAAAATTCTCTTGATGGGTTCCGTAACACCCTGAATGTAGGGAATGACAGCAAAACCAGTCGCTGGTTCCCAATCATCAGGAGTGCTAATAGTTGTAACTAGTTTTCGGCAGTTACGGAGAAAAGTTTTGGTATAGCCATTCGCCTGTAGGACATTAGAAACATATTTCCACTCCTCAGCCTTCGAATCGAGTGAAGATGGTAGACAGTCAGCCCTCCTGAGTAAAGTTTTGGCACAGAATTTTTATGGCAAACAGGGTGGTGAGAATCGAAAGCGAGGTATTTGTCGGTGTGGGTAGGTTTACTATAGACACTTATCTCTAAATTTCCCTGTTCCCCTCTGTATACACTTAAATCAAGAAAGGATAAATGTCTATCCTTTTCACGCTCAAGGGTGAATTGGATAGACGGCTCTACTGAATTCAAGTGCGATAGGAGGCGCCTCTGTTTGGAAGCCTGGCATATCGACTTCGCCCACGCTCCTTTAAATCGTGTGATGGTGGCTTACTTCCTGACGCCTGTTTACACCTTGTCAGAAAAAAGGCAGCTCATTAGTGAGCGTATAAAAGGACCTCTTATTGCAGCGTTTAGATCACCCCTGATGAAGGCACTAGACAGGAGTGTCGAAATGTTGGGTTTCAATTGTAACTTCTCGGTTACATTCATTAAATCTTTAAACCAGGGTAGCATCAAACCATGTCTCATCATGAACAATTTAGAGTTCCAATGTGGCAGTTCATTGCACGGATAATCTTAAATTTGTTTTAATTTGTCTCAAGTAACAAATTCGTCTTCAAAACTTTTTTCTATAAGTGGTTCGACGACCGCCCTCGAGATCTTACAGTGCCGCCGATGTTAAAGGAAAGTCACTAACTTACTCATGTCTCACACACATATAGGAAAAGAGAGAGGAATGCGAATTTATGACGCCCGAGTTAAAAAAGCTCAAAAAACACCTCTTAAAAAAAAAAAAAAAAAAAAAGAAAACGACGGAAGTAACTGCTGGTGCCATACTTACTGTGGCCTAACTTTTGGACTGTCATAGAATTTACTAATACGGAGCATATTCACGTCTATGTTGGGTCTCGGTTTAGGATCATTTTCACCAGAATCTTCTGCCGTCGGCATTTCTGAGGCTGCAACTTTAATAAAAAAAGATCTCTATTAAGAAGAGTATTTTAAATCGGGGAAATTCATCATGATCATTGCAATGCCACTTTAAATGCTGGGCTTACTAAAATCAACCAATCATATCATCAGAAAACAAACACAATTTCAACTTAATTTAATGCAATTCATAGCTCTTTTCTTGCAATCGAAATGGAAATGTTTTTGTATTGACTCCTTTCAACAGTACGTGGTCGCTTCGTATTACCAGCTTTTCCACTAAAGATCGCAATGCTTCCCTCAGAAGCATAACACATGTATTTGAATCTGTCACAAATGGTGTAATTTTTTTTCATAAAATTGAAATTCAGACCAGTATCCACAATCATAAATTGATTTGTGCGCTTCATGTCAGAAATGAACAAGACATAACAGAAAAATGTCAAGCTTACTTAGCTCAGATTTCCAGTTGCCGTGAAATTGAGCTAAAATTGAGTGTCTCGACGTTTGCTTTAATTTTTTTGTACAGTTAAGAGATAATATTTTCATTTGTTTTGAATAACATCTTTTTCCTTCATTGTTGTTTTAAAAATCAAAGGAAAAGTGGGCAAAATCATAGTTTACTTTTGTCGTTCGCCCCTGTCGTAACACAATGCTTGTGGGAACAGCTGTGTGACTGTGACCCTTCCTTCAGGATGGCATTCTAAAGTGTGCAACATGCAAACTTAAATTGTCACTTCTATTAGAACACACGACAGTCAGATGGTACTCTGGGTGTGACACGATGTTACTCTTCACCCACTTTGAAAAATACAAGCTACGCCCTTGATGCTGAAACTCCCTAATATTCCCGTTCTCGTATTCATTCCTATTTTGTGCAAGTACATGGCAATTCTGCGCAGACGTCACTCTGAGGTAGAACTTACTCTCATCGAATAATGATACTTTTTTATTTTCCAGTTCTTCCTCTTGTTCATCGCTCTCCGAGCTTTCATCTTCGTGTTGAGGCTCTCCGTCTTCTCGATCCGCTTTCAAAAAGAAGAAAAAGAAAAGGATAAAAGAAAAGGAAGCTCAACCAATCATATCATCAGAAAACAAACACAATTTCAACTTAATTTAATGCAATTCATAGCTCTTTTCTTGCAATCGAAATGGAAATGTTTTTGTATTGACTCCTTTCAACAGTGCGTGGTCGCTTCGTATTACCAGCTTTTTCACTAAAGATCACAATGCTTCCCTCAGAAGCATAACACATGTGATTGAATCTGTCACAAATGGTGTAATTTTTTTTTCATAAAATTGAAATTCAGACCAGTATCCACAATCATAAATTGATTTGTGCGCTTCATGTCAGAAATGAACAAGACATAACAGAAAAATGTCAAGCTTACTTAGCTCAGATTTCCAGTTGCCGTGAAATTGAGCTAAAATTGAGTGTCTCGACGTTTGCTTTAATTTTTTTGTACAGTTAAGAGATAATATTTTCATTTGTTTTGAATAACATCTTTTTCCTTCATTGTTGTTTTAAAAATCAAAGGAAAAGTGGGCAAAATCATAGTTTACTTTTGTCGTTCGCCCCTGTCGTAACACAATGCTTGTGGGAACAGCTGTGTGACTGTGACCCTTCCTTCAGGATGGCATTCCAAAGTGTGCAACATGCAAACTTAAATTGTCACTTCTATTAGAACACACGACAGTCAGATGGTACTCTGGGTGTGACACGATGTTACTCCTCACCCACTTTGAAAAATACAAGCTACGCCCTTGATGCTGAAACTCCCTAATACTCCCGTTCTCGTATTCATTTCTATTTTGTGCAAGTACATGGCAATTCTGCGCAGACGTCACTCTGAGGTAGAACTTACTCTCATCGAATAATGATACTTTTTTATTTTCCAGTTCTTCCTCTTCTTCATCGCTCTCTGAGCTTTCATCTTCGTGTTGAGGCTCTCCATCTTCTCGATCCGCTTTCAAAAAGAAGAAAAAGAAAGGGATAAAAGGAAAGGAAGCTTGAGACTTCAAACCCAAGAGCAAAGAGATATGAATAAAATCTAGCCTGTTTGAGTCAGTAAGTAATTACAATGATTTTCGCGGAGTTTTTAAAAAGCTCTGACCACTATGTAACTGTCCAAATAAAACCAAAACCGCCAAAAGCTTTGCTTCTGCCACAAGTCGAAAATTTTCAGAAAATCGGAGAGCTCTTTCCGAAGGTATGTCAATGGCGGATTTCGTATTATAATAATTAAAAATGAATGCTTACTTCGGTCGACTGCTATTACTTCTCATCGGTAAAAATTCTAATCTTGTTTACGTGTAATGAATACCACCTAGATCATCTGTGTTTTGTGACTGAAAAGTAATATTCATTCGCAATGCTCGGTGGCATCAACATTAAAATACTCAAAAAACACACGCACAGACCAGCAATGTTTAACATATTTTTCAGCACTTAGACGAAAAAAAGAATTTTCTTACAGAATTCTACACCATCGTCGTCTTCATCTCTGTCATTTTCCGAGTCGGAAACGGAAGTATAGGAGTCGCAATCAGAGCTGGAATTGTATTCTTGGCCTTCTTCGTCCATCCTGAAAAGGAAAGCTGAATTTCATGAACGTTTGTTGACAGTCTTCAGATCAGAGCCAAATCTAGGAAGCCTTAATACCTTTAGGGCCAATGAGAAATCAAAGTGGAAACAATCCAACTGCCAAAACACAGGAAAATGCGGGTGTTCAAGACATGATTAATTTTTAGTTTTGTATGTGATCGGTTGAGAGGATAGCGCGATGTTTCTGGGGTAGTCACAAAGCGAAAAAAGCAAAACCAATGGAATCTCAGATTAACCTAGACACTTAATTGAAATTTGCTCTGAATGGGCACATAATACTGCGTATAAAATTACCTACATGATACTCCTTTTGTTCAGGGCTTACCTCTATTATTATTAATAAGGACCTCTTTTCAACATGAGTCACGCACGAATTACTTGTGAATTCACGACTGGGAAATATCTTTTTTTTTATAATTTGCAATCAGTAGACTAGGTAAGGGAAGAACCATTCTAAAAGAGAGGGGGCAAAAACAAAAGAAAA